CTTATTTTTTGAGTGCTTTTAATTGTCTCTGGTCCCTTCAATTGCCCTCCTTTTCCATCCTTATCATTTTTTTCTTCCTTCTGCGCCAGGATTATATTGTCTCCCTTCGTCGCCTTCAATGCCATCCCGATATGACACTATAATCCGGGAATAGTCGGGACGTTCGCTGTTGGGAGCATGTTATTCCATGAATGTTGCTCTGTATGCCACTTCTTCCCCACTCTCTCAACCTTGATCCTGAAGAAGCCCACACCACCTCCCCCATGTATCCATGTTCTATACCATTACTTTCCTCGATATATTTCGTCTTCTCTCCTTAATGACCGCTTATCTGCTCAATCATGACACATTACTACAACATTTTCTTCTAGACCCATGCTTTTTTCTTTTCATTTTTTTGCTTCCCCCACCTTTTGTTGCGATGTTCTGTTATTTACCTCCATGAATCTATGTACCTACCTAAGCTTAACCTTATCGGGTCCCCCGTGGCACACTAGTTATCAGCTACACACACCCTCTTGCTCGGTTTTCTGAAACTAGTTGATTTTTGTAATTTTTTCCCTCTTATCTCTAGGGTAAATAGAAGCTATCAATATTCAATGTTGCGGACTATAGACTAAGTTGCATGAGGCGCATCTATATTCATGACCAAGCTTTATCTCTTTAACACCGGAATGTGCTTTGAATACAGAGTAGGCCAACACCGTGAGGGTCTATGATTGATGATTAAGAGCGGGGGATGATGGGTTTGCCAAGGTTCCGGCGAGTTATCCATAGATTGGAACCTATTTTTCCATATCCCATTTCGGTTGATGGGGAATGAACAGGAAAAAAAAATTCATCCAAAGTCGGAAGTACTTTTCTTCCTTCCTCCTTTTCGTCTTTGTTTCTACACTAAATATCCACGATGAGAAGTGGCAAAGTGGTGTCTCTTCTCTCTCATTTGGAAGATATTTGACAATGTTGTGATGTTCATTAACTCTTCCCTTTGACCATTCGAATCTCTATCATTTTTTTTCAAGCAGGCTCAAGTATGTATGCATGCCTTTTTCGATTCCCACCTTTTTCTTTTTTAATTAGTTGTATAGTTAGATTATTCCAGCTCCTGCCCTCTATGAAATCAGAATTTCTGCCCACCGCTTGCTAGTAGATCCGTGCACGGGCTGGGACTGGCCCCTTGAGATTCCTTTCTCTGATGTAGAAGTCTTCCTCGGACCAAACATGATATACCAATATAAATGAATATCTATTATCTACCAGCCCATGCCAGTTTTTTTGGCTCTCAACTTCACCAAGTGCACGGGAACGATCCGAGAAGGTTTAAAAATAAAGTGAGACGACGGGCAATAAGCCGCACGTTATCGTGATATGATTGGCAGAGTGTTATCGATGCCGCCGGGATAAAAGCGGGGCCAGAGCTTGATTTGAGCCAGCCCTACGAACCACGTTGATATTGGGATTTTGGATGGCTTTGACACATATATATATGTATATGTATATGTATATAAAAGCACCGAGAACCTCATGAGGCAAAATGAAATGAAGATGGCCAACAGCTGCGATTCAGCCCACCTTCCATTCTCCTGGGGCCTGCAGGTGCTCGAGTCCGCTGTCGCCTGTAGGATCTTAAGGTTGGTGAGAGGGGACAGTATGCGCACTTCTTCTTCTTCTTCTTTTCAAATACTAATGGATAGAAGAATGCAATTGGCATTCCCAGCTTGATCCATTGCAAATTGCAACCTTGGAAATTGCTCCCGTCCACGTGACCGACGCCGGCAACTAAAAACCAAAACCTACTAGGGCAGGCCACACGGACCAACAACGCTGATGCCGAATCGCCCCTGGAGGATTTGTTGGGCGATGCAAACAGGGCAAACTAGCCCGATACAGCCGGTCCGGCATGTTGTGCTTTTGCGATGGGGACAACGTCATTTTTTTTTTGGCTCGAGAGATGCTCAACAAACCCCCAAGCGGGCTTTGCGCAAACGAAAGCTGGGTAGAAGTTGGCGAAGGAGTATTGCCTCTTTAGTCCTATTTTCGGTGCAGTTGTTTCTTTCCCGAGGAGGGCATTGCTAGATCCGATATGTCGCCCTTTTGTATTGCTTCCATCGGGTGGGATCTTTAATCTGTTCTGTTGTGGTGGGAGCATGGCTGCTGGGACTTTTTGGGGCGACACAAACGGTGAAACCGCTGCTAGCCTCAACGAGGAAGATCTCGTCCAGAGGTGGTGAAAAATAACAAGTCCTTACGAATAATACAAGGAACAGATACTCGTGTTGAATGTTGTATGTAGCCAGGGTTCCAGGGCCGGCAGGGCATTCAATGGCAAATAACAACTCTCTGTGTAGGCATATTAGCGGAGCTCAGCACTCCGATCATGGGATCATCGGTCCCAGAATAAAATGCTACACCATATAGGTTTTTTTCTATATATGTTAAACTTTGGAGGTTGAGCAGCTTGGTAACGGTACTAGTAACTATCGATAAGGCTTAAAAATTATACGGGCCACGGCCAATGATACCGGGCCAATACACATCCTTGGTCAGCAATCAGCCTTCCTATTTCTTCCTCCCGCTGCCTTCTTGTCTCTCTGTCTTTCCACCCTCACTCTTCACCTTTCACGCTGACATTCTTCTTCCGCTGCCGGGTGAGAGTGTCTTCTATCCTCCCAGTTAATCCCGCCTTGAGTTCTCTCTCTCCCTCTCTCTCCCTCTCGTCTCTCCATCATTCGTTGAGAGACGTTTCTCCTCCTCTATTCCTTCCGGGGAACTCATTATCTCCTCCGTTTCCCTATCAATGCGCACCGGAAAGGATCAGGCATTGAATTGCTAGGCCCTGTTGGATTTCTTCTTCTATTCTCCAATATATCCTCGTCTTTAATAAACTCCTTTCCCCTTCGACCACCACTCCAAGAGAAGAAGAACACAGTGCCAGCTTAACAGGGACTGACAACAACTAAACCCCAACCGATCCTGTTCGTTGTTTGCCCAGCCGCCTCGAAGAAGCACGAAGACCTCTATCGCGTGTTCTGCCCTTTTCATGAACCGTTGGAAAATAATATAGTTCACACCGTCACCATGGGGGTTGCAAAGGAAGCATCTAGTGTCAATGGCTTCGGGAGCGCATTCGCCGCCAAACATAACCTCCCGTCACACTTTATCGGAGGCAGTCGTCTCGACCTGGCCCCACCTGGGAAAGTGAAGGATTTCGTTGCGAAGAACGATGGCCATTCAGTTATTACTTCGGTACGTTGAATGTTACTTCTACCCTCCTCCGTCTTGCCTTTGTTTTATGATTGCGCCCCCCCTCCCCCCTCTTCAGCGCAAAGCAAGTATTTTTTGGCGCATTCTATCTCAAAACTTGGGAAATGGTGAGGGCGTGTACTGACTACTTGGATTGGTATTGTTTTACTTTTTACTTTTTAGGTGCTCATTGCGAACAACGGGATTGCTGCCGTCAAGGAAATTCGCGATGTGCGAAAATGGGCCTACAATACTTTTGGTGATGAAAGGGCGATTCAATTTACCGTGATGGCCACTCCAGAGGATTTAAGGGCTAATGCAGACTATATTCGAATGGCTGACCAATATGTCGAGGTACGGGAGCATTCAAGTGCCGTTTATAACAAAAAAAAAAAAAAAAATAGAGATGATTGAGTTTTGGAAACGAAATAACGGAGCTGAATGAGAGTATGAAACTAATTTTCATTGCCTAGGTTCCGGGAGGCACGAATAACAACAATTATGCCAATGTTGAACTCATTGTGGATATTGCAGAGCGAATGGGTGTCCATGCAGTTTGGGCCGGATGGTGAGGATATTCTTTCGTGGATAATTTTTTGAATCTTCGAGGGGGAGGAACAAGCGCGCTAATATTCCACCAGGGGCCACGCTTCGGAAAACCCAAAGCTTCCTGAGTCGCTAGCGGCGTCTCCGAAAAAGATTATTTTCATCGGTCCCCCTGGTTCTGCAATGCGATCTCTTGGAGATAAAATTTCTTCGACGATTGTTGCCCAACATGCAGGGGTTCCCTGCATACCTTGGTCTGGAGAAGGCGTGGAGGAGGTCACAGTCGATGAAGAGGGGATTGTAACGGTTGAACCTCACATTTATGACAAAGGATGTACGCACTCTCCGCAAGAAGGCCTGGAGAAAGCTCGGGCTATTGGCTTCCCAGTCATGGTCAAGGCCTCGGAAGGAGGTGGTGGGAAAGGTATTCGGAAAGTCGAGAGAGAAGAGGATTTCGTCAATATGTATAATGCCGCCGCCAGCGAGATTCCTGGATCGCCGATTTTTATCATGAAACTCGCAGGCAATGCGAGACATTTGGAGGTTCAGTTACTAGCAGATCAATATGGTAACAACATTTCCCTCTTCGGACGGGATTGTTCGGTACAACGACGACATCAGAAAATTATCGAGGAGGCTCCCGTCACCATCGCGAAGCCAGAAACCTTTCAAGCAATGGAGCGAGCCGCTGTGAGGCTCGGGAAGTTGGTTGGCTACGTTTCCGCAGGAACAGTCGAATATCTCTACTCCCATGCAGAAGATAAATTTTACTTCCTGGAACTAAATCCCCGTCTACAGGTTGAGCATCCCACAACCGAGATGGTTTCTGGAGTGAATCTTCCGGCTGCGCAACTTCAGATTGCAATGGGAATCCCCTTACATCGCATTCGTGATATTCGTCTCCTCTATGGCGTTGATCCTAATACCAGCTCCGAGATTGATTTCCATTTCACCAATGAAGAAAGCACGAAAACCCAACGCCGACCAAAGCCCAAGGGTCACACCACTGCTTGTCGTATCACGTCCGAGGACCCCGGTGAAGGTTTCAAACCCTCCAGCGGAACAATGCACGAGCTCAACTTCCGGAGTAGTTCAAATGTTTGGGGTTATTTCTCTGTTGGTACCTCTGGTGGGATCCATAGTTTCTCTGATTCTCAATTCGGCCATATCTTTGCATACGGCGAAAATCGTTCCGCGTCACGCAAGCACATGGTCGTCGCATTGAAGGAATTGAGCATTCGCGGTGATTTCCGGACAACTGTTGAGTATCTCATCAAACTTTTGGAGACACCTGCATTCGAGGAGAACACTATCACTACCGGTTGGTTGGACCAGTTGATTTCCAATAAACTTACAGCTGAGCGCCCTGATCCAATGGTCGCTGTTATCTGTGGAGCTGTCACCAGGGCTCATCTCGCGAGTGAGTCGTGTGTTGCGGAGTATCGGAGAGGTATTGAAAAGGGTCAAGTACCTTCAAAAGACGTCCTGAAAACTGTTTTCCCCATCGATTTTATTTACGAAGGATACCGATACAAATTCACTGCCACCAGATCAAGCGACGATAACTATCATCTGTTCATTAATGGATCAAAATGTTCTGTTGGCGTTCGGGCTCTAGCCGATGGTGGACTGCTCGTACTTTTGAACGGACGAAGCCATAATGTTTACTGGAAGGAGGAGGCTGCTGCGACACGCTTGAGTGTCGACGGGAAAACATGTTTGCTTGAGGAAGAAAATGACCCCACACAACTTCGCACTCCTAGTCCAGGAAAGCTTGTGAAGTACACAGTGGAAAACGGCGAACATGTCCGAGCCGGGCAACCGTTCGCTGAAGTTGAAGTCATGAAAATGTATATGCCCCTCATCGCGCAGGAGGATGGCATTGTGCAACTCATCAAGCAGCCTGGATCTACACTCGAGGCTGGGGATATTTTGGGTATTCTCGCGTTGGATGATCCATCCAGAGTGAAGCATGCTCAACCTTTCCTTGGGCAGCTGCCAGAGCTAGGTCCTCCACAAGTTGTCGGCGTCAAGCCCCCTCAGCGTTTCGGCCTCCTCCACAGCATCTTGATTGATATTCTTCGTGGGTTCGATAACCAAGTCATCATGGGGGCCACCTTGAAAGAATTGGTCGAGGTCCTGAGAAATCCCGAACTACCGTATGGAGAATGGAACGCACAAGTTTCTGCTTTGCATTCACGCATGCCACAGAAACTTGATTCCCTCCTCACACAGGTCGTTGATCGAGCCAAGTCCCGAAAGGCGGAGTTCCCAGCCAATCAATTGATGAAGACCCTTACCCGCTTCATTGAGGAGAATGTGAGTCCTGGCGATGCTGATATTCTCCAAACGAGTCTCCTGCCACTCGTAGATGTCATTCGACGATACAGTGATGGACTTAAGGTCCATGAATATAAGGTTTTCATTGGTATTCTTCAGCAGTATTGGGAAGTGGAACATCTTTTCACGGGAAGAAATATGCGAGACGAGGATGTGATTCTTAAACTGAGAGAAGAAAACAAGGATGACATCGACGGAGTCATCCAAACTGTCCTATCTCACAGCAGAGTCGGAGCGAAGAATAACTTGCTTCTCGCCATTTTAGATATGTATCGTCCAAACAAACCGAATGCGGGTAATGTCGGGAAGTACCTCAAGCCCATCTTGAAAAAGCTTGCAGAGCTGGAATCACGAGCCACTTCCAAAGTGGCTTTGAAGGCCCGTGAGGTTCTTATCCAGTGCGCATTGCCATCCCTTGAAGAGAGGGTTGCTCAGATGGAGCATATCTTGCGCTCTTCGGTGGTGGAATCCAAATACGGAGAGACGGGCTGGGACCACAGAGAACCTGACCTAAGCGTATTGAAGGAAGTTGTCGATTCCAAGTACACTGTCTTCGATGTTCTCCCTCTTTTCTTTGGACATCAGGATCAATGGGTATCGCTGGCAGCGCTCGAGGTGTATATCCGCCGGGCTTACCGAGCCTACTCGTTGAAGGGGATCGAATATCACAACAAGCACGAGAGCCCGTTCTTTATATCTTGGGATTTCATACTCGGAAAAACTGGTCACTCTGAGTTTGGCATGGTAAGCGCTTCGACCCATCCCTCCACGCCCTCCACTCCCACGACGGAAAGCAATCCATTCAAGAAGATTGGCTCCATTAGCGACATGTCTTACTTGGTCAACAAGGGAGTCAATGAACCAACCAGGAAAGGAGTCATTATTCCTGTCAATTATCTTGATGATGCCGAGGAAATGCTGCCCAGGGCGCTAGAGATTTTCCCTCGCTCAGAGCCTCAGAAGAACAACGCGAAGTCTCTTGGCAACAACCTGGCAGCGTTGCGGAAACCAACACCTCGTCCTGAAAATGCCGACGAACTCACTGGAGTCTGCAATGTTGCAATTCGCGATATCGAGGATTTGGATGACACAGAGATGGTCACCCGCATCACCAAGCTTGTCTCTGAACTGAAGGAAGAGCTTCTCGCTCGCCGAGTGAGGAGGCTTACCTTTATTTGTGGTCATAAGGATGGAACATACCCCGGTTACTTCACTTTTAGGGGCCCTACTTACGACGAAGATGAGAGTATCCGCCACAGCGAACCCGCGCTTGCATTCCAGCTTGAATTGGGAAGGCTTTCCAAGTTCAAAATCAAGCCTGTATTTACGGAAAATAGAAATATTCACGTTTACGAGGCAATTGGGAAAGGGCCAGAGAGCGACAAGGCCGTCGATAAACGATATTTCACGCGTGCTGTGGTTCGACCTGGGCGTCTGCGGGATGACATACCCACGGCAGAATATCTTATATCTGAAGCTGACAACCTGATGAATGACATCCTCGACGCGCTCGAAATTATTGGCAACAATAACTCCGACTTGAACCATATCTTCATCAACTTTACGCCCGTTTTCCCGCTTGAACCCGCTGACGTTGAAAGGGCACTGGCAGGCTTCCTGGAACGGTTTGGGCGACGGCTCTGGCGTCTTCGCGTGACCGGGGCCGAAATTCGCATCCTTTGCACGGAGCCCACGACTGGCATGGCCTATCCCCTCCGCGTCGTAATCAACAACACCTCGGGATACATTATCCAGGTTGAAATGTACGCTGAACGGAAATCCGAAAAAGGAGAATGGATATTCCATAGCATCGGCGGCACAACGAAGATTGGGTCTATGCATCTTCGTCCCGTATCGACGCCCTACCCCACAAAGGAATGGCTGCAGCCGAAGCGATATAAGGCTCACTTGATGGGTACCCAATATGTATATGACTTCCCTGAGCTTTTCAGACAGGCTTTCCAGAACTGCTGGAGCAAGGCCGTTGAGGAGCACTCCCCACTTGCCGACAAACGACCTGCCGTGGGCGAGTGCATCGACTACGCTGAACTCGTGCTCGACGATACTGATAACTTGATCGAAGTAGTTCGCGAGCCCGGAACCAACACACATGGAATGGTTGGTTGGATGATCACTGCCAAAACCCCTGAGTACCCACGTGGTAGGCGCTTCATCATCATCGCGAACGATATCACCTTCCACATTGGATCTTTCGGGCCGCAAGAAGATAAATTCTTCCACAAGTGTACGGAACTTGCGAGGAAGCTGGGGATTCCGCGGATCTATCTTTCTGCTAACTCTGGTGCCCGCATTGGAATGGCAGAGGAGCTCATGCGTCATTTCTCAGTTGCATGGAATGATCCTGAGCGGCCAGAGGCTGGCTTCAAATACCTCTATTTGACGCCGGAGGTGAAGAAGAGATTAGACGCGAGGAAGACAAAGGATGTCATAACGGAGCCAGTTATAGAAAATGGCGAAGAACGACATATGATCACTACTATCATCGGTGCTGAAGATGGCCTTGGTGTCGAATGTCTAAGAGGCTCTGGTCTCATCGCCGGCGCCACCTCTAAAGCTTACGAGGACATCTTCACTATTACTCTTGTGACCTGCCGTTCTGTTGGAATTGGCGCTTACCTCGTTCGTCTGGGCCAAAGAGCGATTCAAGTTGAGGGACAGCCAATCATCCTGACTGGAGCTCCTGCCATTAACAAACTCCTTGGACGAGAAGTGTATACGTCTAATTTGCAGCTGGGTGGAACGCAAATCATGTACAAGAACGGCGTTTCTCATATGACGGCCAACGATGACTTTGAAGGCATACAAAAGATTGTCCAATGGATGTCGTTCATCCCCGACAAGAAGAATTCTCCTGTCCCAATCAGATCATATTCAGACACGTGGGATCGGGATATCGGGTATTATCCTCCAGCGAAGCAAACTTACGATGTCAGATGGCTTATCGCTGGTAAGCAGGATGATGAGGGTTTCTTACCTGGCATGTTCGACAAGGATTCCTTCCAGGAAGCGCTCGGGGGGTGGGCCAGGACTGTGGTTGTTGGACGTGCCAGGCTCGGTGGTATCCCCATGGGTGTTATCGCAGTCGAGACACGATCCGTCGACACCGTCACACCGGCTGATCCTGCGAATCCAGACTCGATGGAACTGATTTCCACAGAGGCTGGTGGAGTCTGGTATCCGAATTCGGCTTTCAAAACCGCACAGGCTCTCAGGGATTTCAACTTTGGCGAACAGCTTCCTGTCATGATCCTTGCTAACTGGCGAGGCTTCTCTGGTGGCCAGCGCGACATGTACAATGAGGTTCTCAAGTATGGTTCCTACATCGTCGATGCCCTTGTCAAATATGAACAGCCCATTTTCGTTTACATTCCGCCATTTGGGGAATTGCGTGGTGGTTCGTGGGTAAGTTAAATTTTCCTAGTTTGTTTTCTTATTTTTTGTTAATCTCGTGTTAATATTTCGCAATAGGTTGTGATTGACCCTACGATCAATCCAGAGCAGATGGAGATGTATGCCGATGAGGAGTCTCGTGGTGGTGTCCTTGAGCCTGAAGGCATTGTCAACATCAAGTACCGCCGCGATAAACAGCTGGATACCATGGCCCGTTTGGACCCTGAATACGGCGAACTCAGAAAGGCCCTCAGCGACAAATCCCTACCCGACGACCAGCTTTCCAAGATCAAAGCAAAAATGACCGCAAGGGAAGAACAGCTTCTCCCAGTCTACATGCAAATCGCTCTGCAATTTGCCGATCTCCACGATCGCGCTGGCCGCATGGAGGCGAAGGGAACCATCCGCAAACCTCTCCAGTGGAGGAACGCCAGGCGGTTCTTTTACTGGCGCCTGCGCCGCCGTCTTAGCGAAGAACTCATCCTTAAACGCCTAGCGGCCGCTGCCCCATCTACCGGCATGCGCAACGGCGCAATCACAACCACCGGCGTCTCGGCATCCCCTCGGCCCGCTCCACCAACCGCCCGCGAGATCAATCTCAATACGCTGAAATCGTGGACCGGGATGTTAGACCGGGAGTTTGATACCAATGACCGCAAGGTTGCGCTCTGGTATGAAGAGAACAAGCGGAAGGTGCTGGAGAAGGTTGAGGAGATGAGGACGGAGAGCACCGCGGTGGAAGTTGCGCAGTTGCTTATGGGGAATAAGGATGGTGGGCTCAAGGGCGTGCAGCAGGTGTTGAGTATGCTTCCCGTGGAGGAGAGGGAGGCTGTGTTGACATATTTGAGGTCTTAGGCTAAGAGAGGTAATGAGCGTGGCTGGTTGGGTGTGAAGAAGTCAAACTGCATTCGAGAGTGGGTGTGTGTGCATGTGTGTTTTGATTTCCATTTCCTTTGATAGATGGGGGAATGGGTTTCTCTCATCATATCCATCTTGCTTTGTGTTTTGTGTTTTTTTTTTTTGTCATGATTTGATTTGCTCCCCTTATTTGTTTTTCTTTTTATTATTCGTTTGCTTTCTTGGTTTTGCAAGCCGTTCCATATACATATAAATCAGTTATTGTCCCGTAGAATTTTCATTCTCAACCCCCCCCTTTTTTGTGTATTTTCTGGTGATTGGACTTGGACGCTTCTCTAGTATTTTTCTTTTCGTTTCTTTTCTTCGTTTTTTTTTTTGCCTCTTTTGTCACAGTTCGCATTATGTAGTTAGCGCTGTTACATAGATCACAAGTCGATAATCTCTACATATATTTCTGTTCCTTAATTACTTCGAGGTCCTATATACCCTCGAATCTGATCGATAACTTCAAATCTTAAGCTAAAGGAGAGAAAGTTTCCGATGCACTACTAAGAAGATACATGTGCCTATTATGCCTACTGTCGTAAATAGAAGTATAACAGTTAAGTACATGTACATGAACTGGAAATATTTGCAAGCATACTTGAATGGAACAAAAAATGTTACGCAAGCACGAAAGTATTTTCCAGAGAGAGAAAATGCCGAAGCACAGACATACTTAAACAATGTTTGGTATGCAATGCATGAGTATTAGCGAAGGGAGTTGTAGAGGCTCAACGGGAACGATAGCTAGTAAATGACAAATAATGACAGATACGAATATATATGGAAGGGGGGGGGGTATCATAAATGTGATAAAGGAAATTTCCCCCAAAAAATAAAAATAAATAAACAAATAAAAAATGGCAAGTGCAAGAAATGAGTGGCCCCTGAAAAGAGGACTAAACGAATCACGCTAGCTGTCTCTCCATCGTATACGGATGACGCATAAACGGCACAACAACTCGGTACGGCGACGCAGAAACATCTCTTAACCCTTTCACACCGCCACCACGACCTCGTCCCTGCTCATCCCTATCAATGCTTAATCGGCCCAACTCAACCGGAAGCTGGTCCATTTCGTGGCGGGCCATTTTCCAACCTTGTGCCGTTGCCGTTGCCGCTGCTGTTGGGCGACGATCGCTAAAGGACGCGGCACCTGCGCCCGAGGGGATGGTGCTGTGGCTCCATACTAGTTCCTCTTCGCTACCGGGAAGCGTGACGCTGGTAGCGCCTAGGGTACGTGCAATGTCCTCAAGGAGAATCTCCATCGGGGCTATGTAGGCTGTGCGGCTCTTTTCGGACCATGCGAGGACATGGCCGCATACCTGGCCTGTGGATTTATCGAAGACCCAGGCTCCGGAGTCACCAGGAACTAGAAGCGAGCACGTTAGTATGATTTGTTTTCTTTTATTTTCTTTTGTTTTTATTAATTTATTTTTTACTAGGCGGTGTGGGAAGAGGGGATTGAAGTTAGAGATGGAGCGAGGAGAGCCATTACCTCCAAAATTCCCATCGACACTGAAACTGCTGGAGAATGATTGGCGACCATGCATTTTCACCAGAGTCAGTGCTTTGGAAATACGGCCGCTTTGCAAGCCGCTTGTCCTGCCACAGCATTGGACATGTAGACCAGCGAGATCTTCGATCTTGGCTACTTTGTCAAGAGTAGCAAAGTGCATTGTGGAGCCTTGTTGCATGTGAACTTCACGACTGCTAGAGCGAGAAGCGGAGCCGTGAACTTCTGGCATGCCAACATCGGCAAGTATCGTGTTATTGATATCCATCCGGTTCTCGTCGATCTTGATAAGCGCCCAGTCCACTTCATGCTTTATCCCACCGCGTTTCCACCTCCTGACTCCGGAAGAGGCGTGGACGTATCCAAGGGAGTGGGAGGCAAGATGTTCATCATCACGATCCTCCACTGTGGGAAAAAATCCGTCTTCCACGTCATCGATCGCTGGCTGTGTGACGATTATTCGAGGCTCCTCTCCCGGATCAACTCCAGCCGTATCTCCAATGGAGGCCGCATCATAATCATCGTCGTCATCGTCGTCATCCCCATCGTCAGTGGAATAACCGTCTGAGAGCCAGTAATCATCATATGCCTCGTCAATACTTGGTGCTATAGACCCGTCATCTGCGTCTTCTTCATCATCGGAGATCTCAAATGGATACAAGGCTTCTGGTGGGTCCTCATCATGCCACGAATATGCAAAATCCTGGTCAAATGTGTCACCTCCCGGAGTCCAATTGCCTGCCGAGCGAGGAGGAAGGTCCTGGCCCGAGTCGTCTTCCTCATCATCGCAGGGAGCGTCAAGCATGTGGTGTACTGTCATTCCGTAAGGCATTCCATCGACCAGGATCGCTCCTCCATAGGAAACCGGCGGTAAATGTTCATCGAGCCGAAATGCTCCTATTGATGCTCCACAGAGAGGCTTCGGTTGATAGTGTGGGTTCAGATCAACCTGGGCAGCGTCGATGACAGGATGATTATTCGTTTTCGGCTTTCTACGTTTGCGGCGAGGGACTTTTGAGCGGGTAACATCGCCCCGAATCACAATGAGATCCCAGTTTTCTCGATCGTAATCGAAGTACTTCTTGAGAGCAACTCGAACCCTGCGGATACTGGTACACGAGACACATATTGTGGTCTTTGCTGTCTCTGCAGTTTCCCCAGCCACCATTAAAGACGCACTGCAGGATTCAGGAGAGTCCTTTAAGATCTTCTGAAGAAGTTTGCTAAGTTTCGGCATGAGCGTCATGTTCCATTTCCGCAAGTCCTCGTCGGGTATTTCGACATTGGACCACTTCTTCAACGTCCGTTTCCGTACTTTCTTCTCATTAACGTCGCTTTTCTCCTGTAATCCATTTGATTCACCGTAAGTAGTTCCATCATCCGCCATATCGATTGGCATGGTTACATCTGGTTGACGGCCTATATTGTAAGGGCTAACTTCTTGGATGGACGAACTCGTTGGCTCAATAACGAGAGGTGGAGGAAGCGACTCATCCAGATCCAAAGCAGGTGGAGGATTGAAGACATCTAGGCAAGCACAGCGCCAACTAACTTTCCCAATTGTGTACACAAAATTTTTGGAGAACGCGTTCCACTCATCCGATGTACTTGGGTCATGCCATGGATAATGGTAGGTTTGTCGGATTCTCAGTCCTAGATCTATCATTGGTTCGGTAGAAAGGTGGAAATTGGGCGCATCGAGGCAAAGTTGGACTATCTGCAGATAGGAGTTTCCACACTTGGGTGCCAGCCGTTTGACGTAAACGTTTTCGATTCGCGATTTGAACATCGAATTGTTATATTTCATCTTCCAGAGTTTACTGAGTGGAGTCCACAAGCCAATTTCGAGCAACACTAGACCTAGGCTGTATAGATCGTATGACCAAGACGAGTTATCTGTGATGACTCGACGGTCGTCAGGATGGCGGTACATGCTGGCTGATAAAGGCTCAGGAACTGCATTCTTATCTTCGCCATCGAATTGAGAAAGAGAAGTGAGGTATGGGTGGCTGAACTCTGAGCTTGAGTCATCTAGGACGCCTTCATTGGGAACCTGGAAATCTGGGAATACCAAAATATTGTTGCTATTTATATTTCCGTGTACGACATTCTGACTCCTGAGATGAAGGACCGCCAGAACCAAGTGATATGCTAGGCGAAATCGACTTTCAAGATTCGGAATTGGGCAATCTGGTCGGCCATCTCCGGAATGGAATAGCGAGACAAGAGGTCGAGGTTTAACGTCTCTCAGTACATCGGAGGGATGTCGTAGTAATGGGAACATCTCGAGAGGGATCTGATAAACAAACGCGTAGCGAGAATACGTCATGTCAATAAAATAGCCAATGAATTTTAGTAATCCAAGATGGGATACCCTCGAGTTCTCGACCAGACGTTGTAGGGTGTCGAATAATTGAATAAGCCGCTCTCTCCGGGGAAACTGGAGAGAATTCCGCATCTCCAACATTATCGGAGAAAATTCTACTAGAACTGGTACGATTGGGCTCTGAATATGGACTGCCAGGGAACGAGGCATCGCATGGGTATCTAAATGCCCAATCACTCTGGAGTTCGCAGATTCCGCGACCGCTTCGTACGGGGGCGGATTGGAAGCGTGGGAAATCCCGCCACGCGAGAGATGAAGGGCAGATTTTTCGATATAAAACTGTTTAGTTGGGAGAAATGACTCCGGGAAAGTCTTCTGGAAGTCTTCGGCAATCTCATCAGTCGCCCCAGAAAAGTGGTGGCTTTTTGCGAAACCCGACTTTCCTGGCTGAGGTTCTGATAAGGACTTTTTCTTTGATGATAGCGGCTTCTTATCCATCGATTGACAGGGTTCAGTGCGAAGCGAATAGAACGACTCTTTTGAAGATTTCGAAGATTTAGGAAGCAATGGACGACCTTGACCTTGGACTTGGCCCTGACTTTTCGTCCCTGCCTGCGAACCCGAATTCATACTCATGCTCATGCTCATATTCCTCCGCGATCGTGAGAGATCATATAGCGTCTCGATATGCTGGGTCAATTCCTCCAACAGCTCCTTGGACCTTGCTATCTCTTCAGCGGTGTATGTCGCCTTGACAGCGCTAACCTGGACCAATCCATCAGGCGACTTGACACCATCAGGTTGCTGGAGCCTCTCCGCCTCATTGAGGAGCTCTTGGATGGAAGACATCACACTCGCGACAACGTCAGAAAAGCCAGCCTCGCTCAGCGCTTCGTCGATATCATTTGGTTGGGCGGCGCTCGCATCGCTCCAGTCCAGGCCCCACGCCAACAGTCTATCTTTCTGAGTCCGGAAATTTCGATTCAACGCAACGAGCTCCGGATCATCATTGGCCTTGGATGCGCTGGAGACGCTTTCACAGGAGGACTTGGTATCCGTGTACAGCTTTGTAAGCCGCCTTTGGAAGAAGGCGCCGCCATGTCTAAGGACAGACATGGATGCGATGGGGACGCTTAATTAGAAATGAATGGAGATAATTGATCGCGGTCAAATTTCTCACTATTAATCATTAATCGGTATGGTAGGCATTCAGATATGTACGCTTCCAAGAGCAGGATTCAACCAACGATCCAAAGACATCTCAAGCCATCGGGAGACGACGTCTTTGGGATGAAGTACGATGAACCGCAAAGTTGCTGCCTAACAGTGGCCAATAAGAGAGCCGCAGATTGCAGCCAGCGCTAGATGATCACGTGGGAAATCTTTCCGGCCAAGCCAAGGCAGCACAATTATCAAGGCAAACGAGTTATATTTCCTCCGCAGCTGAACTCGCTGCGAATCGACTTATTTACGAAGACAGAAAAGAGTAATGTACATAGTATAGGAAAGGATAGGCATCAAATGGAACATATTTTTTGGTTATTGTAGAGAAAATCAATTAGTCTTCACCCGCTAGAAGAGGGAACACAGTCGTATCATGAAGTAATCATCCGCCGCGTTACACCAACGTCCTTGGCCCTCTTCTCTCCGAAGTTATGAAGTCGCTCTCCAATCAAATACACGTCATCACGAATACTCGCCCTCCATATGGCGATTTGGTTTCGAGCCAGGCGTAGAGCCCAAAGGAGAAGCACCCCCATTAACGTCGCAGGGAAACAGTAGCGGTATACTTCGGAGTGCACCATGGCCGGCGAATCGCGGAAGATCGTGGAATTTAGAACAGCTCCTATTGGCAAGGGCCCTAACACAGCAACACAGGCAACCAATGTAGCAGGAACAATAAATGCGCGGGTAGCCAGTTGAATGTCCGGATCCATCCAGCCGTTGCGTAGGACGGCGTTGAGGGCATTGGCTGGGCGAGAGCCGCGATACCATAATATAAGTCTGACGGCCATGCGCACGTATAGCACGCCGAGCGTCCAGTCTTGAACGAAGTGGATGACGTGGACTTCGCCACTGCCAATGTAGGTGTGCAGAGGAATCAGAATGTAGAGCTCGGTAATTAAGGCGAAAAGGGAAGGGAGGAATAGAGCATACGCCGCTCCAATATACAGAAGACTGAGGAGTTTCACAAGGATGTTGTATGTGTGTGGGAATGCTTGTCTCGGGGACGCAAGGTATGGTTGCAGACGTTGATTGAGCGCCGGTAGGCCGTGGCGACGACAGTACACGAGCGCATAGAAGGCTCCACCTACCACATATATGCCAGCAGAAAAGGCATAGATGTCGTTCACAGGAACATGGCTAGGGAAGAGTGAAGAAATCATCCGTCGCCCGATGGCCAGAGGCACTATGGTGCACCCAAGCCCAGTTACCGCAGCGAAAACCCATATCATGAAAATAAATGTCGCGATCCTGATCTTGAACGTTGGCGGGACATAGACGTGAGCGAACATACTGTTAGACTTCCCATGAAGGCCATCCTCGTGATCCTCGTTGCCATCAATACGCTCATTATTTTCGTCAACTTCCAAGAAAACAGACCTGCCCTTGGGAATTCGAACCTGATCCGATCCTGGGGCTCGCACAAACTTGCCATCTCGTAGAAAATATTTACTACTGCTTTCATCTTCCAGGGTATCCCGACTGCGGAAAATCCAGTCACGCCATGTTGGATATGCCCGTCGGCCTTCCTCGTCCTGACGCCGTTCTCCAAACAGGAAGTGCGTCAGCCTCAATTTGCGCGCACACTTATGAAACCACCAGTCGTACATTTTATGCAAGCCATCTGATGGGCGGATAGAACGAATCGCCAACGGCATTACAAAATTGTAGAAAAGTAGATCAACCGGGAATTCCAAAACGGGCTCATTGGACGACCAGTGTATCGGGAGTACTTCACGGAAAGTCAAGGATAAGCCCCAAACAACACCGCCGAGGCAAACGATAACAAGACCACCGTACACAAATGCGCTGAAAGCGATTTTACGCAACTGGGTAGTGATATTGCGCTCAAGAACATCGCGTACGGGGTGGAATGTAGGATCGTCGGGATCACGGATGAAATCTAACACATATTTTTGTTAGTCCAAAGTTGGTATTTCAGATATCCAGGGGATATACTCTGTACTCACATAGGACGCCATTCCGCATAATCTTTCGACACATGGACACGAAAAGGGCAAAATGGAACATGTAACAAGTCCCGATGAACCAATGGACGAATAGAGAGGTGAACGGCGAATCCAGCATGAATGCAGTTCGTGAAGCTAATGTTGCACCGCGGAAAAGTGGAAGAAGGGCAATGTCGAGCAGAATGCCACAATATAGTGGGAACACAATCATTTCGATACCAATGATGATGATCACCTTCATTACTCCACCAGCTTGTTGCAAAACATCAGCCACCGTCCCTTCTGCCCGATTCTCTTGACGTGGCCTGGAAAACAGAGAAGAAAATTGGAGATAAACCACCCCAAGAAGCGAGGCAAAGCAATACCCAACTATAATTGCTATGATTCGATCCTTAGTGTCCCATTGTGCCAACTCATGGTTCAATGACAATGAAACTTTTGGCTCGACTCCACCGACCTTTAAGCTGGGCCAATTTTCTTTCTCCAAAAAGAAGAGTGCAGACTTTCCAACGGTCACAACAGCGACAGCAGCTGCGTTCAATAATTTCATAGGTTCAAGAGGAAGTATGGATGTGATGAGTCGTTGCAAGGAATCCTGTTCGAGGAGAAGTAATGGGACGTCGTAGAGAATTGTCTTCCCAACGTTCATTACAAAGTTGAAAACCGTTGCGACTCGCCCTTGGTGGATCCTCAAGGCTTGGTGAGATAAAACGGAGAACATGGGCAAGTCCGATTCGTGGAATGTGAAGAATGCCCCGAGAACACCTTTAAGGCGCTGGCTGCTACCGTCGATCATAGATAGCGAAGCAGCTGTAATAGCATTACTTGCCGAAAATTTTGTGAGAAAAGGGATGAATCGTCCAAATGTGACGAGGATGTAACGGAGCAGAACGTTCGCCAAGTATACAACATATCCCAAGCTGCCGAGTAGTGTGTCGACGGTGATGTCAGCAACGAGAGACACAATTGCAATTGGCACGCCAATAAACAGCCGTATCGGATTCGTTAAAAGAACCAGTGCGATTTTACCCCATAGGTACGGCAGCCAAATCCCAACAGCAACTGTGAATGATACGAGCAACGCGCTGAACACCCCATTTTGTAGTAAGCCGACGATAGGACCCTGCATACCGATAAGTTCCAAGATACCTTCCAGATCATCAGCGTCGTCCACAGCATCAACATCGTCGGGGTCGACTGGAGCAAGTGGGCCATCAGCAAATCCAGGTTGGTCCATTGGGTCATGAAAATGACGATGTCCGTCTGGTGCAGCATCGAATGGAACCTCTTGCGCGGGTTGATCAATGACATGGCCGGCATCGTCCTCTTCTGCTTGGTCGTCACCTTCTCCTCGCTGAGGAAGGGGCACCCCACCCCAAAACCAATTCGAGGCCCGATCAAGCAGATTTTCATGAAGAGGATCTACTGCTTCTATAGGAGGTGGTTGCTGAGGTGGAGATATCAAAGGCTCAACTTCCGCAATTGGGAATGGATTATGCTCGTTGCTGTCAAGTTCTGAAGCGGGCGGTTCAGTGGTAGTTGAGGGGCTTGAAGAGTATTGAACCGCTTCTTGTTGTAGAGAGGAGTGATCTACTATATTATTCAAGGGAGCATGGGATGATAGGTCAACTGTATGAGTAGATCTGGATGGCCCGGCCTCTTCGGAATCAAAGGATGCAGGTAGAGTAAAGGGCTCGAGGCTTGGTAAGGTGGGTGAAAAGGATTCTGCAAGTATATTAGAATTTGTGGTTGGAATTCCAAACCTCACGGGAAATGGCCGCTCAGGTTCATCGTGGTTTTCGAACGGCTTCTCTTCAATGGATTTAGCACTCGCAGAAAACGACTGACGTAGGTCGTGATCACGATCGATCGGCGCATCAATCGAACCGTTGGGGGCTGAAGCAAGCCCTTCGTTGTTTTCCTGCACATCTCTTGCAGACACTTCGCCGAATTTGAATCCCTGTTCACCCACACGCTCTAATTTTTGCATTGCTGCAATTACCCAGGCCAGCTCTTCTTGACGTCCTTCTTCCTCGATTAATTTTAATATTTCTGTTGGATTTCTCCCACCACGCGTCCACAAGTCTTTGAACACATCAAGACCAGGCCACTGTGCATTGCCATGACTGTCAGAATTTGCCACTATTTCGTCATTGGCTTCGCGGGTCGTGGAGGGGTGCTCGGGAATATTGTCTTCTTCATGGACGTGGCTCGAATTGCTTTCAACCTCTGAAGACCAATGTTGGCTATGTGATTCAAAGTTGTCCGTGGTGCGATAAGGATGTTGGACCGATGATAGAGGCGTCTCGATCGGTTGAGGATGGCCCCAATCTGGAAATCCGGTGTCCCGGTGTCCAAGTATATCTTGATTTTCTTCTGGATGTACTTCTTGGTTTTCTTCTTGATTTAGTTCTTCGTTCGGTTCGTCATGGGCTGCCTCATTATGGGCATGCCCAACAGGATCTGGTCGTTGCTGGCCAGCAGGGTGATTCGCTACAGCATCGACAACAAGCTGAGCAACTGCTTCTCGATCTGCCTCAGCAAGATTGATCACAGGTTGTTGCTGCACCACCCATTCTCTAATCAAAAATACAAGAATAAAAGCAATAACAACAGAAAGGGTAATTATCTGTCCTTCGAAAGTATCTATTAAAATATTATTCAGGGTGGAGTACGGGGTCAAGTTGTTTAAAAAGGAAACGTCTGAAAGCCAGGATGGTTGGCGAAACCGTCGAATAGACGCGCTTGTTGTATTCGTCGAGTTTGAGCCTACGGCCTCGAATACGGGTGAAGTCGTTGTTGCCCAGGTGCCCCATAGAAGCTTCTTCATGATGGTGTATATCAAGGGCTCGCCAGCTGAAAAGTTGAGCATGGCGGAAAATGGTGAGATGAAGAGTGGAAGTGTAGGCGTATTCTGTTGCCCTAACCCCGTAGAGAGGTTGTTTGATGTGAGTGTGTTGGCAGGAGACGTTCCGCGGGCGGCAAGCTGATCGAGGGCCCGGCTTGCTGGAGGCACACGCGAGGCGTGGTAGAATTCAGGGTTTGGCCAACGCCCATCAGCTAACCAAAACAGACCTCGCCAGATAGCTCTCATGGACCATGGGAGCCACCCTAGCCATACGAAAGCAACCAGGACGAAGCGTAGCCATGTAAGTAATGACCGGCCACCCTGAAGAATGAGTTCTTTGAGGAAGACTGGCGCGGGTAGCTCCTGCGGCATATTTGGATCGTAAAGTTTTGTAAATCTGAAGGGCGTCTTGCAAAGCTCGCAGTACTTCTTTTGCGAATGGGATAGCCACTGCATCAGACAGTCTTGGTGGACGAATTTGATGCTCCCGCTACATTTGCACGGATAATAGAGCTGCTCCTCCTCGGTGCCTTCGCCGCGACATATTCGACAAGTGTCATATTCGTCCACGCTTCGTTTGTTGGACGCTGTGTTTGTGGCAAAGGCAGGGTCATTCATGATATCAGGCAAAGGACCAGCCCTCCCGTCCCGACCGGCAGCCATCCGGTTTATATCCATCGTCCTAGGCGTCAAGAAATTAGGAACGTTTGGGAAACAGAGGGGATGACCATGCTATCATAGATGCTGGGGTCCATATGCCCGCATTCCGAGATATCGAATGCTCGTGTTCGTGCAGTGGAGGGTTACGAAAAAGTATCTGGACGCTGTGGCGGTTAGTGCACTTCTCAAGAGATTCCGCGAAGGTTATAGGTTAAGGTTCTGGGGAATCGTTTATCCCTTTGAGGTTTTTGGTCGCGCGACGTCAAGGATAAGCTGCCTTTACTCAGCGAAGTCGATAGCGGAACAATATTTATCCGCAATATATATATTACATCTGGTACGGTTCTGTACGGCTCAAATACGTCACAACCAGGCATCAGCCAGCCAATACGCGCCAAGACACAGTATTGTGGCTGACAAAGCGACGTCAACCACATGTGATTGGCTGGCGCGAGACATCCAACCTCCGCAAGCTCGAAACAGGAATACACAGATGGTGAAACTGCTCTGCGGGAGAGAGAAGAGAACAACATATATATAACGCTGACCACTCTCTCGTCTCTCGCTGACGCATTACCATGCGTTTTTATTATCGTTTAGCTCCTCATACAGTTCTTCCCGACTCATTTACAGCTTCTTTTGCCGAAGCTAACTAGTCCACTGAGCTCCATGCCAAGGCTCCTCTTAGTCCTGCCATATTTCTAACCTCTTGTTTGCCTTGACGTGCGCTGGCTCCTCCTTGCGCTTCTCTTGCGAGGCTAGCTACTTGCCTATGATTTTTCCTTTTCACGTCTTTTCTTTGCGACGTACGCAGTAGATGAGCGCTAGATTACTCTGTCCCTACAGCGCGTCGAGGTAGCAAGAATAGAGCGGCGCGTCATCTCCCGCCACAGGAATGGAGACGGTGGCAGCGGGAGCAGGCGGCGGGAATATCAAGAAGGGTCAGGTCAATGGTCTTTCCTTTCGGAAACAAACGAAAGAAAGAAAAGATGATCGGAGACGACCTGCTAGCTTCGTGCGATGGTCACTTGCAGTTATCCTACGGTATGTTGTTTCGTGGATGCTGTGGATCTCTACAATACTGATTTTTTTTTCTTTTTTTCCAATACAGACTAGCCATATGGTATGCCCTAATTACGCCGTTATTCTACTGTCCATCAACCCTCCCAGAATTAGATGGCAATTATCCAAGCATTTGCTCGCCGTATTTGATTGCGCGGTCACACATAGAGCCTCATATATCGCCGTATTATGAAACTTACGGAGCTCCCTATGTCGACAACGTACGCCCTTATGCACGCACTTTCAACGAGCAGATATACATTCCTACTGCCGATTTCACAAAACGCAATTACCGCGCATATGGAGCGCCCCATATTGAGAAGTCCGCATCGTATATTCGGAACCAGTGGGAAGGCATCGTGACACCGCATATTCACTCACTACAAACCTCCTTGACTGGTGCATACCAGTCATCGATTGAGCCGCATTACGCACATATTGCTTCAGTAGTAACTCCCTATTACTGGACAGCAGTTGCCCGCCTTGATAACGTGCGTCAATCGTATATTGCTCCCTTTTATACGAAAACGAAACCAGTTATTGTCAAAACATGTTCCTCCACGTATGATATTGTGGTGAACACGATATATCCGTTCAGTAAAAGAGCATGGTCGTATCTGGTGACATTCGTCAATGAGACATTCCTACCTAGAATTGCTAGAGTCTATGGCGAGAATGTTGAGCCTCAGTTGCTTAGGATTGGCGAGAAGCTCGCAAGTTATCGTGAAGGCCGGAAGCTTGGTGCTGTTGGTGAAGAAACTGAAACGTAAGCCCTCGGCCTATACCACTTCCGTGTATCTCCCTTGGAGGATCCTCTCCGGTTGTCTCTAGAAACCTAAACTATAATTGCTCCCGTATTATTTAAGCTAATGCCTCAACAGTTTAACCGAAACATCCGGTTCAGCCACCACTGCTTCATCGCCTGCAACTACCGTGGCACCGAAGACTTCTGAATACAGTCACTCGACCACTTCTACTTCCACATCTGTGGTGCCCCCCGAGCAATCAGTGGATAAAGTGAGCTTTGCGCGTGAAGCCATAGCCACAGATTTGAAAACATGGCAACAAAAGTTCGCCATTGCGGCTGATAAAGGAGCCGAAGACCTCGATGAACAGGTCGCGAAGATTGTAGAGAGCTACGTGAACGACGTACAGGGGTCTGGCGAAGCACTCGTTTCCGAGTTAGAAACGGTGGGGCATCAAGAGCTCGAATCTCTAAGAAAGAAAATTATCGATATCATCCGTGATATGCCTGATAAATCTACCGTTGAAGATCGCGAAGCCGCTGAGCAACAGTTAATACAAGCTGTTAGGGCATCAGGTTTTGCTCTTCGGGAAGCTGCGCAGAAGCTCCGACAGTGGCTGGCGAACTTTGATAGGAGCCTTCATATGGAGGTAACCAGCGCTTCTGACGCCACAGTCGAAGTCCTTGACCAGATCCGTGACCTCAGCCTTCAGAATATTGGGATGAAATGGGCGTGGATGGACGGTGTGACATACAAAGATTGGGCGAAATATAATGCGCTAAAGAAGCAACTCCATAGCTGGCGGGAGGAAGTTAGAGCAGTTGGGATGCAGCATGGCGCTTACGAAGAAGCAAAGGCACTTGGAAATGATATTGTCAACAAGGGTATGGTGATTGCTGAAGCGACGGCCAAGGAGCTAGCTAGGCTCAAGGCGGTTGGGAAGTGGAAGATTGAAGCAGAGGATATCAGCGATGATTTTGAGACGAGGACGAGTGATGCAGCTGAAGCTCGTGCCAGCAAGAGAGCATCAATGGTTCCAGACAAACCCGAAATAATGCCAGATCCTGAATATCAATCCATGTTATCGCCTGAGGATGAGCTCAACGAGGGAGATTCTTTTGATAAAGATCACTCCATCGACACTGACACATATATCGGCGTCGTTGACGATACGCCGGAAGCTAATGACGAAGGAGACTCCGAAAACAGCGCGTATTTTGGAGACGAACACGATGCGCCACCATCTGAAATATTTTTCAATGATGTTCCAAAACATGAGCCTGAGCTTGAGCCTGTGGCCATCGTAGATGATGAGGATGCTAACAATGAGCCTAATGTTTCGGGTGGAGTTGACGCTGCATTCATAGAGCATGACAATCAAGCGTCTGCTGATACTCCTGAGCAGACTCTGGGTGATGTCCCAACCCCACCCCACCAGCAATCGTTTTCGTCGACCGTATCTCCGTCGGCGAGAGTACTCTCGGAGCAATCCTCTATTCCCATGCCACCCCCTGAAGCCAGTTCCCTTTACTCAGACTCGATTTCTCAGGCTAAGAATCTCTATGACAGTGCACATTCAGCTGCCAGCGCTCAGAATTCTGGAGCCCCAGACGAAGGAATTGTGTCGTCGATTGAATCTGCTTACTCGGGGTCTCTCCAACACGCGAGTGAAAACCTTGAATCTCGGCTCAAAGCAGCATCAGAATACGCAGGGATTCGCCTTAGCCCTACCCCAACCCTGACATTAAGCGATAACATCCTCGCTAGTGCTTCCGCAAAGCTGCAAAAAAACCTCGAGCGCGCATCTCTCAGCCTCGCAAGCGCAGTGGCAAGCGGCACTGACGAAACAGAGCTTCCCGGCCAGCAAATCATCCTCGATGCACGCCGCCGTTATTACGAAGCCGTTCGCCTTGCTCATGACGAATATTCCATTTTTATCGACTCCGCATCTAGTTCCGTGCCACCTACTAAAGAAACCACTATTACTAACACTCCGATCAGCAACAAGCCCAGCAAGCTAATTCTTGAGGAAGCCAATTCTGAATTCAGTGTCGTATCCTCGCTAGCATCTGCCAGTTTAGATGCGGTTCTGTACTCTATTTCCTCGGTAGGGACCGCCATCGAACCGGCCAAAGCGACTAGTATTATTGAGGACGCCTCTTCGAGATATCACGATGCACTCTCTGCTGCTACCGCATCACTTGAGTCGGTGTCGTCCACCGCGAGCAGAATCGTCAGCTCTCCGACGAATGCTGCTGCCCACGAAACAGGCAAGGACGAGCTATAGGTTGATTATTACCTAAATACGATCATCGACAAACCACGCGAAAAGAGAGAGAGAGAGAAAGAGAGAGAGAGAAGGGAAGTTAAAACACATTACCTCCTGTTTCTTCTTAACTTTCATATTTTTTTCAAACAACAGAAAAATCAAAACCACAAAACGGAAAATTCACGCCTTTGTAACCATATCCACATATGTATCCCATATACCCACCCCCTGTCGCTGGTTTGATATATTTCTCTCTCAACTCGCCATTTATCTTCCTTTTGCCTGTATGTTGTTGCTTTGATATCTGTACATTTTGGTTCGGCTATATATTCGTTACCAGTCGAGGTTCCCAACGAAATGACATGACTCTCTTTTTTCTTTTTTGGTTTGGACAACGTTTCATTAAGCAGCTTTTTTTTTCATTTTCTTCGTTAACCAATGCTGAGCAATGTCTACTTGTAAAATGGCACCATAAAGTTCCTCCTGGAAATGAAAACGCCAGCAATATACATGAGTATACAATAACACAGCGGCCGCGCTTTTGGTTTTGGACAATCTAAATAAAGAAAAGCGAAAAAAAGCACGCAAAATCCCCGACCCGTAGCCGTATATGTCTTAAGGACCAAACACCCGTCCAAAACGCCATCACCGATACCTAACCCTCTGCGCCCCTCCCCTCTTCTCCATCTTCTTCTGTCTCTTGCTCTCCGTGCCTTCGCCACCCGTAGCACCCTCCCCCAACCCCGCCATGCCCGCCATACCCCCTTTAAGGCCAGCAAATGTCGAATAGAGCAACCACGCTGAGTACAACGGTACAATCACCCACAACCACCACGCGCGGTCACCAAAGACACACACAGCCCCCATACACCCCCACGTCCAATACATTACATCCCAAAAATACTCTGTGAGACCAGGTGCGTCTAGGTCTTCGCCAGCAGAGCGAAGGGTGGATCCGCCGCCGGCCCCAGCACCAGGAGTTTTATAGCGCGGGCGACCCAGGCGCTCGAGGTAGAATTCTATGGCGAGGGTTGGGGTTGTGAAAATGAGGTAGAGGGTTAGGGAGCGGGGGCGGTTGAAGAGGAAGTGGAGGAGCAAGTAGATGAGGTGGAGGGATAGGGTTGTTAGGTGTGTGCGGTTGAGGAGGCTGGTGTTGCGGGTTGCGAGAGTTTTGGCGGCTTTCTGGGTGTGAGGGTTTACATTAGTACTAATTGGATTGGAAGAATTGGAGGGGGTAGGAGGTGTTACCTGTGCCATTTTATTGGTGGTACTGCCCGCGATCGGGCTATATAATATAGATTGTGTGTAGAGGTGTTGTGGAGGTGTTTTGTTTGTGAGGAGTGGAAAACTCCGGGGACAATTCAGAGTCCAGCAACTACGCCTATTATAGGTCCATGGATTTTGATTTAATCAGTAAAATAAACTAATTTGATACATGATTATGCCTATGGGGTAAACTCCACCAGCGTATGCAGGCTTTTATTGACATGGCAACGTGATACGGAGTCTATGGACTGGTACCTGGCAGCCCAGCCTTCCACCACCCAACCACAGGTACTCCTCCACCGCCCGCCACCGCCCAGCTGCCACCAGCCACAGGGTTTGTCCAGTGACCTCCAAAACATCCCAATCCATCGATCGATTAACTCCCGCGATCGCTGTCTATATCCCGTCTCAGCTAACCTCCGGCCCGCATCTCTCTGTGGACACTTTTGTTGCATCCTTATGGCCATCTTGGGATCCTCTTGACCCAACAGCAATATGCCAGCCTAGACCGCCGCCCATAGAAACTGGTACTGGATGTTGTTGTCCTGTTAAGCCTGACTTGGTGTTTGAAAACAGGAAAACCGCTCCTCCTCCTGCTCGCCTCCGCAACCCCCCTCGAAATCCCTAGGATCCAGTCTCGATTGAATTTGTGGGGAAAGATGCCCTTTGCCATCTCCACAGTGAACTGTCCTTCAACCTTTACATGAAAAAGCGCGTGGTGTCCTGTCTCGCAACTTCCCTGGTTTCCCGTTTGGGCAAACATACCAAAAATCTCCACCTCCACCTCCACCTCCAACACCTACACGCATAATACATACTCTCATCTACCTCAATAACTACGTACCCTCAGACTCCCCCTCCATACCTGCATGAATTACTCCCGGGAGAGAATACGCCATCCGCTACCTCTGCTCGTCCTGTCCTAGGAACCCACTTAACCTCGAAACGCATACATTACAAACAACAAAATAGTAATATAAAATCTTCACCCTATGCCATGGCGCCCTCTGCTCCCCACATCTCTAGCCAGTTGAGGCAATTGATATACTATCATCTCGATAATAACCTCATCCGCAACGCCCTCTTCCTCGCCGGCCGTCTCCATGCTTTTGAGCCCCGGTCTTCTGAGGCCTCCTTCCTCCTCGCCCTTTGCCACCTCCAGAGCGGCCAGCCAAAGGCTGCTTGGGAATACAGCAGGAATTCTGGGTCCAGAGGGACGCATTCTGGGTGTTCGTACGTCTATGCTCAAGCATGTCTGGACTTGGGCAAGTACATTGAAGGGATTACTGCATTGGAGCGGAGTAGGGGTCTGTGGGCTTCCAAGAATACCTGGAGTAAGTAACAGGTCCTTTTTTTTATTTGCCTCAGTTACAGATGCGTATATGCGAGGACTGCGCAATTGGGACTATGTGAGGAGTAGAGCTGACAACTTCCCAAATGTAGATAAACATAGCGAAACAAGACGACAGCATCTCCCTGATGCTGCAGCATGTCTTTGCCTACAAGGAAAGTTGTGGCACGCCCACCAGGATCTGCATAAGGCGGTCGATTGCTATGTTGAGGCTTTAAAACTAAACCCTTTCCTTTGGGATGCATTTCTCGGTCTCTGCCAAACAGGTAAACAATAAACAAAATAGCAAGAGCTCTTCAATGGTTTGGTGTGGGGACAACTGCTAACAGTATACCAAATGGAAAAGGTGCCAATGTACGGATCCCCAACATCTATAAGATATCTCCAGAAATGTTGGCAATGCTTCCGTCCTCGCCTGCGGGCGAAAGTCTTCCAGTTTTCGAGAAGGTTGCACAAACAAACGGCCCCTTGCAGGTTCAGCCAAATATTAACCATAACTTGGATCCGTTCGCTTCGTTTAATGCTCGTACTGATGCCGCGAATGGTTCCTCCGCGCTTTGGGAAAAACTAAATGGCAGCAATGTTGTTTCGATCAATGCCCCGGCTCCTGAAGGTCTGGAAACTCCCATTGCACAAAGCGATTCGGACGAATTTCGAGGCGGTGGTGGTGGTGTGGCTTCTGGTGAACAGACTTGGGATCCCCCTCTTGCACCTGCCAGGAAGAATAAAACCATACAGACCCTGAGTCTGGATTATGGTGCCGATCCCCCACCTAAAATGAAAGCGACAATCAAACCCCGAAGTAAGGCTAAGGTGGACTCAGAGGATCCGAACCCCGTTATTGTCTCTAGGGAAACTGCCCCGCCTGCATATGGGAGCGAACGGAAAAGGACAGTATCCGGTCAGGTTGCCCACCCAACAAGCTCACAACCCCCTGAGCCAGGAGCTCCACAGCGACGAAGTGTACGGCTGTTTAACCAAATCCGCCCAACCAGCAGCAAATTTTCAACAACTTCTGCGGCGTTCGGAGCGCGGGAAGGTCGGGAGATCAAAAAGGTGAAGTCTACAGGTGCGAAATCTCGGAGCGCTTCTGGGTCGACCTCGACGATGGGCCGAGTGGTGAGCGGTAATCGAAAGGCAGCTCCAGATGGAATGGACATCGACAGTAAAGAGAGTCGAGGAGTTCCCGTTTCTGCGGTTCCGAATGGTGTGGCCGGTGGACAATCGAAGAGCTCCGTGCTGGACAAATCCAAGGACATCGAAGCGCTTAACTGGGTCTTGGATCTTTTTTCAAAGCTTGCCGAAGGTCACGCAGCGCTTACGACATATAAGTGCCAAGAGGCAATACAAATATTCAACACACTCCCGCAAAGCCAGCGGGAAACACCTTGGGTTCTGTCACAGATTGGCCGAGCGAATTACGAGCAAGGTTTATATGCAGAAGCTGAAAAATATTTCATTCGTGTTAAAACTATCGCACCGTCGAGGTTGGAGGATATGGAAGTTTATTCTACAGTTTTATGGCATTTGAAAAATGAAGTAGAATTGGCATACCTGGCACACGAACTGATGGAGATAGACCGACTCTCGCCGCAAGCCTGGTGTGCCATAGGTAACTCCTTCTCTTTGCAATCTGACCATGACCAGGCGCTCAAGTGCTTCAAACGGGCAACGCAATTGGATCACACTTTTGCCTACGCCTTCACCTTGCAAGGCCATGAGCACGTCTCGAATGAAGAATATGATAAGGCGTTGGATGCATACAGACATGGAATCAGCGCTGACAGCAGACATTATAATGCATGGTACGGTATTGGCAAAGTATATGAGAAAATGGGTAAATATAAGTTTGCGGAACAGCACTATCGAACAGCGTCCAATATCAACCCGACCAACGCGGTGTTGGTGTGGTGTATTGGTCTGGTGCTGGAGAGGATGGGCAATCAAAAGGCGGCATTGCTTCAGTACGGGCGAGCCTGTACACTTGCGCCCCAGTCAGTTCTTGCTCGACTGCGCAAGGCGCGGGTTTTAATGAAGCTTAATGAGCTCAAACTTGCACATGTGGAACTCAAGATTCTGAAGGATCTTGCACCTGATGAACCGAATGTACATTACCTGCTGGGAAAGTTGTATAAAATGCTCCATGACAAGGCCAATGCGATCAAGCATTTCACGACGGCCTTGAATTTGGATCCAAAGGTATGTTTCTACTTCTCTTTTCTTCTAAGCCCCACTTGCCTAACTAGTCGGAGTATATGCTAACAAGGAATTTCGAAATATAGGCTGCTCAGTTTATCAAGGATGCGATGGAATCGTTGGAGAATCCCGAAGACGATGATGAAGATATGGGATGATGAAAGCGCAGTTTTGCTGCTGTGTATCTTGTTTCTTGAATTTCCCATTGTAGAGACCTCACTCTCATTCCATCCTATGGACCCGCACTCCAGCCTTGTTGCTCTTCCTCCTACCTCTTACCATTCTCCCCGCTCTACCATCACCTCACGTGTGTCTCCAATTACTGTCTTGTCATTTTAGCTGAACGAGAGTTCTAGATGTGGTTTTTGATTTGATGTGATTTGGGCTTTTTTACCCCCTGTTCTGGTTCTGGGCATTCGGTTTGGTGTTTGGATTTTTTTTTTCTTTCATTTTTTTTTTTTTTCAAAAACGGCACGACATGCACGAGCATGAAATGGAGCATGAGCATGAGAAACAGGCGTTTTTCTGGATATGCGATCTGTTTAGACAATTTCTTCTTCTTCTTCTTTTCGCGCCTCCTTTTTTTTCTTGTTTTATTTCGCCGTTTCTTACTTTCGCCACACTTCTTTCCTTTAATTCTGGATAACAACTTGCGCAGATGTACACATTCTCTCGACTGAGGAACTGTGACAAGGGTGGGACTGATTGGAGTGGTAATGGGGAAAAATGCTGAACCCTGAGCCCTGAAGATATATATCCAAGTGGTGGATTTGGGAAGTGTCAACTCAACCCTATGTCTGGCCCGGCTTTACAGCTGTAAGAGCAACCCTTTGAATATAAAATAAAACTCATTACCCGTAGAGACGGGATTTATTCTTATTACCATTTTCGTTATTACTACGGCCTTTTCCCCCTCCTATTATCCTATAGAGCGGCCTATGAGCAGGCAGGCAGCGTAAGACCTCTGTAGAAGCGAGCAGGTGGAGACCCTTAGAGAGAGAGAGAGAGAGAGAGAGAGAGATTGCCAGAGAGTCAGCAGAGATCTTGCCACCCGACATATGAAGCTATTGCATCTTGCTAAAATTAGGGTGTTAGTACGGTGGAAAGCCGTAAAGCAAAAATATATGTTGTATTTGCATGTGAAAAATGCCGGGAAATCTGATAATTTCTTTTCTTTTCTTTTCCTTTTTTTTTTAACTGCTCTGAGGGTGTTCACGGCTTGGATGTTATTTCCATAACCCTTGGCCACTCTATTTTATCTTTATACATCTATTTATATACACCTTTATTATCATTAGTCTGCCCGGTGTTCTGTCCGGATGTCGAGGCTCCGCCGGTCAAAACACCTTCAGGCCGGGTTCCCAACAAACGCTCTTGACGCCGAAAATTAATACCCAACAACCGACCGGGTCAACCCTGGAACCAACATCATTCCCACGCCACTTCCTCCCCTCTCCACAACACAAATAAAAGAAAAGATAAGGGAAAAAAAGGGGGAGAGAACAATCACAAAATCCCACACACAAAAGGAAAATCAAAAGAGGAAGAGAGAAAGAGAGAGAGCAGAAAGAAAGGGAAAGAGAACTTGGAAAGGAACTCGCCCACAGAAACCAACCACTGGCATGGCCATCCTCTCCTACCTCGTAAGGAGCCTCACCTCCTACCTCGCCCTGACCGTCTCCCTCTTCGGCCTCTCTTTGAAATTCCCGCGCGCCGGCTTCTTTGCCCGCTGTCTGGCCGCTTACGGCTGTCTCGTCGTCTGCGCCACCTACGGCGTTGTCGCCTCCATCGTCTTGCGCCTATTCGGCTACGGCGGCCTGTCGCAGTGGACCGTCGCACGCAGCTTCAAATGGGCCATGCGACTGTGTACCGGGTCGTGCTTTGAGGTCGTCTCCGGCACCGAACACCTCAGCACGCGCCCCGCTGTCTTCATCTCAAACCACCAGACGGAGCTAGATGTGTTGTTGCTTGGTGCGATCTTCCCGCCCTACTGCAGCGTGACGGCCAAGAAGTCGTTGTCACGCGTGCCGGTGCTTGGGTGGTTCATGACCCTGTCTGGCACCGTGTTTATTGACCGGGCGAATCGGGAGACGGCCCTGAAGGCGTTTGATGGTGCGGCGGACCAGATGCGGAGGGAGAAGCAGAGCGTGTTTATTTTCCCGGAGGGGACGAGGAGTTACTCTGCAGACCCAGTGTTGTTGCCGTTTAAGAAGGGGGCGTTCCATTTGGCGATTAAGGCTGGTGTGGATATTGTTCCTATTGTGGCGGAGAATTATGCGCACTTGTTGGATGTAAAGAAGTTGCGCTTCGAGGCTGGGACGATTCGGGTTAAAGGTGTGTGTGTGTGTGTGTGCATGTTCTTTTTCTCTCCCTGTTATCGTTTGCTTGCGACAAGCCCGTCGGGATAGGGAACACCCAACCCATTTATATATCCAAAATGGTCTGCGCACCTTGTCAGTGGAGAAATTTGGCTAACGCGCATTTAGTACTCCCACCGCTCAGCACCAAGAATCTCCAATCCAGTGATGTTGACGAACTGACCAAGAAGGCACGGGAGTCGATGCTGGAAGTTCTCCAGGAGATGTACAAGACGAGAGACACCGGAAATATGGACAAATCGTCATCTAGGAGCCCTGTCGCAATGGCTTCCCACGCCTCCTCTACTGCCATTGAGATTTAAAGCAGCCCGAAAGCAGTAAAATAGAGAGGAGCCGCAGAGAAGATACACAATGCGTCACCCCCCTTTTTTCCCTGTCTCCTAGGTCCGTTTTATATCGAGTACTACACCGCGTGGTCTCGATATTCCCCTAGCGGAAACAAATACAACGCTATCTCCCTCACTCACATTTATTGACATGAGATGGGCTTCCCCGAAATACCGAGATATTGCATGATGGAAACCATAATCGCCTTTTTTCTTTCTGTTTTCACTTTTCCTAATTTTCATTTACGACACGTATAAAACGGACCCTCACGCACAGACGTACATATAATGTATATAACTACTGGAACGGGATTTATGACGTGTCGGGAATTAACGACTTTTATTCCCAGCACTGTAAATGCCCATCATATCTCTCTACATGAGAGATACGCCGAACGCAACTGCTATCCAAGCAACGAAACACGTACCGACCTGGGCACTAGAAGGGATGCCCATCCCATCCGTGTCCTTCCCCTCTCATACAACATACAGACCTTTTCTTCTTTCTTCCTCCTTCTTACCATCGTGTTTTACTTGCCACATGTACAAGGTTTGCTCCTATTCCAATACCAGACCTCCGATTAACGTGTGCGCTTGAGCTTGAACACTTAGCCCCTTATTCCTGATTTCTATTTTTCCGTATCCATTTCCATTTCGTTGCTTGCCTATCTCCGCTGCACCAATAAGTAGGAGACGCCAAATTTGGCAGCACCGCGAAACTGGGTAGCGAAGCGGTTTTTGCCCCAGAAAACCCACTTCACCCCCTTCGACTTGCCTCCTCCTTTTCGCCTTGAAGCGGCCGGCATTTCCTATAAACACTTCCTGTGTACCTATACATTGTGCATTTCCAGCGCGTCTAGGAGTTTTTTTCCGGTGCTATTTATCTCCTTGTCTTTTTTCCGATTTTGATGTTTATTTCGCTGTTTTTGCTTTCTTCTCTTCCCATCCCTTTTGAGTGGTCATTTTTCTACCGCCAGTCTAAGCTGCCATCTGTATGTATGTGGGTACTTTTCAATATGACGATAGACGGATAGATAGGGCAATGTAAATATATAGACTTTTTTTTTACTTCCAATTTTGGAGAGAGATGACGGGTTATAAAGATAGGATATAGATAGATAGATAGATCTATATAATTTGACAGAGATTTACGATCGGTAGATCAACAAATATATAAGACAACGACAATAATCCTATCGGCCCAAAATATTATATGTGATAAATATGGGGTCCCTTTCAAAGCTACGGAGCAAATTTTCATAAATGGTCGTGATGTGGTTCCCCACTATGCTGCGGCTGGCGGTCGCAGTGTACAGGTGTCAGAAGTAACTACGAAGCATTAGCAGCCACCACAACGTAAAGAGGGAGCGTACGCTTACCGAAGGAACAGGAACCCCCCTTGGAGCTCCAAAGGCAGTTGCAGCATGTGCGGGCGCGGCCAGCAGGACGGTCGCGCGCAGGAGACAGGACACAAAATTGGAACGGCCCCTTGCCTCGCGCACAACCTGCGCAGGGAACAGGCGTATACTCACCGCGGGTATAAAAGAGCGCCACGTCTCCGTTTGGGCTACCCTGCACACGTATTTCTGTCCTACGAATAACTAGTTCCGAAGTCATACGCCAACAAAGGGGACGATGACATTCATCCGATAGGCAAGAGGCGCGACGGACAAATAACTGGCGAATCGGGTTGTGTCGTACAACACTTGCGTATGAAATCGCGTTTTGTCGGAGACAGTGGGAGCAGGAGGGGGGCGTGGAGGATAAAGACGCGCAGCGCCTCTCGAAGAGCGGGCGACGGGGAGGAACCGGCGGGGGAAGAAGGGGGGGGGGGATTGGCGGGGCCGAGAGAGGTGGAATCGGTGGGGGCAGGAGAGGCAGCAGCAGGGGACAACGCAGGGGCGTCCACCATCTCGTCATCTTCACGAACGCTGCCACCGCTGCCCACGTCCTCACCAACTGCTTCGCCTGCGTCCTCATCGTTATCCAAGGCATCCATGTTGTCATCGTCGCGTTCGACCCCCACAGCATCGTCGGAGGCAACCTCCTCAACAGGAGCGGGATCGCGCGCAGGAGGGGCATCAGGAGGGGAGCTGGGACGATCACGAGCAAGACGTGCGCTCTGGCGATGAGGAGTGAGAACTAGCAGCGATTAGCACCAGCAAAAAGCCAACGTAACCATTTGTTAAATGGCTACGCTCATAGTGATATATATACCTGTGGGCGTGGTGGTGTGGCTCGGCCCACAGCGGGCGTAGCCACCCAATCCACCACCTATACACTGCGACCGCCAGCCGCAGCATAGTGGGGAACCACAGTAAAGCAGATTGTACCCAGTGAAAACCCTTAAATCCAGACATAAATGCAGACCCAAACCCCAAACAAGACACAATCCGGCGCCCTTCCCCGCCCTCCCTACTCTCTCCCCTTTTAGTGCAAACATCCACATTTTCCACTCGCACAGGGCTCAACATCCCTCTCAATATCCACCAAGCGAAACTCATCCCACCGCGCCCCCTCCTCATGCGGTCCCATAGAATTCCCAAACCCACCCTCCCTACCCGCTGTCGCAAAGATGTAGTCATTCCCAAACGCTACAACTTCCAAACGCACCTCGGGCACTTCACGCCCATATAGCATAGCCCTAACCCCCGTCTCCGGCACCCCCCACAGCGAGGACGAAGACGTAGACGTAGACGGATATGGAGATAGATGTGAGAGCGGCGGCGCCGGAACAACAACATTTGCAAACTCCAGATCACGCAGCCAGGGTGCCAGCAGCGCCTCGCCCGTCATTTTAATATACGCCTCCTTCAGGGCCCAGTAGGTGTAGAAGAGGCGGATGCGGTGCGTTATGGATTCCTGCAAGTTCGCGGTGCCGCCGCCGCTGCTGCTCCTCGGATATGCCTTCATGGCAGCTAGTTCGTTTGCGGAGAAAACTTCGGCGAAGATGTCGATGAAGTCGTGCAGTTCGGCTTCTGTCCGTGGCGGGGCGCGGTGGCGGCGGGATGGGTCGTCGGTGCAGGTTATGTCTATGCCTATTTGAGGGGGGCTGGGAACGTGGTTATTATTATCATTGTGGTTGTTATTTGCGCTCGGGGTGTAGAGGGGTTGAGGGGAGGGCGTCTCATCCAAGCTTCGTGGTGAAGGGCTAATGCATCCCGCCAATGAGATGAGGGAAGCTTGGTGGCTGACGTTGAATTCGATATTTGGGACTGGAATCAGGGGATTCTGGTTTTGATTACCATCCGCAGGTGGAGATGGCTGCGGGGGGTGGGGGGGGATATAGCAGGGTCTTTTATGCGGGGCCGGAGTACGGCTGATGATGATTTGGTTCCAGGGGACTCGACATGTGCGGTGAATGAAGAGGTATTTCAATAGATAGGAGGCGAGAGACATGTGGCGGTCTGAAAGGTTGTAGAAGGCTTTTATGGTTGTTTGATCGGATTCTTGGAGGGTAGAGAGGAGGGGAAGTGATTGGGTTGTGGCCGTTAGAGGCCTGGTGTCAATGTACCATCTTGTTAGGGTTGGGGGAGAAGAAGATGGGAATGGCAGTGAAGCCATGCCTGCGAAGAGAAAGCAATATGAATATAATTATATGATGATCTCATATAATAAGTGTATGCAATGGTGTTTTGTATACGGATATTAACCACCCCGCGACAGTTAAACCTGCAATGCGGCAATGGAAGTATCAAAGTAGGATTATTTTGTGGATAGTAGAAAACCCAATTTCGCAATACAAGCAGAAACTATGCCAAAAAAGGGTATCATCAATGTCGTAGAACGCGTTGTAGTTGCGTGGTGTTTGTGATGGATGAAAGTTCGATGTTGCGCTAACTGCGGGACGGTCAGCTTAGTTTTAAACCGACAGGAGCCTCACTCGCGATCTTAGCGGCAGCAAGACTAACCAACCACCAATCTTCCGTGATTAGAACTATATCTAAAGATCTGTAGTTACTAACTGAGTCAAACTTGTTCGAAATATGCGGTAGAATACTAAAACAGTGATACCTGCCACACCAGCCTAGAGATCAACGAAACCAACTTTTAACCCTCCAGCTCTACCATCCCAGCTCCATAGAGCACAAGAACTGAACCATAACAAATATTATCGGTTTACATACAGCTCACCGGAACGGTGTTGCAGTCTCCAGACCAGACATCAGAAAGGACGACAACAAACCTCCCGTGACGAGGCAGGATTCAATGAGAGCTTCAAACTCGATATCAATCATGAGAAGATAGCATCGTGCCCCATATTTTATATCAACTCTTCAGCTACCGGGCGCGAAGGTGATGTGTAATCGAACGTGCACACACCCCCCAACGGCATTCGAGATTTGGTTAGATAGTCCGAAGTGGATACTGATCCTGGCGTTTATGCTCAATTTCTATGCCCTTATGATAGACATCAGCCCACCAGCCAACTGTGCTCCTCATCTAGATCCCTTCCAGCATGACTTAAGATTTCCTTTGTGCCATTCTGATTCCATACCCGCTGAAGCCTGTGGCAATGAAACTGTGTTGCATGATACTGCCGAATGTATGCTGAAAACTTGCATGAGGCAAATTCATTCAGGTTTGATTGAACAAAATAAATTTTGTCCAAAGAATAACCTCAATTGTTCCTGGATACCAAGAGGAGAGTTATCTGAGTTGATTTTTGATTTTGTAGTTATTTATCACAATGATACATACATCAAAAAAGAATGGATGTGGAAGCTGAAGTTGTTGAAAGCCTTGGACTGCTACTACTTGCCTGTCTCCATAGACAGCTTCCTTTCCCTGATTCAGAAGAAACTGACAGGCTTTATAAGAAGAAGTTGAAGAAAAAGAGTCTGCCACCGAATGCAAAGTATTAGCCTGGGTATGGACATCTTGGACGCTGCCAGTCAGATCCCCACTGCCACGATGCTTTGGGGCTACCAGGCTGAAGATCTGGTGAGGAATTCGGTGCGCTGCCACATTGGATAATGTAAGATCTGGCTGATGGTTCTGATCATGGTAAATGCATCTCTCCAATATCAACTTGAATTTGACCTGCACGCAAAGTCGCAAGAAGAATTAGATATTAGTAATCGATCAACTATAGTTTGGCTGTCCGGTGGATTCTGGGGCACAGATAGGGATAGGAAGTGAGCCAATTGCCAGGGAGAGGAAAGTCCAGAAGAATCCTTCGCGGGGCAACCATCTTCGTTGCAAAGTAACGGTGACAAGCACAATTGCTTGTTGGAGACCCTGGTACATTGTCCTATATCACGTGGTTTTTCATCATCGATCTCAGACTCTTTGCGACGGGGAGTCAGAGTTCGAGAATGTCGACTCGTCCAACTTACTCATTCATGCGATGACGATTACTGTGGGAGTTCTGGCCCTCCAAGGCGCTTTCTACGAACATTTGAAACTCCTACGTAAGGCTGCAGCAAGCCTGTCGCCGAACGAACCCCAAAAATGGAATTTTATTGAAGTTCGCACCCCGACGGAACTCGAACGATGCGACGGCTTGATCATTCCCGGCGGGGAGAGCACTACCATCTCCCTGGTTGCTGCTCGGTCGCAATTACTCGAGCCGTTGAGAGACTTTGTTAAGTGCGTTTCGTTCTTTTAGTAACGTTGACGGTTTTCCATACTATGTTCGCGTTGACTGACAATTGGATGCAATTTTTCAATAGATTCCACCGTCGGCCAACGTGGGGAACTTGCGCCGGATTGATCTTACTCGCCGAGTCGGCCAATCGGACAAAGGAGGGTGGCCAGGAACTCATTGGAGGCCTGGATGTGCGCGTAAATAGGAACCATTTCGGCAGGCAGACGGAGAGCTTTCAGACCCCGTTGAATTTACCCTTCTTGGCCGAAGGACGCCTGAAAAGCGAAGTTTCTGATCAAGCGACGACTTTCATGGGTGTGTTTATCCGAGCTCCCGTCGTGGAGAAGGTACTCCCATTCGTCAATGACATCCAGGTTGAGGAGCAGAAGCGGGAGGGGACAATAGTGGCGCCCTCACGCCATCCAAGGGATCCAGTGGCACGGAAGGCAATTAGTCACCATGTTGATGTGTTGGCAACGCTGCCGGGCAGGGCAGCTAAGCTTGCTGGGACGGGCGCAGACATCCATTCCGAGACGGATGCGGGAGACATTGTTGCAGTGAAACAAGGCAATGTTTTTGGCACCAGTTTCCATCCCGAATTGACGGATGATCCCAGAATCCATGCCTGGTGGTTGCAACAGGTTGAGCAGGCGGTGTTAAAATCGCGTGCCTCCCAGCAATAATGAATGAATGACAGTCGCATGCGAAGATGGCGGCTTCAACAACAAATGAGATACCCTACATGATGGATTTCATGGATCTGTTCGAATATCTGATAGAAAAATCCCCCTTCACATTGTGTACATAGAATAATGTAGAGATAACGCCGATATTTGCGCCACGATATTCCGACTCAGCCCACAATTATATCTTACCTCCCTTTCCCATACTCTTCTTCTTCCTTCCTTCGCTCATCAGCAATTGCCCTACCGTAACCACCACGTCCTGGATCGTATTCATCTCTATATTCGTCCCGAACCTGGCCACCAGATTTACCTCGTCTGTGGAGAACCAGTTAGCCCAATAGCAATTCCACAACCTCATCCTGCATCCAACGTACCCGTATTGTCGACCCTCCTGAAAGCCCGGGTCTAGATCTGTCCGAATTATGCGCTCATCCAGTTTCGTTCCTCCAATATATTTCATACAGTCGAGCGCGTCTTGATGGGTATAATATTCAACAAAACAGAAACCGCAGGGTGTTTTCGCAAACCGGTCGAGACCCATAACTAGCCGTTTGATCTCTCCGCATCTGTATTGGTCATTGTTAATAACCATCTTCTAACGTAAAAAGAAGGGTGTTCATCGACGCTGAGAAATATCTCTCACTTGGCGAACAGTTCATGTATCTGCTCCTCCGTCGTATAGAATGACCTATGTCGCATTTATGTTAATTGGACGTCAACCAAACATGATCTTGGCCTGTTGAAGTGCGGACATACAGGTTCCCGACATAGAGTGTAGTGGCATCCTTCAAAGGGTCAATGGGGTCTTCTTGGGGTCCATCTCTGTCGCCATGTTTCCTCCGTTTATTCTGCTACGAGCGAAGAGGTTTTGGTCAGTAATTCAATCCGACCAAGAGGGGGGGTGATAGACCAGCAATGACATACTTTTGATAGATAATATGCGCTCGGCTTGTCCAATCTTTCAATAGTAGGCCGCATCATGACTGTCGCGCTGTACTTGTATTGTCGTTTTTAAGTAGCGTTGTTCTCCTAGGTATTTATTTATTTGACGTTTTATGTAGGTATGTTTATTGTATGAGGTTTGTTGAGGACATCTGGAGAGCTCATTGCTTGGCGCGCTCCAACTGCAAGCCAAAAATTATTTTGACCCAAGGAAAGCCGTGGTTCCAGGCGCTACAGATCAATGACAGTCGAAGCTGGAGAGAGTACTCATTATCTCGCCTGCGCTCATACCAATGGCCGTTGATTCGATCCTATAACAGCCTTCCTGTCTTCTAAATAAATCAATATACCTTCGTGCAGGCGAGCTGGCGATACTTGACCCCGAAAGCTAGCTAACGCACCCACCCTAGCCATGCCGAAAGTCATTGATTACTCTCCTCCCTGGCTTTCCAGGCCGTCTCCAGGAGCTACGTTCTTTTTAGGCTCCAGGCCAGCGCATTCATCACCAGCAAATCGCATTGCGAAGGGTAAAAAAGATGCTGGTGACACGCGCGAGCAGCCGTATGTCGGTCCCAGGCGGGCTCTGGCGCGAAGAGGGACGGAGGTCTTCGCGGTCGTGGATAACCAGATTCGGTGGTCTAATCTTTCTACCTTGAAGGACGAATGGCAAACCGAAGTGCGGCAGAAGAGGGAGGAAGCAGAGCGGGGACGAGAAACGGAGAGGAGTCGGACGCATGAAGACGAGCACTCCCTGGGACATTCTGCGGACAAGCAGGCGTCATTCTACCGGGTAAGACAAATCAATCCATTGGGGTGAACATTATTGTTTAAAAGCTCTGTCTGTATCTAATATATTCTTCTAGGTTCTTACCGTACCGGTATACGGTCAGATAACACAACTGGTCCCTTCTCCAAATGGTAATTTCCTCGCTATCATCACGCCTCATACCATCCACGTCGCAATATTACCGGATTCTTCCCACCTTTCCGGTCCCGATTACTCCCCACTTAGGCTTAAAACGTTTCAGCTAGGCCCTACGACACACGTTATTCCAGAGGCCCCAGTAGTAACTGCCTTATGGCATCCGTTAGGAATCTGCGATAACCAAGGCGGGTGTCTCGTTACGGTCACTCGAGATGCTGCGGTGCGTGTATGGGAGATTGACAGGAATAGCCATTGGTCATTTGATAGGCCAACAGTGGCTGTCGATCTTAAAAAGCTGGCAGACGGGACGTCGATGGACGAGGACTTTGCGCCATCTGGGTTTGGACAAAACAAAGGGTTTTCAGCCGATTTCTTCGATATGGAAGTCTCCTCAGCTTGTTTTGGAGGCCATGGCTACGAAGATGAAGATGCGTGGGCACCAATGACTCTGTGGATTGCAATGCGACCAGGAGATGTCTATGCATTGTGCCCACTGCTGCCGTCAAAGTGGCAGGTTCCCTCGATTACGATACCGACTTTGACGACATCTGTTATTCATAAATTTGCTAGCGTACAGGGCGATCTGTCTGAACATGATCAAGAGAAGATGTATATCCAACAGCAGTATGACTGGCTGACAGAAATTGACAGTCAAGAGCCTCTGCCTCTTCCAGAAGAATCTGGGCTTTCCTCAATGGTTGAAGTTCGTGCTCGTCCTGCAAACCTAAGTGCCATACCAAAGCTACAAGGTCCATTTCAATTTGATCTGGGTGAGGAAATAGATGAATTGGACCTCACTGACATTTTGGTTATCGCTGCCAAAGCTGATGTCGAAGATTTGATGTCGGGGGAAGACGGCTATGCACTTGAAGATAACCTTCGGGAGGGTGTGTCAGCAACTGTAATATGCCTTGCTACCACAACTGGTAGGGTTCATATTTGTCTTGAGCTGGATGGGGTTGAAGGTCAATGGCTTCCCATGACAAGTAAGGGGGGCTTTACTGCTCCGGTGTCTGACCCATCTGAGTTACTGTTACTGGAGTCTTTGGAGACGGTCAGGGAGAAATATCAAACTCCAAACTCCTGGCCTCTCTTCACCGAGGATGCCCACTCCCGATATAACTTCTTCATCACCTCAACAAACAATGTCACCTTCCTCTCACTGTTGTCCTGGGCCGAAAGACTTGAAACAGAACTTCAGTCACCCGACCCCGCCGGTTCTGGATTCCGTATTAAGGTTCTCTGCGATGGATCGATAGCTCTTCGAGAACAAATTGTTCAAGTCACTGATCAGGAATCCATGACTACTAGTATCAATAAATTACCCACAGACCATCTTTCAAGCTGTCTAGTCCTTTACGACTACGACCTAGGTTATCTATTACTGGCAACCTCCACATCCCGTGTCCATGCCGTTATTCTCGATTCACCATCCTCTGAACCATTATCATTCACAAACGAGCTTTCCTTCGAAAACGATGCCACACACCAGCCATCACTTATTGCAACCCGTCGTTCAGCTTACCAGCCTTCCTCAGCATTCTACTCCACACCCCCACTGGCTTCGTTTATCGAAGATGTCGTTCCGCATGGCCATCGACATACTCTCAGGGAACCTATCAGGCTCTCGCCATCAACATTAGACCTCATTACCGCGGCCCATAGAATTTTAAGCGCTCACACCAGTTCCTTAGAGCGAGCCGCCTCGGACCTTTTCCGCCGCTGCGAACGGTTACAAGGCGAAATGCAGGACCAACTAAGCCAACTCGCAGAAATAGCGGAACGGATCAATAATATTTCTAATGGCATTGGACAGGATCGAGGGGGGGGGAAACTCAACGGAGGTGGAAACGAAGCGCGACCCTTAAATGCGAGAATGGTAGCGGCGGAATCCCGACAAAGGCAACTAGTGGACCGGTATAATAATATTCGCAATAAGATAGCCAAGGCAGGTGGCCGGCCGATGAGTGAGAAGGAGAAGGGTTGGGTGAGTGAGGTCGACAGACTCTCTGTTTTCCTTGCCCAGGCGGAGGGGAAGGACGACACGAAACACGCTGGCGAATTGGGTCGTAGGATGCAAACGGTAAGATAATTTTTATTTCGTCACTTTTCCCTTTCGTATTCCTTTTCTCCACTTCTTTGGTTCTCGCGAAAGGAGGTTGCTAATTCATTGGACTGGCAAACTAACATATCAAACAACCAAAGGCCCAATCTCTTGTGAAAAGCCTCCTCGCAGAGGTGTCTCGCATTTCCGAAGAGACAGCTACCACAGCCAATGTGCCCTCGACTCCAGGTACCCCTGGCAGCCATCAGCCGAAGGTCCCGCAACGGTTACAACGGGCCAGAATCGCAGAAGCTATGAACATGGTGGAGCGAGAGTGAGTTACCTTTGGGGATCCGCTTAACATGCCCTCGCTACTTTGCTTGCGTCATTGACTAACCACTGAACTCATTATCAGATCTGCTGTCATCGATGCAATTACCTCGAGGTTAGAGCGGCTTACTACCAGCATTAGTGACGCGAATTAGGATTATGAGAATCCCTTCATTTACCAGATATGAGCTCTTTTGCCTCTTAAAAATCTTCTTCCCACCTATTTCTTGGAGTTGATTGGGATACATCGCTTGTCATATCTTGAAGAGATGGCTGTCCGCCTTTTTTCCCTTGTGTTTTCCCCCTTTTTTTTGCCTTCCTTTTTCCACCTCAGAGGGGAATTCTATCAGGCATCAGGCAAACCTAACCCCGTTCGCATCGTTTCTAATATATTTCTCCTGTTTTATGCTAGGGCAGGAAAATACGATATCAGTTTTGAGAAAGATACTTTTAGGCATGCCATTATGTTCATGTAATGTTTTGCGTATAAAAATACGTACTGTACGTGCGTATGTGAAATGATGTGTTGAAATAAATATGGCCCGATCAAAAACAAGTTGCAACTCTATTGTATGTATAAACAATAGCCCCTTAAAAAAATCTCTAGCCAAGCACACAATCCATAATTCCCAGCGCGGGAGAGCAACGAAGAAATGAGAAAGAAAAAAATTGCTAACTGGTAATTCCTATCTAATGTATACAATTACTACGACGAAACAGAAATCTAATAGGGAGAAAAAGAAATGACCACACGCCTAACACTCCATCCAGGATGTCAAGAAAGGACCAGGACAACTAAACCAACAGCTGAAATATGCAAACAGACTGATGCCTCCCGAACGCCCCAACCGTCCGATAGCATTGACACATCGTTCGTTATTCTCGTGACAAAAAGAAAAGAAAGCAAGAAAGGAATTCCGGAGAATACCACGCCGTGTCTCCTAAAAGACTATATGGTATTCGGTATCCCAACCGAATTGCGCCTTTTAAAAAACCGCCTCTTCATGGGCAACCATCGGCCATGGGCTTTTGCGCACAAAATATCCGAAGTCAGGAAAGACGCTGGCAAAAACGGATGATGAAAAACAAAACCCGTACATCGGAAACCAAAAAAAAAAAAAAAAATAAAAAAAAAATAAACAAACAAACTCCAGGCTTCAACACACCCGTTCCCACTCTCCCTCCAAATCCACCGCTACCCCAACAACCCTCTCCATATCCTCCAGTATAGTCTTCCACGACGGCAACCGGAGCTTCTCCAACATCTCCTCCCACGGCGCCATCTCCCACACAAACTCGTCCCACCAGCTTTGGATCATCAGCTCCTCCGGCCGCGGCAGCAACGTAAACGCACTTGCCATCAAATGGTCCAAGGCCCTCTTCGCATTGCACCAAGCCAGATACGGCCCAATCAGAAACTCATGCTTCATTTGCTCGAAGGCGGCGACGAATTTCTCATACGTGTCCCGGTCCAGATGCAGGTTGACTGCGTGGCGGGGTAGCTTTGCTGTGGGGAGTAAGTTCGGGTCGTGGGTGCTGGGATATTGGGCTTTCCACTGGCTGAGGCGGGCGATAGAGTCCGTATGTTCTCTGAAGTGTTTGGGGTTTCGTTTGGAGCAGGTATAGAAATAGCGGTCGGCGAAGATGCGTTGTAGACGCCGGAATTGGGAGAAGCTTTTGCTTGCGGTCAGGAGCACTTCTTGGATTGCTTGGGAGAATTGGGCGGGCGCGATGAGGAGGAGGTGAGAAGGGGGCTTGAGCTTTTCTTTGACCAAGATGTAGGGATCGAGAGGTTCTATCATGGTCGGATGTGTGGATGTGTGGATGGGAGGTTTGGTTTGATAAGAGAGATTCTAAGGGTGTTGGAGTTAGTCGTGAGTGCAGCAATACTGCTTGCGCACGAAACGTATGAAAGAGAGGTTTATATGTACCTTCAACCTGTAAAAAATGAGATGCTTGTTTACATTTTGTTTGTAGAGAATTGTGAGGTAAAGAAATTCAGTGCTGTGTTAAACCAGGCCCCGATGTAGAGATTCACATTGAAGGCTTCGAGGCGATTCTGAGCACAACAACAAGTGAATTGTGAGGTAGTTTCCGGTAAACCCGCACTAGCAAAAGCAATAACACAAGGAATGTTATCGAAAAACAACCCTCTGTTGAGGAATAAAGCGGTTGAAATCGAAGCCTCGGGAATGGGGATCCTTTGACCAATGACGTGTATAAAAAGGAGTTCCCATAGAGGTCATATGAGATGAGAGAAAATGAGGAAAAGAAACCGATACAGGTCTAGAAGGAGAAATTTAGAGGAGCAGTTACTCTGGATGCAGCTTCTTTCATTTTCGAAGTTTGACAGTAGGGAACATAGAAATACGACCCGTAGGGATCAACGGTAGCATATCGAAAACACGCTGGTGTGCGAAGATATGACCCTTCGAAACGTTCATTAGGAGATATAAGCACTCCTAGAAAGAGCCGCCACAGAACTCAGAATAGAAAACAAAAAACTCATTTCAGCTATCCTCAGATTAGGGAATTCCATATCCACAATACACTGTCTTAAGTTGAGGGGTGTGACCCTAAACACGAAACATGGAAATATTTCAAACAACAAACTTCCCACTCCTTCAGCTTCAGAAGCAGACTCAGATATCTTTGTGTAGTATTCAGTGCAGCCAGATTGACGAGATTAGAGTGAGGTCGCGATTGCCTTCAGAAACCTATCGCAATCCACGAGGGGAATATCAGCGTATGAGTAGAAAGTATGAATGAGAAACCAAAACAAACAAAAAAAGCAAACAAGGAAGGGAGTAGAATATAATAATATACCTGGAAACACAACAAAAACTGCCTTCAGTTATTCGAAATCACTCCAGCACCGCCATCCACCAAATCACCAACAAGTTGATTGATCGTGAGAGCAGAAATATTAATCGGCTGCTCCCTGGCCACATCCTTGGCAACCATCTCCTCCCAGGTCGGATAGACAAAACGATCAATCGCCGCTTTCAACTCATTTGCCTGTCTCAGCGCCCCCGTAGCGCGCAGGACAACCCCACGCGGCAAGTCGTCCTTGTAAATGCCCATCCACTCCGCGAAGCTCCAGCATAGGGTCTTGAGTGAGGCGATCAGGCCGTCCCGGATATTGATGCAGTGGAAGCGCATGCTGTTGAGATACTCGCCCCACACTCGCAGGCGCATGCCCTGCTCCATTCCCTGGCAGTGGCTGTAAATGGTAAAGCCTAACGCGTGCTGTCTGCGGAGGAGGAGCATGGAGCCTCGGATTTGCATGGTGAGGATCTCGATGGAGGCGAGGAAGCGTTCGGTCTGGGCGGGGATGTGGGATTTGGTTATTTCGCCCACTTGGTGGAGTGGGTGCTGCGCGGCTAACTCTGCGGGCGGCAGAAGGGTGCTTCCGGGGTGCATGACGGGGTGGCCAGGAGAGGCGGCAGCGGTAGTGTTCGAAGATGGGGTAGGGTAGGAACTCCTCATATCGGCGCTTGAGCTGCTGGTGCTTTCGTGGCTTGAGGTGCTTTGGAAGCTTCCCATCGCGGCGATTTCATCACGCATTGTTGATGTCGTTGCTGGTAACATGGTGTTCAGCACAGTGGATCGAATAGCTCGTGTGCGACGGGGTTGGGGTGAACCGGTGCTGGTTCCTAGGATCTGGGGATCAATCAAGCTAAGATCAACACAACGTTCAGCCGGGAAATCTTGGGCGTTGTTGTTATTAAATCCAGTGTGGAAATGAGAAGCAAGGCCGAAGGGGTTGCCGTCCAACGAACGGGCCTCTGTTGTCGCTTGGTTGGCTTCAGTGAAGACCACAGGCGGAGCAGCTGATGTCGCAAATTCGTTGGCATGGTGACCCATAACACTACGTGTATGAAATTGCGCTCCTTCAGGGACGCCATTGTGGTATCCAGCGATTTCGAGATGCTGCCCTTGGTGGCCCGAGATTGGGGTTTGAGTACTGGGTAAATTGAACTTCTTGAAGCAAGGAAAAAGATACAAATATCAGACATCTGCTTTTTTGGGTTCTTATATAATGATATTATCAAGGTAAGTGGGTATTTTGAGCCTTACTTCTGGAGGAAACTCGACGTCCAGTCGATCTGGCAACTCATCCCAATCGGACCACGAGAGTTGCGAGCTCCCGCGTACTTCTTCAGGGGAGTAATCAGACATCCTCGGATGGAAGATGCTTATATATTCTCTCCGGGATCTGTGTTTTAATCAAATAACGAGCAATCGCGTCACCAACCCAGATCCCTGGATGCAAGACGATGTGGGATCAGGGCCTCAAAGAATGGGCAGTGGGCATGTGTTGATGAGATAGAATGAAAGAAAGTTTATGAGATGAAAAGAAAATAAAGATAATGTTTTGTTTTTAAAAGCATTCTCCTTTCATAAAGAAATGTGCGTGTGCGGTCAATGAGCCAAACACGCATGTTCAACTTGATAAAGCTGAGGGGTATCAGGAAAATTCACATAGATGTTGCAGAGAAAAATCCAATTTCTTTTTCTTTTTGCAATTGACCTGGTATACTAGTTACACAAAATGAAGGAATATCATGGTCCGGTATATAGCAGCTTCTTTTTCTTTTCTCATTCCTTTCATCAATATTCATTCATTGAACACTAAATCCCAGGTTAGTATATCGCCCCTTGCTTGGCCACTCTGCGCGGAGCTGATATGCTTAAGGGAGGGAAGGGGAGAAATGACAGAAATGGCATACCGTTCAATGAGGTGAACCCCCGAAGCCGTTTCGACAATCCCGCTAACCTGTCCTGGCTGCAGGGCAAAGGCGGCTTCTTCGAATTCAGTTTGCATTTCCCCCCGACCGAAGAAGCCCCTGGAAAATTAAATTAATGAGTTATCAGATCTCCAGAAAGGAAAAAGGATAGAAAATTGACACGACTAACAAATCACCCTTCTTCCTTGCACTACTACAATCCGATTCCGACATCGCAATGTCCCCTAGCGTCGCCTCCCCAGCTCTGATACGCCGCTCATGACCGCGCAAGATCTCCAATGCCTCCTCCTTAGAGCGTGTGATCTCAGACTCCCGCCAGCTGCTCGGCCGTCGACTCTCGCGATGTTTGATCAGAAGATGGCTAGCGCGGATTTTGCCCTCAACAGAGCCGCCACCGCTGCCACCCGAAGCGTAACGGTCAGCGGGGCCGCTGTGGTGCTCCGCCATGTATACCTTGAGCTTCTCGGTGTCCGTGCCGGTGGGGGGTTCCCATCGCGATTCTTTGGTAGCAGGGTTGAAGTAGTAAGGGAGGTTTTTGGAATTTGAGTGGCGGACTTCCCAGCCATGTGGGAGACCCGATTCATACTGGATGTATGGAAGTGGACGCAATGCGGTGTTTCTAAGTTAGGAATGGTCGGTCAATCGAAAGGAGGGGGGGTATCATGGAGGGGTAGCGTGGTAGTGTAAGGGTATGAGGGGCAGCATAAATGAGGTATTGATGGGCACTCGGGAGGCAACATACCATGATGAAGTATTATATTTTGAATGGGATGGAAGGAAATCGCCGGGTGTAGGGTAGGTATAGGGATAAGAAAAGAGCCAGGGATATGGTGATATCACCAGAGGTCGGAGGAGAGTTGGAAATCTGCGGGCGGCTCCAATGACATGGGGAATAGGCTTCGCACTTGTCCTGAACCGGTTAGGCGTTGCACGATGACACCTGTTTAAACTTCCACGCCTTGTTTCATGATCACTCGATAGCATACAGATCTGTAGACTGCACTGTATATACGAACGTACTCTATCAATACAGACACCAGAAGGGTAATCAGGCCCCACGAACTTAAGGCAAAGTGACAGCGCCAATATTAATCACTGGTGTCAATCCTCCCTTTTGGAGAGCGATCCCCATCCAATAAGAAGGGGGAAAACACCGTGTGCTAATATGTACCACATACCAGAGTGTAAGAGGACATGTATGTATGGAGGAAATAAAGAGTTAACGGGTCCATCCATGGCGACTATGATACCAGAATGTTTGCGGGGGAGATTGGCAGTTTATTTTGAGTTGTGAATTAATGGCTGGACGCCGCGGTATTACGGGAATGGTATACATAGTGTTTTGGTTGTAGCGGCCGATGAGGACATGCTCTTGCTCAAAACCAGGCTTGCTTCCCATTTGCCCGTGAGATGGCCAAATGGAGTGTTCTAGTATTATATCCTCCTTCACACGGTGCCATGATCGACACAAACTGTATTCAAGAAGGCTGTTTGAATTGAACATGTCATCGATGCTTGGGCCTTCTACTCCGTAGGATTTTTGTGGGATGATATACTCCGTACATCATTACCTAAATTACTGTATACAACTTACTGTCCAGACATAATATTGAAATTCTAAATTACGGATTAATATATCTCGTACTGTGTTATCAATAAGTTTGTCCATGGCGTTTGGTATGGCTTTCTTCTATCCAAAAATTGCCTGCAACATCACCCAAATAGGGTTAGCGCACCGTTTGATGGGAAACCTCCATCAAACCTCCTTCTGCTTCCTCTTGACAACATCACTCCGGTCATAAACACAGTCATCCCACCTTCGCGTCATCAAGGGCACGAACACCTCCGCCACCATCCCGCTATCCGTACGCTACGTTCTTGTAGTTATCCTACCCGGTGTCGTTCAGTGAGAAAACTCTCTCGCTCTCTCATCAAAAATGTCCGCTGCATCTCCCATGTCCTCCAGTGGCGACCAGGTGCAAGGTTCCAGCCAGATCCATTTCCGCTTTTGCCGCGAATGGTGAGTTTTTCTTCTTCACTTTCAAAGACAAAGGTTTCCGAGAAGAGGAGAGACAAAAGAAAAGAACAGTCACAAAATCAACGAAATTCAAGACTAACATTTCGCATTTCACAGTTCCAACTTACTCTACCCAAAAGAAGACCGCAACACTAACACCCTCATGTTCACCTGCCGAACGTGTCACGTTGGCGAGCCCGCCTCCTCCCCCTGCGTATACCAGAACAAACTCAACAACCAAGTAGGCGACACGGCCGGTGTGACTCAAGATGTGGGATCTGATCCTACGGTTGGTCTCCCCCTGTGTATCCTATGCGGAGAAGATATTCAATATTGCCAATAACATTTCCTTACTTTGCACCTTTTCCATCGACGAGCATGGATCATATAATGCCGTTATGACCGCACTGATTTCACCTGAGATTTTACTTTATTTTTTCCCCTTCTTCTGTTTGTCTTTGTTTTTTCTAGCACCTTCGCACTTCTCCCGATATAGAAAACTTCTCTCCATCCAGACTTTTGGCTAATGAGAAACCCCTTTTGATTTCCTGTTTTGCACAAATCACAGCTGCCCCGGTCAAACAAGCTTTGCCCTAGCTGCGGCGAAAACGAAGCAGTGTTCTTCCAGTCCCAACAGCGGTCGGCGGAAACGGGAATGGTATGCATTTACCTATATATCTTCCTTTGGCTGTTCCCTGTTTGCGCAAGCTAACGTTGGGTATTCCGGATAGAAACTCTACTATGTGTGCTGCACTTGCGGTAATGTGTTTACTTGATTCCAGGGAGGGCGGTTGCTTTTCTTCTTTTCTTTTCCTTCTTTTTGGATTTATACCCATTCGACGGAGTTTGTGGAATTAGGTGAGCTGGATATTAAGGCGTTCAAGAGGGCTCTATAGTTGTGCGCATGCCTAGGTTGAGTGATTTTATCTTTATTTGTCTCAACATTCTGTGTCGGGATACACATTCCAGCTTGGTTATCTTAAAAATGATATTATGCAAGCGGTAGGAAAGAAAATAATACAATATATATATTCTATACGATAATCTTACAAATGCATGGGTGCCAATGATAATATCTTCGACCAGCCTTTCTTCTGCAGTTCCTTTCCAACAACACCTATTGATAGTTGTCAGGATATATGCACTCCCCATTTAAAACTAAAGAAAGCAAGAAAGATAGGAGAAACCACCAGGACTAACCGTTCAATCTTGTCCCGATCGGATCCCCAGACTTATTAATAAGTACGCACGCGTTATCATCAAACTTGACGAAACTGCCGTCAGGCCTCTGAACGTTCCTCGCCCTGACTACTACAGCATGGCGGACGTCCCCTCGTCTGACCTTGTTCGCAATGCCGCTGCTAACGCCGCCCATCTCGGGGCCGAAATTCCGCTGTTTCTGCACGACAACGATGATACGGTCGCCTGTGATTATTTTGGGGATCATTTTGATATTAGATATTTGGCGTCGCTTTAAATGGAGGACTGAGAGGGACGGGAGGATATGAGGGTAGGGTTATATATCCCGCGCAAAACTCACCGATTGTGGCTGCCCGTTTCATTCTCAGGACACTGGCGCATTCGACGATGGCTGCTCCGGAGTTGTCGATGCAATTAAGCATCGTCTGGTTTCAACGAGGAAGTGTTAGTGGATATAGCTCTCTCTCTCGTGCGCTCGCTCTACCATTTGCCAGTTGTTTAGAAACGGGGCCTACCTTCAATTGGATCATCTTGGTTGCATGACTTGGTCTCTATCCCGCCTCCAATTCTGTTCCGCTGCTTTGTTCTTTTCTTTTTTGCCGTGGATGATTTCCATATTCAAGAGATTCGAGATCCCTGTCGCTTAATAAGCAGCCGAATATCTTGGTTAAGGATGAACTATATTCCGTAAATCTCCCAAGAAAAGACAGCCAATCAGCACCCGAGCTCCCCTTTCTCAGTGGCTTAATCGCCGCCTGCGCAAAATACGACATGCAAAAGCCTCATCCCAGCCTTGGGTCCTCAAAGTCGTTTGTTCAAAGATTCTGGGGAAGGGAAAACAAGAAGAGCCATGCTGCCGTTGCTGTTGTGTTGCCCACAATGATCGCGACTCTGCGGTTAACTACGTCCAACACCAACTGAACTATAGCAGCGTTGGTTTCCCCAGGTTTGAGCATACTGCTTACAATTTTATCCATCCCTTGTTTCATATATCCATTTGTGTATTTTATTCCATATTATCCTTCCTACGTTCAGTTTATGTAATAGTCCTTGCCGAAACACCCCATTGACCGCGTTGTGGAGTGAATATTCCCGCGGTTCCAATGGCGCCCAAGATACCGCCTCCTGACCGCAAAGAGAAGTTGACGCTTTCTCAACTCGCCAGCTATGATGATGTGATCACAGATGCTCTGGTTGATCGGGTTAGCATCCCTAAAGCAAATTCAAGACATATGGCCCCAACTTTCATCACATACGTTCTGGCGCATTTCTATAAACTAACTTGGAAGCTGGATGCTACCTTATATACGGTTAAAAGGCCTACTTCTGGACAAAGATCCGCAAAAACCGAACCAAGTATATCTCCTGCAGAGGCATCCTTGAAGAGCAGGTCACCGCCATCCTCCTCCATGATGTCATTGTCGGGAAAGACGTGCCAAAGGCTGAGAAAGCACTCCTGGCAATTCCGGGGCTGAAGAAATTCGTCGACCGCTTGAAATCCGATCGAGAGAAGGAATGGTTTCGTCGACACCTGCGCAAATACATCTCCATCTACCTGCCCGATTGCCCTTTCGAGGTCATGACCACCAATCGCTATACCATAACCATCCACGAAGCGGCTGTTTCTGCGCGCAAGTACATCGCATCGGGAACAACGATACGCGGGCTCAGCGGCACGCTTGTACCCATGACCCGCGAGGAGGAGATAGATCTCGATTTGACAAGGAAGGATTTCAGCATTGTGATGTCGAGCCGGAAGAAGACGCCGTCTATCTTTCTGGGCCCAGCGCGTTTTGCGAATCATGATTGTAACGCGAATGCGAGGCTCGTGATGAGGGGCCCGGAAAGTATGGAGGTGGTCGCCATTCGAGATATTGTGGTTGGAGAAGAGATTACCGTCTCATATGGAGAGAATTACTTTGGTGAGGATAACTGTGAATGTCTCTGTCATACTTGTGAGCTAGCGCTACGGAACGGGTGGTCTCCAGATGGTGCTATGATCAGTTCCGGAACGAATAGTGGTGCCTCCACGCCATCGGAATTATGCGAGGGACGAGGTCCATCTACTTTGTCGTCGCCGTCCTCGCCGGGGTCTAGTAATAATAATAGAAAAAGGAAACGCAATTCTGAGCTACAGCTTCTCTCCGCCGAGAGTTCTACCCCGTGTAGAAGGCGGAAAGTGGAGCGAAAGGCTTCGAACTTGAGGCTTGAAATGTCCATGCCTAGCAGTCCAGAAGCTAGTGAACCTTCTTTCCTCTCCACTCTGGATCACTCTCTTTCCGAATACGCAAGCAGTTGCAAGGACCGTATTATTGATGAGCCTTCAACTCACGCGAATGGACTAAATTCTCATAACGAAGCTGAATCTCTCCAATCGAGCGATGAATTTAAAGCTGCTTCCTTTACAAAAAACAAAACGGCTTACTCCCCTTCTGGCGCGGATGAAACACACAGCTCCTCCGTCACCTCTACATCTGCATCCACAGAGGCAACCTCAATATCATTAGACGTGACAACAGTACAAATAAAAACAGAACCGTGGGAGGAACGCCAAGTGGTAGCAGTCCAGAGAACTGAGAACAATACCAGAAAGCAGAATCGTCCCACAACACGCGGTCATCCCACGAGTCGGGTTGCACGAGTTACTGAACTGATCTCTGAAGACACCAACGACGAGGGTGAGCTATCCGACCTGTCGAATTCCTGGGAACTGAACGATGCAGACATGCTAGTTGTCAAGCGGGAACATAGTCGACAACGAGACCAGGTGCAGAAACGGGAATTACGGAAACGTCGGGGACGAGGAGAGCCAGAGCGGGAGCCGGAACCGGAACCAGAACCAGAGCATGACCAACCCTCCTCAAAAAGACGGAAAACCAACCGCATGAAAGTCCTCAAAACGATTGAGCACGAGGAGCCCTCCCCGCCCCTCCTCCGCTTCCCTGGTGACTATACAAAAACCCCCAAACTCCTCGGCCAGCGCTACGACCGCTGGGTCGACTGCAACACCTGCAACGCTTGGTTTGTGCAAGGCGACTCATATTTCACGCGCAAGGAGTGTCCGCGCTGCGAGCGCCATTCAAAATTGTATGGGTATCAGTGGCCGAAAACGGATCGGGAGGGGAGGGGCGATAAGGAGGAGAGAGTGATGGATCATAGGACTGTTCATCGCTTTCTGACGTCTGACGAAGAGCATCGTATTCATAGGAGGGATCGTGGGGTTAGCTTTGGGTTTGGTGGGGGTGGTTTTGGAAGTGTTGAAAGTCCGACGCCGGGGAGCCCGGATATTAGGACTGATACGGAAGGGGGTAGCGAGTTTGGGGACGAGAGGAGGATGACGAGAGCATCCAGAAGAGCAGTTAGGGAGTTGAGGATGACGATGTAATGGTGAGTTCCGATTGTTTTCAATATCTTTCTCCTATTTCGGTATGTCGGAGAGCTAACGTGATTGTCAGTGTTTCTTTATGAAAATTTTCCGCCGGATTTATCATGTTAGATTTCCTATTGTAACGACAGTACCCCTTACTCCTTTTCCAACTATTTTTCTTGTCCCCCAATGTTTCATTTGCTTTGTTTTGCTTTGCTTTGGCTTCTTCGTTTCTCATTTCAAATATTTGGATGGAGTATTGTTTTTGTTCAGAGGGACATCACGGAGTTTTATTTTTATCTTTTTTTTATTATTTTTATTTATTTATTTTATTCACCTTTTTTTCGGATATTTTGATACCCCGTTTTTTAAATCAGTTGAGCTATCGCTACAACTACGGACACAACCGGATTTATCACCCACGATATGAACTACGTGGAAATTACACTTTTTATATTCATATGTATAGCTACATCTGATGAAAGTCCCCAAGTCTACATAATTTTGTTTTTCTCCTACAAGTTTTGTATTTTGAAAATTTTCTAGTTAAAGAGCCTACCCCTCTTACTTTTCATATCTTGCTCCTGGTTGAAACCCTTCATCGCCACAAATCAAAGCGAACTCTCGTTCTGCCACCACCACCACCACCACCACCACTACTTCCTCTCGCTACTGCTCCGGCTTGTCTCCCGTTTCTACACACCATACACATACAGCCTCTTATCGGAGTATGTGCCCCTTCCAAACCCCCTCGGCCATTCGCCTGACCAGTGTTGGCAGTATGAGCAGTTCCATCATCTCTCGTCTCTCTATTTCCCCTGCCACTCGTGATAGCGCGATTGCGCTGACGGTGGCCTGCCATTCTCTCCTCGGGCTTCAGCCAAACTAGTTTAAGCCCATCATTTCCTCTGCTAAACGCCAACCCATCTCTCCGTGAGAACTCCCAGGCCCTAGATATGCGTACGGTACTTCCGTCAAACTTTGGGGGACGGTCATCGCTGAGTCGCGCTTGGGTTGCGAGTTGGCAGAAGAGGCGGAGGTAGCTCATTGATTTTGCCGGGGGTGGGTTTCACTCCCGGTGTTGTTTGAGGGTTTGAGGGCTTAAGGGAGGATGAGAAGACTGTGTGGTTGTCGGCCTTCGTATGGCTATTTGGACAAGGTTGGTTGGGTATTATTTTCTTTCTTTTCTGCTCTTGTATGCTGATATGGTGAAATGGAAGGAATAAGAATTAGCATTAACTGGTGATATATGTATGATGGATGATGGTGTTCATTCTCCGGCTTTCCTTATTTCTTCCTTTCCGCTCTCCTCCTTCTGAAGATATCTCAGTCAATAAGGGAATGGAGAGACCCTTTTTCCTGCTCTCACTCGTTTCATCGTCTCACGCCCTGAAATTTCGATTTTTCCTCCCATCTTATGGCCAGCTGCCAGCTTTTATATCCAAATCCTCTTCTGTTGTTTGCTATAGATTCTAGTCCACGTAGCAGCTATTTACACTTACGTATCTCCAATATATCCTAGACAATACTTTATAAACACAGAAAAACAAACATTCTCTTTGCTTCTTTGTGCAGCCCAATTCTCTTCCATATCAAATCATGTTCCCCAACCCCCGTACATATTGTGTCTATGAATCAGGTCCAAAGAATTCGATAATATTCGTTACTCACTGTATTGTTGAACTAATTAGTCACATGTAACTGCCTATCCAGAAATCTAGTTAGCTATGTTTGCTCGTGTCCCTGAAAGATGCTTTGAAAATCACAATATTTGCAGCTGTCGACTGTAGGACAGAACACGGCTATCTCTGTGTAAATTGTGACCATAGGCCATGCTCCATGGCAGGTAGAGAGAGCATAAGAGATGCCTTGTTTAGCGGTGTCTGAAAGGCTTCTGAAACTTTCGCCTTCACATGAATTATTTACTGGGTATAGCGAGATTGCTGGTCTACCTTTTTTTCCGCTGTATTTTCGGGTTGATATCATGTTTCTGCCTTTCCTGTCATCAGCACTTCTGAATTTTTTTTTTTTTTTTTCTTCTCCTGTCTCATACAAATAATTTCCCTGTGTTCTTCTCCAATTATCCATCTCTTAGTTTATAGTGTTGGTTGTCTCTGCCTTTCCCTGGTGGCTGCGCATTTGTGTAAAATATATATCTTTGTTTGGTTAATGCGATAGACTCGAGTCAATATACATACATGTAAGTTCACTGAACTGGACATGTATGGCCCCCCCCTCCCTCCCCAATTGATATATCTACAATAAGGGCTTTCTTTTTACCTATTTTCTCCCTGTAGCAATTATGAATTTGCGGATTTTTACTTCATGTAACCCTGTATCTTGTTAGCCTGTGTCCTTCACCGCTAACACACCGAACAAGCCTCAGAATTGCTTTGTTGTTTAGTTAGTTGATAATTAATATATAAATTAATTGTTTGTTAAATTTTCCATGCAAACAAGATCATTGTGGATGGGAATATTTCAGGGGTCTATTAACTACCATTATTCGGCATAACTATGGAGGATGTAGTAACTCTTAGCAGTAATTGGTAGTCTCTGAATCTGCATATTCCCCGGCAGAGCCTGGATAGGTATACGTAGCTCCAATGTTCCGTCATCTCTGGATGCCGGGCTTGACAGTGAATAAAATGTGGACAGGGAGGGCTGTAATAGGATTTCGAAGAGAGTATGATGCTCGAGCAAATTTTGAAAGATTATCCAGGGGACTAATCTGGTCTATTGTACAGTGCATAACGACGTATGTAACAACGTAAAGCCGGGTTTCCCATAAACTCCAAAAAATCACTTGTGGTATCCGGACGCGTATCCCATGGAGTGAAAACAAAACCTAAAGGTATATTACACAAACCCCAGACAGATAGCGAGAAGAGAGACAAAAAAAAACTCTTGGTGCAGTTTATCTATATCAACGCCTGCCCTCTAAACATGGCCTCCCTCACCTCCTTCACAACATCCTTCCGATCCTTCTTGCTAACCAAAACAATTCCACGTCCTCTCCTTCCCATGCGACCCGTACGACCTAGTCGATGGATGAAGTCAATGGTGGTGTGCGGAACATCGAACAAAATAACATTGCGCACCGCGACGGTGTCAATACCGCGAGAGCCAAGATCCGTCGTGACAAGTACCTTGGTATCGCGGAGATTCCTCTGTGGGCCCAGGTGTGAGTTTTCATCTCTGGCAAATGGAACTGAGTCAGAGAACCAATTCCTCTTGTTCCGCTGCGCGTCTTTGACCTCTTGGGGGCTGGGGAGTGGTTTGACGTGGGTAAATTCAGCGAGAATCTCATCCTTGCGCTGGTCCGGTGTATCTCGTGAAAGTGCGGCCGTATGGATGCCCTTCTGGCTGAGGAATGCAGCTACATCCTCTGTTGTTTCGCGCTCGTTGACGAAGACAATGATATGTTTTGGTTCGGGGAAGAGGGAGGCTGGGTAGCCGTCGTCGGGGGCATCTTCTTGGGTTACCCCTGCTTTGCCTAGGGACCAGATTATATCCGCGCAAGCGAGTTTTTTGTTTCCGCGGTATGGGTCCTTGTCCACGTCCACGACGCCAAGTTGGACTCTGCGCGGGATGGCGTGGAGATTTGGTGTGACGAGACGCTTCATTTCTGGGAATTTCTTTTCCATAAGGGAGTCGAGACTTCGGGGGATAGTGGCGGAGCAAAGGATCAGTTGTGTCAGTGACGGAGCTGTCTTTTCGATAATGGAGTATGTGAGGGGCGAAAAGGATTTATCTAAGAGAGAGTCCGCTTCATCGATGACGAGATGAGCGACGCGACTGAGAATATATGGGTTGGTTTTGGCAATTGAGGTAAGAAGATGAGGGGTAGAAATGAGGATATCAATTCCGGCGGGGTTGAAGAGGCTGTTTGTAATTCTGCGAGGAGTATAGACGGAAGAAATCGTTGCAGAGCGAAACTTGGCGGTATGTGAAAGCTGCTTTGCGAGTTTCCCAACTTGTTCTACCAACTCTGCTGTTGGCACTAAAATAATAGCTCGGGGTCGTGCGACGTTTGAATGTTCAGGTGTGGCCAACTCCGGAGCCTCAAGTTCAAATAGATTTTCTTTGCTCTTCTCCGTTAGTCCCTGCTGCGTTTCCTCATTATCCATCAATTCCGTGTCTTTCTCTACCATCTCAGCCTGCTTGATCCAGTTTATGATTGGCAGAAGATATGCTAGAGTTTTGCCAGTCCCCGTTTCAGCGGCCAGCAGGAATTGGTCGAAATGGAACAGTTCTTCTTCCTCTTCTTCCTGCTTCTTCTTCCTCTTGTTCTTCTCCGTCCCGGAGATGGGTGGCCTAAGCAGTGCTGGAATAGCTACACGTTGGATAGGAGTCGGGGAGATTTCGGTAAGCGTTGGGAACGCATTCGCGTAGACCGCATCTCGTACTTGAGGGAGGAGCGGGAACTGATCAAAACTGGTAATAGCAGCGATTTTTTCCTTAATTCTATTGCGACGCGAGTAAGGTATTGGCGACAGGGCAATTTGCATTTTCAGAGCTCTGAAAAGCGAGCCATCCTGTTTCTTGTCCGCAGCATCCTTTTCCTTATTATTCAGATCTGACGAAGATCTTTTCAGCTGCGCATCGGACCGGGGTATTGGGCGATCAGGTAGCCGAGCTCTAGTTTGGTTCATTCCTCCAAAGGGGTTATTCTTGAACGTCGGGGGAGGCTTCTTCTTGGAATCCTTGAACCGGTCAGAGGATCTTGCAACATTCGGGGATAGAGCCATACGCGCGGGTTTGCGCCGGGCCAGCCTGGCGGACGAAGCGAAGCGGACAAAATGCCATGGTTGAGGGACGGCGGGCTGCCAGCCCCAGACAACAGTTCTCATCTCACAAAGTAGACATGTAGATGCCACGGGTGACATAAAGCAGCAGCCGCAGCAGTTGATGCGAGTATGTATACTATTCCCTAACCAATGTTGCTAAGCAGCACCGGGCGAGCAGAAAAATTAGTTAATTCAAGGTTTGATGAAAATTTAAAGCTGGAAGCCTTGGAAGCTTGGAAGCGCGCGCTAGACCCGATGGGGATGCGTTGTCGGGGAAACGGCGGCCATCGGGATGTCAACAGCGGGAAGGCATAAACAAGGCAAAACAGGCGGCATCAAAACCAGCCATACGCCGCATCTCCACCACACAAAACCATCGTATATCTTACATCTTGCGTCCACTGTGCTTCCTCTCCCCTCCGTCCTGGTCACCATCTTCCGTACGCTCTTTGTCCTCCGCTTGGGCTTGCTTCTGCCCTGTTCATTTCTCTTCACGTCGCTCTTTGTTGCTTTTGTTTCTCCCTGTTGTTTCTTATAATCCCCTGTTGGCCGTTGTGGCTGTCTTGGGGCACTGGTCAAAGGAACTATTCTACTCCAACCACCTCCCTACCATTTTGCGCCATTGTTCCTTGTCGCAAACAATACCGTTATTTGATCGTCAATACTCTTTTGACCCGTTAGTACCCTGCAAAGAGAACCCTTGTTGTGTTGTTATATCATTTGTCATAGGTATGATTCTGCTATATTTGTTGCCTCAACTGGACAATGTTTTTGTTTCGATATAGTTCTGGTGGACATATTGATTACGCCAGCTTGCTCATCAATTGATAGACACGGAACTGGTACAGAAAAACGCGTGTTAGTCCTCTTGCGTTAAAGATGGCAAGTGGGCAGCGGCCTCTATCTGAGCTGAGCCCAGTGGCTCAACGTAGAAACTCCCCGAGCTGGAATCAACGCACTAAGGTTTGTAGACAATTTCCTGAGCTAGCGCGACTCCTAGTTAACTGATATGACTAGACCACAGTCGGTAATGGCGATTCATCTCCGTTCGACTCATTCAATTCGCCCCAATCTCCAAGATTGTTTTGGAAGGGCAGGGATAGTGGCTCTCCAACCAGGCAGGGCCCTGAAAACAGGAGCCCTTACGACCCGCACGTCTTCACTACCCCCTCCAAAAGATCTTCCATTGAAAACTTAAAGCGAGCATCCCGTGTGAAAAACAGCAGTATTGTTGCTCGAGAGAAGAAGCAGGAATACGACCCTGCCCATATTCAGGTTCTGGAACGGCCTCTTGCCACTGGTAGACCTCTAAGTTCTCAATTTAAAAATAACGCTAAAGAAGCTGGTAGTATGGATGCTCGACGGCAGCTACCTTCTCAATCCGTTTCCCCAGCTAAACAAAATCCATCTGCCAGGAAGGGCGAATCTATCAATACAACCAGCGTTGTTCCAAAGTCGGAGGACATTGTTACTCCGACAGCCTCCCACACATCCCCAAGCAGGCCTCAGTCATCTCCAACCAAATCATCTCTGACGAGAGGAAGTCGATTCGGGAATAAGAGGATGTCTTTTGATCCCGAGAATGATGTTTGGTCAGATGACAAGGATGAGGGCCCAGACACAACACCACGACGTCCCTATATGCATCGCCAGACTAAGAGTGTAACTTTTGATGCAGCACCACCGCAGATCAATGAGTATGAAATGACCACTCCAGTTCCATCATCAATTGCCTCGAGTTCACGAGAAGGCAGCTACGATTCTGCTGATATGGACGAAGAGGACAGTTTCGATCGCGGTTCCTTCGTGGGTGCTGAAGACAGCTTTGACGCATCTTTGGAAGATACAGACAAGACTCCTGTTGTTCTGCCAGAGGACTGGCGTTTTATGAGCCCCGATAGAGTTCGTGAGGAGCTCCAGGGAGAGGATGACCCTTTCGGTGAAGATTTCGGTAGCCTTGGCCCCGACGGGAAATCTCATTCCTCGCAGGAACCGCAATCTATTGAATCCCAGGTTGAATCTCTAGACTCTAACAGCGATCACCGTCCTCTCCCGCCGCTACCCCCTTCTACTTCCCAGTCTCAAGTGACCCCCGACCGGGCCAGCAGGCTTTCTTTGACCATGGAACTTGCCAACAGTGGATCCCGCAAGTTACCTTCCTCGTTGAGTCCAGCCTCTTGCTCGAAGGCTGAAATAAACCGAATGGGTCAAGGGTCAGTGTCACTGGAAGACAGGCTTCGCTTGATGATGACCCAGGACCAGGAACGGTCCCCGGACGCTGAGAAGCAGCGTGAGCGCAGAATGAGACGTGCTGGTATAAAAGACAAGAATTTTGATCGTGAAGCTGAGAGCAACCAGTCATTCAGCGATACTTCAAGTCCCAGGCAGGACAGCTCTCCTTTCAACCCTCACGTTTCTCTGCCTCAAATTTCTAGGGAGTCTATTTTAAGAAATATCAGAAACCAAAATAACGACGAAAATGAGGACTTTTCATCGCCACTTCGTAGCTCTAGTCCTCGATTTCACACTCCCTTAGATCCTGACGTCCCCATCCCCTCTTTGGAGACAGACGAGGAAGAAGTCATCATCAAGGAAGAACCTGCTGAGGATGACGATGTTTATGATATCTCTGAGTATTATTCTCGGGATGCACACGACGACCATGAAGTTCAAGGAGATGATTATGATAACGAAATGCAGCATAACATTGAAAATGGATATGCAAACTCATATAACAGTCCTGACCAGCCAACTTTCGATGGCTCTGGAGATTCAACAGATGGCCAAAGCACGCCAGTACCGGAAAATTCGCTACACCGACGCAACCAGCCTAATCTGAGTCCAGGCCGCTCTGAGGTTTCCGGTATAACCGGCGAATATAACTCTGAGCTTGACTTAAGTTCGTACGTTGACCGCTCTTCAACGCTTGATGAAGCCTCTAAGCTTGCCCCCGCACTGGATATGAGGTCGATTCGGGATTCCCTCCATCGTCCAGAAACTCCAAATGATCATGACAGCCAGGCATCAAGAAGTGTTCATGATAGCGATCATGACGGGCCCTCAACACCTGAATCGGTCATTCATCATTCTGTTAACGATGAGGTGCGTCCTTCTGAAGAGCCCGTTGCTATTCCGGATCCTCTTGCGACCGTAAAATCCGCCAACGGAAGCCTGAAGACGAAGCCATCTCTGAGTCCTGCAGATGTCCATGAGATGGCGGCAACTCGGCGTAAAGTAAGTGGGCAGGGGCCACCTATACCGTCAATACCAGAATCGACAACCGAATCCCAGCCCAGTTATGGAGAGCATGGGGATCATTCCATCTCTTTCCTGGCCGATCTTCCGCAACTTAGTGTGGCAGCGCCAGTCGTTAATGACAAGCGGCAAAGCTCACTGGTGAAACTCGATATCCCAGTGAGCACTACCGATGAAAGCTTAGGGTTTGGACTTGACCTGGAATTTGACCGTGTTATTGAGGCCCAAAAGGTTGCGTTTGACCATTTTCTTTCCCAGCAGCCCCGTTACCCTACCACCTTCATGGACACAACCAATACGAACATGCAACAATCATCTTTGTCCAATTTGATGCCATCTGAAAAGAGAGAAATTCCCTTAGATTGTGATAGTATTGCTAATAATGTTACAACTCGACAGAGGGGCTACCTCATGAGGCAGAATACCAAAGTTATTGTCGCTAGCAGCAACGCAGATGAGTCAACAGATGCGAACGATTCACCTGTGGATGGCGACCCAAGAGGGACAAAATCTGCAGGAAATTCTCCACGCAAACCAAGCCAGCAGACCTGGACCACCGAACCATGGAATGGAAAAACGAGACGCCAAAGCATCAAGCTAGCAGGTGGCATGCCAAAGAAGAAATCAGTTCCCGGATCTGTTCCTCCATTGCCAGGACAAGAGAGCAATGCAAAGCAAGAAGACGGTGTGGACGAACAGGATAATATTCCAGGAGAGGAATTTGAAGAGGGCGACGAAAGGGGGCGACTGTTTGTCAAAGTCGTTGGAGTGAAGGATTTGGATTTGCCGCTAGCACGAGGTAAACGAAGTGATCACCTTGTATTGAGATGACTGGCTAACTTTACTTGTAGGTGGCCGGTCTAGTTTTGCCCTCACTCTTGATAATGGCCTTCACTGCGTAACAACATCGTGGCTCGAACTTGGCAAGTCTGCTCCCATCGGCCAAGAATTTGAATTGGTCGTTCTTAACGAGCTTGAGTTCCAGTTGACCCTTCAAATGAACATGGAGGAACTCAAAGTTAAGCCCAGCCAACCTGTTGTGTCGTCGCCTGGAAAGCCGACAAAATCGCACAAGACCTCCACCTTCAGTCGTGTGTTCGCATCCCCGAAGAAACGAAAGGAATTGGAACAAAAGCAGCAACTGGAAGCCCAGCAGCTCAAACAGCGGAAAGCCGAAGAAAAGGCTCTGGCTGAGAAAAAGAACCCATTGGATGCGCTGCGTCATTTAGTTGCCAGCGATGGGAGCTTTGCTCGTGCTTACGTGTCTCTAAGTGATTACGAGAAAGCGGCTTTTGGAAGACCGCTGACCGTCGATGTCACTTGTTTCAATGAGTGGGCGACTGACCCAGTTAATAATTCGAAGAACAAGCGATCAATGGCTAATTCCGCAGGATCTGGCGTGCAACAACGCCCCCCATACAAGATTGGCAACCTGGAACTTCAGCTTCTCTATGTCCCTAAGCCGAAAGGGGCCACGGATGATGATATGCCGAAGAGTATGAATGCCTGCATTCGGGAGATGAAAGAGGCTGATAACGTGGCTGCGAGAGCGTGGGAAGGATTTTTGTCTCAACAGGGTGGTGATTGTCCGGTATGTTTTACTATATTTCGTTTCCTTTCATTTCATTTAGAGGGGTTTCGGCTAATAGCTGGATGTTTCTAGTACTGGCGTCGACGTTACTTTAAACTTCAGGGGTCGAAGCTTACAGCGTACCACGAAACTACTCGCCAACCTCGGGCAACCATCAATTTGGCGAAAGCATCCAAATTGATTGATGATAGGTCTACATTAACCCAAAAGGAGACGTCAGGGAAAGGCGGTCGTCGACGTAAATCAGCTTTCGCGGAGGAAGAAGAGGGCTACATGTTTGTTGAAGAAGGGTTCCGCATCCGGTTCGGCAATGGCGAAATAATTGATTTTTACGCGGATAGTGCCCTAGAGAAGGAAGGCTGGATGAAAGTCCTTGCCGATGTTGTTGGGAAGGGACAAACTGCCGGTGCCGGTGGACAGCCCAAGGCTTGGACGGAGCTTGTTCTTAAGCGGGAACGTAGCATCGCTGCTAAAATTAAAGCCGCTGGTCGCGGTATGGGACAAGGTATCGGGTCCCATCCACCGCCGAGTCCTACGAAGGATCAGTTTGGTCCACCGTTAGTGGGAACGGGAACCACACCAAAACCCAAACATCAGCATAACCTTTCCCAACCTGAGGCTGGAAAACATGGTTCTAGCCACCGGAGGAAGGGATCATTCGTCTACTATTGACGGCTCACTTCTCCTTTCAATGCCCTGTTCCTTCTAAATCTCCTTGAATTTTCATTTCTCTCGTTTTCTCATGCTGGCCCTGAGTCCATCTGCACCTTTTATATTAGTGATTTTTAGTGATTTCCCACTCAATATCTGTCTGCTCGTTTTTTCCTTTTTTTCTTTTTTCATATGTTGTCCTTTTCCTCCCCCCCCGATATCTTCACTCCCATGTGAGGGCAATACGAGCGCACCCTCTCTTTTTGCTCTTTTCTTGGAATGAAATATTCCGGAACCTCTTTGTTTCCTTTGAAATATGTCCTACATCTAGCTTTTTCCTTGTCATCTTGCCTTGCCTATTTTCCTTTTTCTCTTCCACGTCTTTTAGTAACGCTCCCTTCCTTCTTGTGTCCACACTGATTTATTTCAGCGACGAAGAAAAGATTGAAAAATAACAACTCGAAATGTCAGCGAGATTTGAACGATTATTATGATGCCGCTGTTTTCCTTTTTGCTTGAAATTCAGTTTTTTTTTTGAACCCCCTCCACACCGTACAGTAATTTGGGCCATGGATGGCCTGATTTACTACTCCCGTGACTGATTGTCTTTTTTGCGTTCTGTACATTGTCTTTTTGACTTTTTGTCAACTCGTATCTGACAGGTTCCATAATGTGGAGGATCTGGTTGATGTCTGCTGCGGCTGACTTTTTGATAGTAAATATTGTTGCGTTGTGACTTTGCTTCTTGTAAATGTACTGTCTTATGATATAAATGGAAGAATTCCTTGCTTTTTAACCTTCTTTTTAGAGGCAGGATGGAGGTGTTATGGAGTGCGTATCACTGGAACGGGTTGGAGCATGGGGGTTTAAATTTTGCACTAGGGAGATAGTACATATTTCCTTATTCTCATGGTATAGAATCGTTTTCGAGAGTTTTCCCCACCCTGTGCATAGTTACATACGTGTTGAGGCAATGACATCAACCATCGACACCAGGGGGCATGTTTCCACACACAAATACGCACATACGTGCAATCACCCACCCTCCTCTCCACCGTTGACGAGATCATCGTCGGATTCAGATTCGACTTCTTTCAATGCCGCCTTTCCGCTCATGGGTGCTTTTGCAGAACCTCCGCTTGGCTTTGATGCAGGTATTCCTCTTGAAGTTACGAAGAGGAAGGCGTTGTCTTGGAAGGTGTCGATGTGGTTGAAGAAATTTCCGAAGCTGTGTACAAGTGTACTGTTAGAGGATATGTGTTGTAGAGCGCAAAATGTGAAAGGGGCGTTGCAAAACAGGGCGTTAGGAAAATAGGGAAAGGAGAGGGAAAAAGCGGAATAGAAAGGAGGTAAATAGATAAAGGGGAGGGAAAACAAAATTGAAGCTTACGAATTCGACTCCTCCTCTTCACGGAATATTCTTTCATAAATCTCCCGCTGTTTGAACTCTTCAATCTCCTTCTCATGCTTGGAGAAGTCTATCGGATTCTTGCCATACTCAACTACAGTTCTTTTGTTATATGAGTCAAATATTGGACGTTCGAGGAGCAAACCTAGTCCAGGTGCTTTGGGGATGGCAATCTTTTGGTCCCCGTACGTCTCGGGGACCAGCTTGATATCACAGCCACAACGTACTATCAGGGCAGCCATGGCAACCATCTTCCGGATCTGATGCATCATGAAACTTTGGCCGTGTACCTTAAGACTAAGCCATTCCGTGCCGTTGATGATCAATGGCTCTCGCGAGATTTTGAAGGATTTGATGTGTCGTTTGGCCGATGCGTCGCGAAAAGACTTTTGGATGGTGTAGTTGTGGAAGTTCCTTGTCCCGACGTACATACCAAGAGCATCGTTGATGCGGTCCATCCGCTCTCTTGGTATTCGATATGCTTTTTTTGCACCTAGGTAGGCTGCTCGAATTATGCGGATAGCTTCGTTGGTTGTATGCACTGTCTGCTCGTCTCCAGAGCTCAAGTCCTTATTTTCATTTGTTGAGGCTGATGCCTCTTTGCTGGTGACTTCACCATCTTGTTCATCGGACGGATCTAGTTGATCTTGTTCACCTTGGGAAGTAGAGTTGTCCGCTGGGTCAGTACCAGATTTAATAATCAGCGCTTGTTTCACGCGATTCCGCGTTACTTCAGGTAGTCGTTCCAGTATGGGTTTGATATATTTCTCATCAACTTCCTCCCAATAGTGGGCAACCTCTGCTTGCCTTTGCTGATAACCTTCAAGATCATTCTCTTGTTCAGCAATTTCGACTAGTTGTTGACCTAAGTGAGTGCTAGGATGTGGCGGTAGGAAGCAGTGGGAAGGTATTAAATATTCATAAATGCGCGAATCGCATAAATGATAGCTGCTGAAACTTTTATTAGTTATTTCGATGCCCCATACCCTAATTTGCGGACTGAGATGTCCGTTTATTTTTTGCACTACATTGGGATCCTCTACAATAAGTTTCAGTGAGACAACATTGCCGGCGGCATGCACGCCCTTATCTGTGCGTGCGCATCGAACAAGGGACGACTTCTTAGGGTCAGTGGCATTTGCTTTTGATATTGCCCCAGCGGCGACGAAAGCAGTGAATAAATCACCTTCAATTGTCTTCTCAGTCTCGCTCCTATAGAAGGGACGTTAGATCAGAACTGGAATAAATTCACACAAAGTTTGAACGGACAATTGCATTCCCTTATATCCACTACCTGAATACCCAAGCATGACAGCGACTTTCTTTTTTGGGCGTCGCTGGTCTGCTTCAATATCCTCTTTGGAAAACTCCGTAGCATAGATAGGCAGCGCCTTCTCTCCATTTTCTAATTTACGTCGCTTCGATTCCTGAGAAGCTTCGGCCCTCGCTCTTTTATCTGGAATTTGGCGGCTTGTGATTAGTTAGTGTAGGAAATGGCAGAGTGAAATCCTATCAAACAAAAAATAGCAAAATACCTCCAAGCTTTCCTTCCCAAATCTTTTCTCTTATTTTTGCGACCTCCTCGGCCTCCTCCGCCGCTATTCGGTTCCTTCTTTCGCTTTGCATCGCCGTCGGGGCGTGGTTGTGAAACTTCTTGTTCCTGTGAATAACCTGCGGGGAACATGGCCTGCTGATCCGGCGCAGAGTTGCTTGGACGATTTGGGTTTGGAGATTGCTGCTGAGTATCCATCTTGGATATAGAAATGTCAGGCTGCCCATAAGAGCAGACCAATTGTATCAAGTTCTCAAAAGGAGGGTTTCCGTCGCTGGCGGAATTCTCGATTAACTTCCACATAAAATTTAGTTGCGATGGAAAATACTTGATTAGTCAGCATACCTAGAAAACTAAAGCTAACTCAAAGCAGACAATAGCCTTTTTTCCGCGACTTCATTACGACTCAACGCACATCTTCAACAACCCTGAAGCGGATACTGTCTTCGTGTTGTTTGGCGGAAAACCGCCTTTTGCACGAACACTATCCTACTTCTAGAAACACGGCTCATCAGCTTTACTGCTGCTGGAGTGTGAAGAATGATGGTTGTTAAATCGACTTAAGCTACCTTGAACGGAGGGCTCCCGTGTCAGTGATCATCGGCGGCCACTGAGCTGCAGCTGAGCAGACTTATATCGCCTCTTCTGAAACTCTCGGGAGTCACAATAGCCCGCGTGCTAGCAGCTATGGATCTCGCGAGCAGCCTTATTCGCACTGTCGTCCGCGCTTTCTATGAGACTCGCCACATCCTCGTGATTGATGCTCTTTTCATACACTCGGTGTATGACTCTTTCAATCTCGCAAAAATTCTCTAGAATATCTAGCTGATGTATTTTGTAGCCTTCATCCGGAAGACCTCGCGCATCTTCTTGGAATGCAGCAAAAGGATCTACGCAAGCTCTGCGCTCGTTTGCGTGAAGACCGTCTCATTGCAGTGTATGGGAGAGTCCTCCATGAAATAACTCTTTGTCTAATGTTAGGGCTAACCTTGAGTTTGCTGAATTCAGTCATTCAAGGCCCGAAATTCGAGATGGTCAAACTCGCCCAGTGAATCGCGAATACTACTATATTCCCCTTTACCCTGTAGTTGACGCTATCAAATATCGTGTTTCTCGACTCACCTCGATTATCAAAGCGCAATATACCCCTACTGCGGAAAGGAAGGAATATGTTTGCACAAGATGTGGTGCGGAATGGACTCAGTTGGAGGTTCTAAGCCGGATCGGACCAGATGGCTTTGAATGTCATCGATGCGGTGCTACGCTAGAAAGGGCGGATGAAGTCGAGGGTGGGACTGGTGCTGATCGAACTGGCCATGAGAAAAACAGCAAATTAATGGCGCAACTGGATAAAATGTTAAAACTACTCAAACAGATCGATTCTGTTGACGTCCCAGAAAATGATTTTGAGACTGCCTGGGAACACAAAGTTGATGTTATACGAAATCAATACACCAACCCGACAAGGCCAGGAGTGGCCTACACTAGCAACCGACAAGCAGCCGTTCGAGGGATATCCAAAACAGACGCTTCGTCCTTGGAAGTATCTCTCACTTCCTCAGCAGAGAAGAGCGCTGCTGAGCAGGCTGAGGAGGCAGCGCGGAAAGCTGCTCTAGAGAAACAAAATGCGCTTCCTGTTTGGCATACACATTCAACAGTTAAATCTGAACCCGGCAATCTTCCGGTCAAACATGAACCCAATGGAATTACTGACGTATTCGCTATCAAGTCTGAAGTAAAGGAGGAACAAAAGCCAGACATTGATGCTCTTGATGACAAGGTTGCTGCATACTACGCTGAAATGGCGCGCGAAAAGGAGAGGGAGGCTAAAGACGATGTGAGCTCTGTTGAAGAATCATCAGACGAGGAAGAAGACGAGTTCGAGGATGTTGGAGTTGCTCCTGGTGTCTCTGAAACCCCGGCGGTAGCAGAAGGCAATAACACTCCTAAATTCCCTAATGGATCACTTAAAAGGGAAATGGAATCCGACTCGGGCAGTAGCGCTCCTCAAACTGGTGCTGCAACACCCGATACCACCGCAGAGGACGGCCCTCCTGCCAAGAGAGTTAAATTTGAGCCACAAGTGAAGAGAGAAGCTGTCTCTGACGAAGACGAAGACGACGAGGAATTCGAGGACGTGTAGAGTATTTCAAATTCCCACTTGAAAGAAACTTTGTACCATACAATTATAGCGTTTGGTGTTTTTCGATATTAGCCCGGTCCGTTTCTGCTAAGTAATGGGTCGTTTCTGTGCATTTAATGAGACAGAAACGTTCATTGCGTTCTAGAGCATTGATGTTTCATTCTTTTCCCTTGATATGTACCTGTCCTTTCGTGACCCGCCTCGATGCATTCAGGCCTGATGCTTGTTTATTTGTGATCATGCCGCGCAGTTCCTAAAAGCAAATGCGATTCTAAAGGTGGTGAATCTTTGGATAATCTGATAGAATGGATTCTTGGCCTCATCTTAATTCAAGAATCAAATGCAATCTTAGAGCAAAAAATCCTGTAGGCGCTGTTTTTTCTCTGGTTCATCTCAAAACCTTCTTACAGAGTACAAAACTGCACACATTAGTTTCCTTCTATACCAAGCCAGTGTGACACTGATCTATCTATAGGAAATATTGCACATTTTTGAGAAGTCAAATGTCTCTACTCTGTAGAGCTTCATGAAACCTGCACTTCATCCAGCTTCAAAGAACAACATCTCAATATACTTTTCATATTAATTGAATAAGTATAATGCTAGTTTTTAATAATACAGATGTACTTCTCTGAAAACAGTCATACTTTTCTGGGCTGAGAAAGTTATTTGTTTGGAGATTGTTCCAAAATATACAGGCTGTAACTGTTTATAAAGAGATTGACATGTCTGAGCTCATTAAATCCTCTGAGCAACCAACACAACCCACTCAGACATTGCTCAAAAATTCATTGACAACAAACCCAACTTCATGAACAGAGGAGAAAATGTCTTTCTGCTGTGGCTGTGTCTCTGTCTGCTGTCTGTTTATTCATCCGCTTCTGCTGATGCTGTTAAAGGCAAGGCTCTGGTCGACACACTCCACAACACTACCCTGCACACCTTTGGGCAATCCAGAAACATGAATTCACTGGGACACATGAGCGAATATCGTCCTCCAGGGTCCTTGCCTTGTCCGTGATGACCATCATTGTGTGATTTCTCGCATGTTTGATCAGCAAGAAATGGTAACTCGTCTTGAGCAATATGGAAATACTGTTCAAGGTGATGAAGGGAACATACTCCAAGGACAGCAATCTATGTTCTTAGAAGTGGCCCGTATACTTCCCATTCCTTGACCCAGACAAATATGGATTCTCAATCGGTGAGCCTCCCTGACAACGTTGATCTTTCCGTTGGCTAATTGACATGGTTATGATGATTCCTCGATGATGACGTTTCGACGCCCCCTAATTGATAGTGTCAATATCGACCAGCCTTCTAATGCTACAGGTATTTCTCTTTAATTTCCACCCCAATTTCGGAGACTTTTAACCTGTTTCTGAACCTGTTCCTGAACCGGAGCATACATACCGAATTTATTCATTTCTCCCGCTACATTCCATGTTTTCACATGGAATGGTGAGTTGACTGCGCTAAATTCAAGGCCTTAAGTTACCATTCATCAGCAGAACTAAATCAACAAGAACCAGCCGTTTCGAAAATATGTATGACCTACTCCGGACTTTGTACAGAGTAGAGAGAGTCGTCAATGAGTCGGCCTCGTTAATCAGCAAGGAGAAATTTGTTGCCCCCACAAATGATATGAGGCAAATTTACAGATTCCAGGATGTAATAAGCAACACAGCAACTTGTAGGACCAAAATACATAGAAGGGTAGGAAAGAGAGAAAGAGAAAGAAAAAGGGAGCAAGGGTCGTGAAGTTGAACAGAAGTGAAAAAGTAAACGTGTGGATTGCAAAATATATGGATCGAGAGAGAAAAAAACCATTCCATGTAAGTAGTCAATCAACTTAAGTTCATCGGTATGGATTGAATGTAAAATGGAAGAAAAATCGATGGATCAGAAAAAGACCCCATCATCGGTAACCATATACATTGAAGCATATTAGAAACATGAAGAGAAGAGGGAGAAGCAGAGTCCATAGTCCCATGTGTAAACGAAGATCTGATAGAGAAAATAACCCATTGTTTCATAACGTAATGTCATATGACTGCTGCTGGGATGAGGCAATGTGAGGGAGAAGGAAAATAATAACATACACCCCAATTTTCCTGATCCTTTAGTTGTATGATGCTAAAGATGACGAGAAACGGACCAAGAGCGTAGCATGCGAGACCAATATTTTCTTGTGAAGAAAAAGAACCCCCCTCACACGTGTAACATTGATGGCCCCATCTTGCCTCTAAGTGCAGAAAACAGAGAATTTTAACGCCAGTTAAATGCAGCAAATGGGGAATGGGATGGTGGATGGTGAAGTGAAATGGTCATTCAGTGGTCATCAATACGAAAAAAAAAAAAAAAAAAAAAAGAACAATGGGATAAAAAATGCAACAAAACAAGTGAGAAAGAAAACACTTTCACCTGGGAAAAGAGAAATCGAAAGAAATAAAAAACAGATTTATACCGCCTTGTAAAAGGAAAAAATAGGGACATGAAAAGACTCCCCTTTAATCCGCCACTGCACAATGGGCGCCACAGCTTTCACGGCGACCCGGTCAGACCAACATCAGAATCGCTTCCCATCATTGAATTATCATCCCAACCATCTGAAGGGAAGTCAGAACCTGAAGTAGAAAAGGCGGTATGGTGGTTAGAAACAAAACAATAGAATCGCAGACTAAACCAGAAAGAAAATGGGATGGCGCTGCTTACCAGAGATAAGTTCTTCCGGAACATCAACGGCCAGCTGCTCTAGTGCGGAGATGACAGCTATCGAAAAGAAAGAAGTAGGTCAGTGTGAGCCTTCATGATGAAAATATTGGGGGAGGTGTAATTTGTCATACTTGTAGCCTGTTGGATGAAATCCGCGTCGTCGCTGTCACGCTCATCAAAATAGACCTCTGTGCAATGCATGATCACGAGCGAAATCGTCTCCATCGACTTGACTTCAGGAGGCTGCGCGTCTGCAGTTGAAAGGTACGTCCTTCGCAACTTATCCACAGATGCCTGCGCCAAATCCCTGCCGATTTTCCTGTAAAATTGGCGAAAATCATCACTGATATCCTCATATTCCTTCGAGAAGAGAAGTTGCCGCAGGAAATCCAACACGCCGTTTCTGACTGCCCTCTCTGGGTAATGAAGAAGTGTCGGCGCCCAGTCAGGTATCCGGTCGACCACTGAGCTCCAGAACCAGTACTCATCCTTTTTGGCTTTTTCGTTTTTGACTTTTACCAGCGACTGGAAAAAGGCTAGATGCTCGCAACCCCCACTGTCATTGATGGAGTCTATGCCTTTGGACACGTAGTCGATGAGGTTGGTGATCCGGTCCCCATCTGATGACATCTGGCAGAAAACTAATGTAGCGTCGAGGAAAGGGACACAGAGGTAGGCTGGGGAAGCCCGTAACCCTTCCTCTAGAACTTTGCAGATACTGTCCGTTAGACCATATTCAGGATCAGCGGCTAGAAAAACGCTCACTATCTTCCGTGAAACTGGTGGATTAGCTTGTTGCTCTAGGATTTTCCTCAAGAAAATCAGATCCTTGTTCCTTCCAACGGGTCGGACCAGCTCCGCTTCCGCCCTGGTAAGAGAATATTTGCCCATATTGCAGTCCCGGCAGCTATTGTCGACTGACGGTGTTAATGTGAAGTCGATGTGCGTCATCAAAATATAGAGGACCTCCACAAGCTTGGAGTGTGAATATTTGCGGCCTTTTTCAACAAGCCGGAAATAGTTTCCATATTGCCGTTTCAGCCGTTTGCTATCCTCCCTATCAAGCCAAACCATTTCCAGGCATTTCAACAAAAAGCCATGTTCAAGCATGACCTGAACAGGGAACGCGCCAAAATTAGCAAGTCCGAGGAGCAGCCCGAAATAATCGTCCCAGGCCCGCGAATATACGTGTAGGCAACCCCACAGCTCATCAAGCGACGTAACAATATTCTCAACCATCATCTCATAGTCGTTTCTGCAGCGAGCTAGTTCGTCATGGTCCAGAGATTCATCCTCTAGAGACGACTGTAACCGTGCGATGGCAGCGATCAAAAGTCGACAGAATCCGTCACGGACAACGTTATTGGGACTCTTCAAAAGGAGGTCTCGAATACCTAACGGTCGAACTACAGTCCAACCGAGCACTGCCATGGCGCCCTCATTACTTTCATTGACACTTCTCCCCAACTCGATGATGATATTTTCAAATTCGGGCAATTCTTTAGACCTCGAGATGATCTGATCCAAATTGTCGAGGGCGAGGCATATGGCCGGTTTTTGGATTTTACTGAACCCAGATTCTTCCGTGGTGGAAAATTTTCTTGATTGTTCTAGTAGTGCACGGATGAAGTACGCATGGTATGGGTCTAACAGGCAGTAGGTCCGGATGAAAATTTCGTTCTCTAAGGCGATGTGGTTTCCAAGCTGCATGGGAAGTGGGACACTGACTGGTGCATCGCCGAGCGATGCCTCGTAAACAGATTTGGCCCTCTCCATACTACTCACCCGTTGGTAAAATAGCATGTAAGCATTCCAGACTTTGTTAAACCTAACTGGGCCAATGTTTGCGCTGTGAATTGGGTCATTCATGCCTCCGAAACATTGATCAGGGATCTTGGAAGGATCAAATCTGCTAACGTCGGAGTCGTTGAATTCCACCCATGCACTGGGGTCTGCTGCTGTGGGGCGCTCTCTGATGTACGAATAATAGTGGCCAGATTCGGCAGTGCCGCTATGCACAAGAACGCCAACCAGCTCAAAGATGTCGGGGACGATTGGGGTTCCGGGGTTGCTTAGATACTCAACCGTGTAAGGGGTCATATCAAGACGTTCCGGGAACTGGAATTCATCGTTAATTTTACTGCGTATCATCGAGATGACATCGAAATCGAAGCGCTTGAGATGGAATATTAAGTTATCCGGGAGATCCTTCAAGCAAGCCCTATTCATAAAACAAGAAAATTAAAGACTGTAATCCTTCTTATAAGAGGAACCGGGAACATTGAAAGCTCACCTCTTGACTGCATCAACATGGCGTCCACACGAAGTGCACGAGTATTTATTATCTGCGTATGACTTTAGAAAACTGAAAAATCGTCTTACAATTAACCTCATCCGATCTTACCTCCTTGCATTACCTCCCCTTCCACATACGCGCGCAAACTATCCTCAAGTCCAGCTTTCCCTTTAATATCGCATTGTATCGCAGAGAAAGGCTCAAGGCGCTCCGAGATGTGAGGGCACTCCTTTGACTTAATCTGCTGCACAAGCTGACCGCCATAGAAAGATCTGAAAAGCTTCTTATCCTCCGTTGACAGGATCTGACCCTCCCACCGATCGAATAATAGATTGTAGAACTCATCTACATCCATCTGGACATTGATATCGATAGGCTCATTATCATATGTTCGGATCGTATCCACGGCTTCCTGAGTGTCAACGCTTTTCTGCCATGTATTTTGCATGTAAGCGAAGACCTTCTTTGTCTCTGCAAGCAGTTTTTGAGTTGAATCTACGTCGGAAACATGGACTTCAATCATAAATTTTCGGAAGTCAATGTTCATGAATAACTGCGTAAAGAGAGAATTCAGGTAGCAGGTATTCGACAGATTTTTCAAACCAGCATAGCCTTCCGGAGAACGGATAGTTTTATATCGGTCGAAAATCCAATTTGGTTCGTGGGTATAATCTGAAGACTGGTGAGCAAAGTAGTTATATATCCAAGGGCAGGGGCGTTAATGATTTGGAGATATCCCATACCGTATGGGATGACATCATCAAGTAAAGTTAGCATTCTCTCACAGTTTGCTTGGTCCTCGCACAGGAGCAAGAGGATATTATAAATCTCTTGTCTCGTGGTATTGTGCATGACAGGAATACTAGACTGGATAACCTTAGTCTCAGTGGGCTCGGAGAGCTCGGGAAATAGGTAGGTGGTGAAGAGCTTCTCCATGAGGTTACTACTCTCAGTTAGAATCTGGCAGATCCTGTGATTCATATGCGCTTCACACGCAGATGGGGATGGCAATATTTACCTTGTGTCCATGGTGCCAGGTGTGGCGTGGGAAAGCTCTAGGCACATTTTCAAGAGGTGTGTGAATCCCAGAACGATGTAATCGACAGGCTCTCGACCAACGAACTGAAAGGAACAATTGAGACAGTTTAGCAATGTGCTCAATTATATAGAAATATAAAATGGGAAATGGCATGCTAAAACAAACCTCATTCGTGCGATGGCTAAGAAGTATATCTCCCCATTTCCTAAGATACTCCCCGTAGATCAAGTCTTCAGGAGATAAGTTGGCAACAGTCTGAAAAACAGTAAGTGCAACCTCGAAAAACTCCTGAGAGGACTGCGCATATTCAAGAGTATCCGGGAAAAGTGCAGAAATATGTTTCCATAACGTTGCAACAATATGGATCGTCGTAGCGGAAGGGAGTCTTCCTACAACTGCAACCGCCCCTCCCTTCACCTGGCTGCTGGCCTTCCAAGCCCGTTTCTGAGATGGGGTAGTACCACAGGTGGCGAATATAATTTCCGCAACACTTTTGCGAATACCTTGCCTCGATTCACTGAGAAGCAGCGTGAAGATTAGATCCTTGATTTGAGTACTTTGTTCGACCGCATCCCAAACGCGACTATCATGCATGGAGGCTTCGATTATGACAGCGAAGGAATTGGATATTAGTTTCTGTATAGAGATTTCTGAGAGGTGTTTGGAAGTAAGATTTCGGCAGAGGGAAATAAAAGACAAAAGTCGAGTGGCTAGGTCCAACGGATTGGAGAAATACTGTTCGGAGTCTTCTGGCATCGATTTGGCTAATTGTTATTTTGGCATTAGTACTTCGATTTCTTGTTATGAGGGATTGTCGAATCTTCACAACTTACCCGTCAAAGCAAACAAAAGACATTCCACGAAATTTCGTGCAAAAAGTAATTTCAGCGGGCTGTCTTCTAAACCATCACCCATCTGCGGGCGCGTTATAAATGCAACCAAATTCTGAATGCTGTGGGATATAAATTCTTGGTCGGGGTTATTCTAGTTGTCGAATTGTCAGTTACCACCAGCGTCTAAGCATAAACTGAGTATTACCAATCGCTCGCTAACGTACTTCTAAAATTTCTTCGCTTATACATGTAATGAGAGCTTTTATTGAGTATAGAAGCTTGTATGGCTTCTCCAAAGGGAACATCTCCGGTTCCGAAATTTCTTTGGATTTGACAAAATCTCGAACGCGCTGTTGGGGCGGGAAGACAACTAAAAAGTCAAATATCTAGACGCACAAACTGTTAGTATTCGCAAATAGACACTGGAAGATCCAAGAGTGGGGAGAAAGGAACAAATAAAACATACCTCTTTCGATAACTTCTCTTCTAGACTCAACAAATCATACAAATCATCGAAATGCTTCAAAACCTCCGAGTCAACCAAAGTCAACGACTGACGTCGTCCGCCCACTGACGCCTCGAAAGCGTCTGGATTTTTTCGAATCATAAGTAGTCCTGAACCCGCGAGCTTCATGTCTCGCAAAGTCTGAAAAGCATGGGCAGTAAGATCTAGTCGCTGTCCACAACTAAAACTAGAGAAACTCGTAAAACCGGTGAGTCTGGTTAGTTTCTCAGCCAGCTCGGATGCAGTGGAAAGATCTCCGATCTTGAGAGTGCGGATCTTGGTTTGAGAATTTCCACTGAAGGCTTGGTACGAGAGTTCGATGGGTTCACCAATTATCTCATCTTCTCTGAGAATAGACTCCGGGGGGCTAACTTGGAGCGGAGTGTATTGTGGCCGCATTCGCAGTCCCTGAAGTAGTTGGCGTAGGAACAGAAGCGAACGAGTGAATCGTAGTTCTTCAGCTCGTACCTCCCCGTCAGACGGGACGATGACCATAGGTTCATCCTCGCCGCTCGTGGAACCGTCAGTGAACGCTTTGCACTTTGAGGCCGCCGCTGTGAGTTGACTAACGCAGCGATCAACCAATGCGACATGCGTAGCCTCTGCTGCGGAGCGTGGGGCTGTGCGAATCAATTCATGATCAAGGTAAACGTCTATCGCGAAGTTGGTGGCTTTCATTTCGATTGTTCCAGGGGGTGCTGTGAGAATAAAATGCCATAATCGATCCATGCCAGGGATAGTAATAATTTCATTTTCATTCACGTCTGGTGGAAGATCAAAACGGATTTCGTAACTCACTGCCTGCTCCGCAAATGCTAAAATATCCAGGGTATAGTCTTCAGGAGAGATTCGAGGAAGATATACGTTGAGGTAGCATTCGAGGAATGGGTTTCGCTTTAGAGCTCGAGATGTCGCTTTGGGGAGTATTTCCCAAGCCAAGCTTCGGCCACATTCACCAATTTTTTTGGACATAAATACGCGGCTCCAGAGAATTTCGCTGAGTTCTGGAGTAATAGTTTCCGGCACTTTTTCGATAATTCGAAGCAGCATCTGAATTCGCGGTCGAAGGGAATTTCTCGCCATAGGGTCAGAGAAGTCGGTTGAGACAGTGTCGAAAGTATGTGCAAGTTCTGTGATAATCAATCGAGTGAAATCAAAGTCCAGCGCCAGTCGTCGAATGTCTAGATTATCATAAGGATGAATAAGAGCATTCAGGGCTTGAATGCTACCAACCACGAACTCGTTCATTTCGGATATATCGTCGATGCACTTCTTGTACATTTCCATTTTATCGTTGTCGTCCATGCCAAGAGTCAGTAGATGTGAAAGCTGTTTGCTGGCAAACTTTTGCAAGTTTGTTTTTTGCTCAATGGAAAACTCGCTGATAGATGTGGCGTCACGAATCAGGCGAACACACAGACGGCAGGGGACCACATCTACATGCAGATGATCATAAGGCTGCGAGCGCATTCTCTCAGAATGCTTATCCCTCACAGCATTTAATAGACAGTCGCTGTATTCGAGCATCCGTGCATCGAAGCGGTTTAACGGCAATTCGATGAGTTTTGTGCACAGATAAATCAAAGCATTTGACCCGGATTGGTGCATTATAAATGTCCGAGTTAGCATTCCCAAAACCTCCGCCACGGTTCTCGGGTCCTGGCTTTCAGTCACCGTGTTCCAAATAATATCGGTGTCGTTGTCCGCGTATGTGGACGTTACAACAAGGAACCCAACTACGTTTCCACTTCGGCTAATCAACTGGGGATGCGAATCCACACCGACAATGTACTCCACGATCTTGTTGTCCCTCAGGAATTTCACAAGATACTGGATAATTGGATAGTTAACGCCGGCAGGGTTTCCTTGTATATGTTGTCGCCAGACACTGACAAGATCAGCCTGCATAGTCTCCATTCCATAGACGCGGAGCTCCATTCGACCCTCTGTGATATGCCTCTTTAAGACTTGGAACTTCCAACCTAGGTGGATGATGGAAGGATATTCTTCCTGTTTGGCATTTTCCGGAACATCAACGCCAAGATCGCGCGTCATCTGCACTGCCAGCTGACTATTCAAAACAGCAATGTTATGGTAGGAGTAGCCGATGTAACGGAGAACAGACTCGCTGCTATCATTGGTAACCCAAGAAGACTTCTTCGAAATGTAAGATTGATACTCGGCATCAATGGAGCGAAGGCACGTATATACAGATTCCACGGCATCAATAAGTTCTGCTGTTGCAATTAACTCATCGGCTGCATGATACCGTTTCCGTTCCATTCCCGATTCGACAACGTTGTGAGCGATAGTCAGGAGAGATACGAAAGCGCCTGAGAACTGTGGCCACGGCTGAAGAGCCTTGAGAAGCAAAGGCGCAAACTCTGACAGATGTTTTACGAGATTGGCAGGACCGGCAGTAAGTTGGTCGTTGACACGAGCCACCAAGTTAATAATCTCGGCGCCATAGGTTCGTTCCATCAGCTTGTAAAATGGAATCGTGTGGAGTTGCAGGATCCATCCCAACGCCGGCAAATAAACTTTTGATAGTAGATCTGGCGCAGAGTCTGCATCGTTCGGATAATGTTCTAGTGTTAGAATATCAAGGCGAACCATATGGATGGAGAGGCGTCCAAATGCCACGGAGAAATCTTCCAAGCATTTCCAAGGACCGTCTCCCTCGTCGGGTTGAAAGTCGACACTTGCATTTCATTAGAAGTTGCGTGAAATTCCCGATTCAGCGTCCAAGGGATTTACTCACTGCCGCCGTAGAACACTTTCCATAAGCATTGGAACCTCCTCCCACACGTCCCGATCTTCAGCGACGGTATCATAGGAGATGCTATTTAGGTTATTCACACAGAGCTCAAGCCAGCTCTTAACCGATATAAAGAATGTGATATCGTGGGGATGACCTGTATATGAAACAAATAATATAGTTTGGCAATGAGTAAAGAATTACACAAAAGAATTGCAGAGAATAATTACAAAAGAACGAATTGGAAAAGAAAATGAAAATGAAAGAAAAAAAAGGGAGATATCTCACCTCTCTCGAAATAATTCGCTATCTCTTCTATGGCTTCCCGTACGTCACAATCCTGCCTGAGTCGTGGGAAGGATTCTGCCAGGGAAACCTCGTCATGCATGTGCACAAGATCAGGTTCTTCCCTGAGGGCATCCTCTAATGATCTCCAGTTGGATGTGCTGGGATCTTGATCCATGTCTTCCACCTCAGCGACCTCGATTTCGGGACTGCGCGACGGGGACGAAGTGATGGATATTGCAGTTTGGGCATGGGATGTCAGATCTGGAGACATCTGGAATTGTTCATGTTGTTCATGTTGCTCCTGCTGCTCCGATTGCTCTGATTGCAGCTGGTCCGACACTGCTGGAGTTTCTTCAACGGTATGAGAGGCAGAGTCATCATGGAGAGTGGGAGATTTCATATTGATCGTTACTCTGCTGGAGGGACGTTGTGGGTTGGGTGTTTCCGGGTCTGGAACTGACGTAGCCGCAGGAGGGACAAGGCTCCCACCGCTAAGAAGCTGATCGTTGCCGTAATGACCGCTGTCAGAGCTTGGGGAGGGAACCGACATGGTCATGGATTCGTTTGAATGATTCCCACTGTCAAGACGAGGGCGTTTCCGGGTAGCTTGGGTATATGTATCTTCCATGGGATCATTCGGGGAGCCTGGAGGATCAACAGCTACGGCAGCAGGGTGTGGGGTGCTGGAGCTATCTAGCGGGGAAGCTGCCATGACATTTTTCCCGCCAAACTGGAAGAAAAGTATGGGATGGTTGGGGAAGGAAAAAGGTCGAGCAAGAATGAGTCAAGCTCCAGGCAGAGAGAGCGTTAGAGACTAGGAACGGGGGGAGGAAGGGAAGTTCTCAGTCTAGGCTAGGGATGGAAAAGCGATGACGGTCTGTTGAAAGAGCCGCAGCAGCTTCATCTGGCGGAGTTGGCAAACGCAAACAATAGGGCTAAAATGGTTACCTAATTCGACAGGGAGGATACGATCCGTGGCCAGGGCCTGGCGATGAGGTGTCGGGCAGGCCACAGAGGGGACACCCGAGAGTGAGGAGACGGTGGAAGGAGAGGGAGATATAGAAAGCAGGCGGAGGAGCTGGACGGTGGTGTTTATTGTGGGTGGGCATAGACTGTCAGTGTGATTGGTTGGACAAGCAGACGGGTGGTTGGCTGCTGGAGGTCGATTGCGGCTGTATTCCTTAGTGGTGGTGGTTGTTGTGGTTGTTATTGTGGTTGTGGTTGTGGTCGTTGGAATAAATATTGAACGATAACTAAATAACAAAAATGACGATGTGCGGGTGGACGCGTTGCCTACTAGCAGAGAACTACTATGGAACCGCAAAACTAAATACTACACACAAAACAGCAACACACGGATGACTATCAATGATGATCAATTGTCATTTGCCATTATACAATATGCACAGCTACACTTCGATCAATCAGGAGAAAAAGAGGGCTAGCATTCCGGTGAAGACAACTCTTCCAACCGCCAGCCGTTTCCTGTCCATGTCTGCCTAGGACCCAGATGCAAACTCTGCACTAACTCAACAAACAATGAAAAAAGCCTTTGTTGCATTTCATACATGACATTTCACGGTTCTTCAACCCTTTCCACGTTTTCTTCCCCCCGCCCATGACGATCTGAAGCAGAAGTTGGCATATCCTCTCCCCCATTACATTAGTTAGTATTTCCCATCCTCGCGTGTGCAATGCTTCCCGTTCGCGTCGGCTTAATTCCAGTGGGCCGCACGCCAAGCCTTATGGTCATGTGATTTATCTGGATGATTGGATGCCACAACCCGATTCGGATTTGGATTTGGATTTCGGAACTTTCAATCAATATTCAACTGCCATCTTGCATAGTACTCTGCTCTTTCTTGGAAAACAAGATCCTGAATATGGAGTGCTTTTTTTTTGTGCCCTCGGAACAAGTGGATATATGGTGGCGAATAACTTCCTGCTGGTCTCCCAATGACGCAAGAACTAGGGCCAACGGTGGGCCTTGTTGAACGCTCCAGAGCCATCCCTGCGACACTCTGGGGTTCGACTGACAGGGAGAGGATTGGAGTCATCAGTGAACGGGATGCAAATAATACTATGGGCCGTTTCAAATGTTTTGATTTTCGCTGGTTTAAAGTTCTGTCAGTGGCCGGGTGGGTGGAAATAGAAATCATCCTCCACCCCGCTTTCACCGCACTTTCCATTCATTGCTAGTGCTGAAACCAAGTTTCTCGTGCAGGGTTCGTCCCGAAGGCAAAAGGGAAGCGGGGGGAAAAGAAAACAAAACAAAAAGGTTTTGTTCCATGGGTTCAAAAATGGGTTCCTTTTACAACGAATACCAATAAAAGAAAGGGAGGGCTTTGCCGAAGGAACTTGTGCTGTAAGAGTTTTACATCCGTTCGGCGTCTAGGAGCTACTTGCAGGAACAGGATTGGCGGAAAGAAGTGGACGCTGGTTCTTGTCGTCAGCGCCAGCCTCCGGCGCTAGAAGCTGATAAGGCAGGATGGAAGATGCCCTTTCTTCCATAAGCTAAGCGTTCGAGATCTGCAGAGGGCCCATTTCACGGAAGGCGAAAAGCTTCCACCAACCATGGGAGCTACAAGAAACGCCCTCCGCATCGCGATTATGGTTCGAGCTTTTCATCGTAAATCCCGCCTTTTGTGCCGGAAAATGGGGCATAGATGAAATACATCCTTCTACAGAACAGAAATTTTCCGCCGGAGATGGCGTCAGCATTGATGTCAAGATCCGATGCGGCTTTCAAGCTTGTTTGATATCACTCTGAAACCTCAACCATTCAATGAATGGAGAATTGCATTCACTCTTAACATTATCATGATGATGGTTATGGCAATATGTTCCTTGCCAACTTATAATGTTTTCGTAAAAGGCATTTATTTGTCTTCGGTCATGAGATTGCACTGGAAGCTTCAAATCCCTAGTCTGCGCCCACTGTCCACAGGGCCTCCATCATTCTCCACTTCTTTGATATATTTTATTATTTTATTTTATATTTGAACAAGAGCACTATCCGTAGGGCCAGCTAGTTGCGGCAAATCTCGCGCCACACTGACGTGCAAAATCCCGCTTCTCTAGCAGCGACGTTGTCAAATAGTATAGCAAGCCCTAACAAACCCCACACATCAATCGAATTCGTAGATCCATGGGGTACTGAAGATGAGATTTCTCAAGCTGCTGGGGGAAATGGCGCTAAAAGCGTTACAGGAACTGTCATTTTGTTTCCCATCGAGTTCAATGAGGAATATCTTCAGATGAGCCCGCTATTCATGGAAAGTGGTAATGGTTCGGGAGAAGAGAGCAATTATTGGGAAACCAGTTACGGCATCTTCCGCAAATGGGGAATAGAAAAAGAAGGCCTTTCTCTCAATGATGGCATGAATGCTCAGACAAATATGTATGACACACCTGAACTTGAAGCGGTTATGAGGATTACCAGGAGATTGAAGCTCAGGAATAAGTTGGTCTTTGACTATGGATATTCTCTTATCTGGCTATTGTATGACAGTTGGAAATTTTGCCCAAACGAGTGGTTGCGAACAATCATGTTGATTAGCTAGATGCCAATTATAAAGCTGCGAGGCTTGATTCAGTGATGTGGCTTCAGTCGACGAGGTAACGGAAAAACCCAAATTTCGTCTGAGGTCGAGAGGCGGCTAGGGGGTATATGGTAAGTTTATCACCCAGCGGTGGAACATACAGAAGCTTCATACCCAGGAGGCTAGGGATAGAAGATTTGAAAAGGGGTCCAAGACAGCTTCCAGGTTGGGGCATCAACTTCGACTGCAACAGGCGATTATGTGAATTTTAACTAATTATCTTTGATAGACATCGTTCACGGTGTATTGTGGGCGAAATAATAGTCAAGTGTGAGAATTCCCATTATCTATCCCATTTCCGTCGTTCTGTCTTTTCTCTGTATGAATCTAGCTGGCCTATACAAAAGCGTCATAACCATGATGTCACCGAGGGAGCTACTCCTCAGATTCTAAACAATATCAGCTATTCGCGGCGGGATCCGAAGACATTATTGCCATTGATGTCTCGATCCGGCGGAGAATTCTTGCTGGGTTCCCCGCAGCAACATGGAAAGCCGGTACATCCTTATATAAACAAACCGCAGTGTCAGTTAGGATGATCTGTATATATATAGCTCCCAAATCCCCAACAACCAAAAACACAAGCAAAGGAAACGGTGGTGCACACCTTCGTAACAACACTCCCCGCTCCAATCGTCGCCCCCTTCCCAATCGTAACTCCCGGCAAGATATCAACATTCCCACCAATCCAACAATCTTCACCTATATGCACCTCCTTTCCCAGTTCAGGCCCCTTGGTCCCATTTCTCAACGCGGGATCTAACGGATGCGTTCCACTGTAAATACTGACGTTGGGTCCAAGCAGCGTTCTAGCTCCAATGGTGACGAGGCAGGTATCCAGAATGACACAGTTGAAATTTATAAAAACGCCCACGCCAACTTTTACGTTAAACCCATAGTCTATGCGGATTGGGGCTTCGATCCAAGGTTCATCTTCGAAGAGGGCCTCGTCAGCTGCCGGGTGGTCGGCTGGGGGTGGGAGCGGGGTGTGGTCGTCGATGATGCTGGGGAGAAAACGACGGAGAGAGATAGAGTTAATTTTTCTTTGCGGTATAGAGGCCTTGTCGGTAATATAATTGGATTATCGTCCCACCTCTCCCCTTGCCACCAAGTTATGGTGCGGGGTATTTAGGAGATCAATGCAAGTAAATGGGCAGGTTGAAAGGGTAAGAAGGAGTATCGTATACCACACGAGAGACCCTGTGGATTCACTCACTCTCTCCAAAGCTCAACTTGGCGCCTCCGACTCACTTCTTCGGAGTCATTGAATCTCTTACACGCCCATTTGCACTTTGTACGTGCGGCTATAAGGTCCGGAGTGAAGGCGCGATAAAGCTCACCACGGAGCATCTTTTCTCTCTCAGTTGGTTCTGCCATTGCGTCAATGGCCTCAGTGCACTTGACAGGCCTGTAGAACCGATTAACGTTCAAGTTGCAGTTATCGTTCTGCCTGCAGAGAATGAACTCACAGAAGTTGAAGCGCAAAAGCGCCCGATTTGTGTATGGTTGCTTGGTTAAAAAGCAACTAAATAATTGGCAAGCTGGTCCTAAGTCAAGTGTCAGAATAGTTGGATTAAATTCAAGCCAAACCACCATTTGCTCTAAGATATGAACAGCGCTAGAAAACAACGTCAGTAGCTGTAGGGATCGAGTTGGTGCTACAACAATCTTTTGCTGAATTCCACATTGGATGACGTCACTATTATATAAGAAAGCCGGAACTGCTGAAAAGCCGCGCTAAACTAGATTCGGCGACAACAATATCAAATTGTTCATAGCTTCAACAACGCACGCAGCTCAGGAAGCCTTTCACAGGCTGAATGGACGGTCACCGGTTTAAGGCGCTAGCCCGCCATCTTCTCACTAGTTGCATATTTCTTTGTTCGGACTTTTGTCATTTTGGGAGCTGCTTGTCATAATGTGTCCGATCTGCTCTCCCATTTCTCCTGCTATGTAAAGCATTCTGTTGTATCAACCGTCCCTTGTGGTCTTTCGCTTACAGTTGTACAAGCTGCCATTATAATTTATTTACACGAAGATCCTTTCTAAATAATTACAGGCTCTCAGCCATGGAGCAGGAAGGGGATGCATCCAGCTCAAGTGCGGACAGCACTCATATCGTGACTGATCCGTCCTCAACGAGCGTCGATTGTCGCCCTCGTCGAGAATACGTTCCCTACAGACCGGAGGGCAACAACAACGGTGCTGCTACTAAATCTCCAAGAGAAGTCGTCGACCCTGCGATTCTTCCAGGGGGCAAAAAGTCTTTAGCTGGGATATCCATCCGTTCCTTTGTGCTGGGCCAGGTTTTTGGTCTCTGCATCGTCCTAACCTTCTTTCTCCTCAAATCGTCCAACCCGCTGTGGCGAGGTCCTTTCTTCCTCACATCTCTCAGCCTTTTCCATTTCCTCGAATACTATATTACTGCACGATATAGTACACCCTATGCGTCAATCTCGGCTTTCCTGCTCTCCTCGAACGGTGCAGCTTATAATCTTGCGCATACTTCTGCTATGGCAGAATGTTTACTTAACCGCTTAGTTCTACCTGAAGGGTACGTTAAAAAGGCATCTCTGATATTTGGCGGCCCTAAAATGCAAATTGGATTCGGATTGGCCTTTATGGCGGTGGGCCAGGTCGTCAGGTCGTTAGCAATGGTTCAGGCTGGGACAAATTTCACCCACACGGTCCAATCCAGACGGAGACAAGGGCACACGCTGGTCAAAGATGGTATTTACCGTATCCTCCGACACCCAAGTTACTTTGGATTTTTCTGGTGGGGTTTAGGAACTCAGTTGGTTCTGGGAAACGTTGTTTGTTTCTTCGCTTATGTTATCGTACTCTGGAAGTTTTTTTCTAGTCGTATCCAAAGTGAGTTAGCTCCCCAGATGTTAGCTGGAAATGAGTTTACCTTCGTGCTGATATCAAAATTTTCATGTAGGAGAAGAGAAATTTTTGATTGGCTTTTTCGGCAAGGAGTATATTGAATATCGGGAAACGACGATGGTTGCAATCCCCTTTATTCCCTGAAATCGAATGGTAGCTAGCTACGTTGGTGACCACAATGGTGGCACCGGATTTAACCTTTTCAGTTGAGGGAAAATGGTATCTTGACTCAAAAACATGCTCCATTGGCATTAGCTATTTATGAGCCATCTTATCCCTTACGACCACTTACTGTTTATCTATTTGTTTTGAGTCGCGATTTTCCCGTTTAATTCCTGTTATTTGTAAAAACCACTGTTTCATCGTGGCACAATTTAGCCATTTCCAAGGACCGCCGTATCCTGCTTTATCTGTTTGCTATCATTGATGCTCTGAATGACAATGAGTGAATCTAGCGGATCCGTCTCGCGAACTCTTGAAGTCTATATAAAAACCTTATAATTCTTCAAGCCACCCTCAGTCTTCCTCCCTTGTTTTCCCTCGAAAACAACGATTTTGTCCAAGTTTAAACAACTGCATTTTCCATGTTCTGGCTTTCATGTTCGCTTCCAAGAACCGCTCAACATACAAGAGCCCGCACAGGGGAAACAAGAGTGAATCATGATATGAGAAACAGCGCTCTAAAAGAAAAGAATAAAAAAAAAGTCTCCTCTCCATTTTTGATCTATCAGATACCCACTCCTTCAATCAGGCAAATGTGCCAAGTCCGCGCACACTTTCACCAACCCTGCGGTTGCAAATCTCATCAGCTGCGCGTCTGCAACTCATACAAGACCCGGACCCATGTTCCTACCAACGCCAAAGCCGGCAACAGCAGTGCCGCCACCATCACCACCACCACCACCGAAAGGTGCAGCAACAGCAGCAGTTACATCAACCTCCACACAATCCCCCGTTTCCTCACCATCTGTTCCAAAGCCTTCAACCCTGATATCTTCTCTGCCTGCCCGTCATTCAACATGCACCCAGAAGTCATCGACCCACATCCCTGCTCGGACCACTGGACAATGCTCTCTGATGTTAGGTTGTTCTTCGGCCCGCCTAGGGGACTCGGGAGTGGCAATGATAATGATGGGGAAGGGGAGGAGGCCGTGATGGCGGAAGATGAGGGAAAGAGGGGAGGCGGGGGAGGAGGCCAGCGCTGGCAATGGAGCTTATTTGATGCCGGGGAGGATGAAAGTTGTCCTGATCCTCTGCGGACGGACCATTTGAATAGTTTGCGTGAGAGATATTGTTGTCCGGGAGGGGGTGGGGTCGTAAATGGGAACTATGGGGGTGATGATGCTGGTGGTGAAGGAGAGAAAGGAGTTGGTGATCATGTTTCAAATCAGCAGCAGAGCCAGGTGGGGGATGTGACGGGAACCTCTTGTGGGGTTACTGGGACCACAGAAGCTAAAAAGAGAGGGTGGACCTTTTTGGATATGTTTTTGGATTGGATGGGGAGTTGAGTGGGAAATGATAGTTTCCGTGAGCTCAAATTCGCTGGTGTTGAAGCACCGCCCCGCTGGCCCCCGCGCGCGCCCCCCGTGCAACTTCTTGGTATATTTTGCTTCTGCTGTTGCTTGCTTATCCCTCTATAGATTCTCATCCGTCTGTATTTTCATTGTATTTTTTTTATCGTGGTATTTGGGGACCTGCAAAATGCATTGTATCTCTTCAGGGCGTGTTTTATTCCTTCTCTTGTATGAGTGTTTTCTATTGTAGGAGGTTATATTAAGCCCTAACGGCAGAACGTTGATTTTGCCCTTCCTAGCCCGAGGCTAAATAACCCCCCCACTGAGCTTAGTCGAAATATATATAACTAATAGATAACAATAAACATACGAAATGCTGTATATATCATTATTAAAATGAAACAGATAACGTATTATACAGTACATCTACACCTACCCGCAAACCCCCCACATCCCGTCCCAAAACATTAGCCATCATAACCTACTCCGCGGCTCGGCCACCCCAAGGCCGCCACTCATGTACGGAATCTTCACATCCTCCTCAGACGAAAACAGCACCATCTCCCTCCCGCCCTTGGTACTCCACCACGTAACGCAGAAATTCGCCCGATCGACATCCATCTCCCCACTGCTCAACGCATCCCAAAACCTCTCCTGACACTGCTGCCTCATCCCCTTATCGGGAATGATATTGACCAGGTGCGCGACGAGCGGTAGCCATTCCTCCAGCGTATCCAGGCGGAGGAAGCATAGGCAGTCGATCATGGTCATGGCGAGGACAGCCTGTTCGGATAGTGGGGGCGCGCTGTTACTGAGAGCATTAAGGTCGACGGAGACAGAGGTTGAGGCAACAGGCCGTGGTAGCGGGATGGTGGGTGCGTGTAGGGCTCTGTCATACAAAAGTTCGAGGAGGATTGGGGGGAGAAGAGGTTGGGTGTTTGCTAAGGGGGATGGGGGCGCAGTGATTTGGATCGCGGTTTTGAAGGCTAGGCGGAATTGGCGAGCGGAGAGATTTTGAGGGAACACCTGAGACATATATATATTGTTAGACTTTCAATGGAATTTCAGTATCAAGCGTAAACGACGAGGCCGAAGAAGGACAAAATGGGCACATACGGTGAAAAGTGTGTCGATATAAAACGGGAGATGCTTCGCCGCCATATTTGCACTTTTGGGCGCTGCGAGAACAGAAAGTACTACGCTGTGGGCTGCCTCAAATATTTCTAGAAGATTGTTGTTGCCGCCAGCGGCAAGATATGGCAGTGCAGCGGAGATTAACAGGTCCTCGTTAACGGCTGGGGATAGTATCAAAGCAAAATGTTCAGCTGTGTTTAGGAAAAACAGATCTAGACATCTATCGATAGGATAATCTGGAATACGGCCAGCTGCAGAAGGACGGATACTCTCCAAAAATTCTTGGGAGGCAGCTGGATACTGCGAGAGGATGTCGATTGCAGTAAGGTTAACAAAGGTATACTGGGAAGACGTATTTTGTCCAATTCGAGATGAGATAAAGCAGATATTGCGGAGAATGTGTAAGGATTTGCGAGCGAGTGTTGGTGCACCTAACAAAAAGTTAACTATAATTCACCAATAAGATAATTAAAAGGGCCAGACTTACAGTCATCAGCCGCAAGGAGACGATCATTCAGTACCCTTCCTAGAACAGCCCTTAGAACAATAATGATCGAAAATAAGGAGGTTTTCAATAATCGCCAAAGAACAGGTATCGTTGTCTTGAGTGACGCCTCGTCGAGGAATTCCGCCTCCTCAGAGATATCAACCTCTGACAGCTTATTCTGCCGCCACTGAACCATCAATGTCCTCGAGAAGTTAAGGAGTGAATCCACCGCTTGCACCACCCGGCCCTGTGCTTGGCAGTTTTCAATACCATGTGCAATTAGCCGCGATAAGGGACCCAGAGAGGAGATAAGCGGCTTTGCGGTGATGGCGCGTATGTGGAGAAAAGTTGGGGATTGGGCCTGCCACTCGAATTTTTTCGAAGGGGTCTCGCGCATGTCCCGGTCAATCGCGCCTAGGAAATACCCAGATTCAAACCCTGCGGGAGAGAAAAAGGCGGTGTCCACGAGAAGAGGAAGGGCAATGTTATAATCCAATCGGCTTCTTTCGGAATCCGCAAGTAATTCGAAAGTATAATTCATAACCAGCGCAATACAATATCGCGCAACTCTTGGGTATGAATCGAGCTCGTTCAGCGAAAGCTGGAATGCCGTCATGAGTCCCGATTCTAGTTTTTTCCTCAAGTGCGATGGCAGATTCCGTCGATCCTGGCCCTCCATCCCCAGCAAGATCCCTCCAAGCAAAATACAATGCCTCCAACGTGGTGACTTGTCATCCGCACCCTGGACAACCGCCTTCACCCATTCCTCGCGCCCAAGCCCTCTCCTTTGAATATTTGAAGACGGAGGTCCCTGTTGTGGTGTTTCATTGTGCACGACGCTGATCGCCGCCGTATTAAAAACGCTGAGAATGCGCCGGCATGTTTCCAGGTCGAATTCTCCATTCCACAGGGCTGGGGAGTGTAATAGATGTGAGGATAATAAAGTTACGTTCAATGGATTGGAGAGCAGAGAGAGAAGTCCCGTCGATGATGGTAGGAGGCTAGATTTACGAACTGTCAGTTCCTAGGACTAGGGCGGCTTAGAATAGGGATAAATGGAAGCATCCTACCCAAAAGCATCCCGATTCCCATCCACGGTCTGGAGTGACCGAAGCAAAGTTGCAAGCGACCTCTCAGTCCCCATCTTGGACTGGGAACAGGATTCTCCTGTTCGTCGACAGTTGTTGCTGCATGGGATTGTGAAGTCTTGGAACATCTTGCCGAGGTTCATCCTCAGGGAACTTGAGCTGCAAACGGAGCAAACATAGCTTGGTACCTCCATCTGAGAAATCATCTTCAAGCTCCATTGCATGCTAGCAGTTCCACCTCTGGTGAAAACCAGGCATCGCTTCAAGTTGGTTTAAGGGATAGGAGAGACACGGATAAGCAGGCAGCGAAAACAGTCCATCGCAGATGAATAGGAAGACAGCCGAGAAAGGCATTGTGCCAGCTGCCCTGTGATGCCAACATCATGGCCTTTATGCTGGAGTCAATTAAACCTTCAACCAGCAAAATTATTGATAGCAGCTCGTTGAGCGCGACCAAGATCTAAATGCCAGTAAAGTAATCAGCAAGCATAACAATGTCGACACACGCAGGATCCGACTACGGTCTGAAGACTTGGATCAATGGACTGAAAGTCCAAGTCTCACGTGCTCAAATTCTAGCGGGGCTCAGCGCTCCAGAGAAGAAAGCCCAACGCTCCTTCAACCAGCACCCATTCCTCACGCCATTCAACCAAACTCAGCCAGCGGGAGAAAACAAAAAGAAACACTGTTTTGTTGCAAACTCGATGAATAGCCCAAACGATTCGACGGCTGCGTATGCGCAGGCGTAGCACCTCTCTCACAATCCCAGCCGCCATCTGCAAATCCGCCATCCACCATCCGCCATCCAAGACATATCAAACCATGTCCTTCACCCAACCCGTCCCCGCCGAATACCAAACTCCCCCTTTCCCTTCCCTGTACGTATCCTCAGGCTTCTACCACGATGGATACCAATACCTCTATTACACGAAGGACATATGGCGCTTCACGCTCTTCTGGACGCTGCTCTTCTATATGGGTGCGCATCTCTCCGCTGCCCTGTGTGCCGTCGTAATGCAATGGCGTAACTGGAAGCTCGTCTGGGCTGTGGTCTTAGTATACGGACTCATTGCTGGTTTGGAAGGGTTGCTGGCGGGTAGTGTCACGGGCCTTATGTGAGTTGTTTGCTTGTTTAAGCAGCCTTTTTTTTTTTTTTTTTTTTTTTTTTTTTTTTTTTTTTTTATAACTTCAAGCGTATTTGTTCATTTTATTTTATTCGGTGTTTTTTATATTTTTGTTTTTGTTTTGGCGGCGCAATGTCATGTATAGGGCCGGGGAGATTAACTGAATCGATAAAAACTTTTTCTGACATAAAACTGAGATATTATCAACAGTCTCGGGGCTGTCTATGAAGCCGGCAACTATAAAATGTCCACTTGGATTCCTTTTTCGTGGGCGGCGCTTAATACATTGGTCTTGATTCTCTCGAGCTTTTCGATCCAGGGAGGGCTATAGGCAACTCACGGCGCGTCGTTGACAAGCATTCTTATTCACTTTATCGACGACATACAGCTGAAAACGGAGGGAAACAACCAACCCGACATCCATAAAAGTTTTGAGAGAAAGGGCTGGGTAATATCACTACCGTAGCTACAGTATCAGCGGTAGTTCAGCCTAGAAATAGGAAACAGCGCAATACCAATAATCGGATCCAACGCTATACGCATTCTTCTCTACAGTATACTGGATATCTACCGCAAACCGATGTCATGGGATAAGTGGGATAAGAAATAAAACAGATATTTCACCTAAGTAAAACTTTCCCTCTCATTCCCCCTTATGCCCTCCCCCCTTTTCCAAAAAAAAAGAGATAAAACAATCAAATCGCAACCCCGTTCTATATTACAGGCCTGTTTAACATATATGGCAAAACGATATTCTTGTTTTCCCTTTATCTAATATTTCGCCAGTTTCCCCGTCGTTGCTCTTCCATTAAGCTATCTTGCTGGCTTGGCAAAGGCCCGCGTTTCCTTATTCCATTCGTGAAATCCTCATTTGGGTCGCCGGTTGGGGCTTGGCCTTGAAGACCAGGGATTCCTGAAGACGTGAAGCCTCCGCCACCCTGCGTAGGAAAGTTTTGGTTTTGCTGGAACGTATAGGATTGCTGCTGATGCTGTTGTTGTTGTTGAGAAAAGAACTGGTTTTGTAAAGATGATAGATCCATATGTGGGGCGAGACCACCTCCCTGCATACCAGGCATGGGATATGTCGGCGGACGTAAGTTCGGTGGTAAGGATTCGAGTTGTGGCGGAGGAAACGAGCCGGAAGATATCATCGCCGCCAGACGGCTCGGTTCGACTTGCGATATGGATGAAACCGTACCTGAAGGGGGTGGCGGGGGTGGCTGAACTGCCCCAATTCCTGGTATCAGTCCTGGAAGCCCGACATTCTCTCCACCCCCGGGAACACCCTGGATTCCGAGAAGAACTGGAGCATCGCGCTTCTTCTGGTCAACAAGTCCCTCCGCCTCATCTTGAAGTTCCTGCTCCTCTTCTTCCTTCATCTGTCGACGGCCAAAGCCACGGCTCCAAGTTCCCTGGGCTTCTGCGGCTTCTTCGCCAATGTGGAATCTATCCTTCAGATAGCTGGTTTCGCCGGGTCGGGCGCGGGACCAAAATCGGGTAAAATTATCCTTGGAGCCGGACGCCAGAATGTGGCCGAGGGGATGCCAATCGAGGGTCCATATAGTAGACGAATGGGCATAGGGAATACGATGAGCGGGGAATATAACTTGGGCGGGGGTGTTAGCAGGATCAGCGCTGTCGTATGGCGCGACAGTGGGGACCTGCCCAGCTGGTAGATTCTGCTCATCCAATAAATAATGATGAATTGAACCATCTTCACTTCCCGTAGAGATAAGCGAACTATGAATCGGGTGCCACGTCATGGAAGATATCGGCTTCTCATGTCCTCGTAAAATGCATATGTCTCGCATCATCCGTAGATCGAAGACGCGGGCGCTTTGGTCCCGCGATGATGTCGCCAGTAGGTTGCTGTTCACACGCGAGAATCTAGTGCAAGTGACCGTATTCTTATGGCTGTGGAGGGTAGTCAGACACCGGCCGGTGCGGGGGTCCCAAAACTTGACCTGGTGGTCCTTGGATCCGGAGACCAGGAGGCCCTTGGACGGATGCCAATCGCACGATTTTGCATCCCAGCCGTGGCCCGTCAGCACCAGTTCGCACATGCGGGCGGTGAAGTCGAAGATCTTCAGTGTCGTGTCGTCAGAGGCAGAGACGAATTTCGTATCGCTTGGACACCACGACAAATCCCTGACGGCGTCGTGGTGGGCGTCGTCGACGGTTTCGACGTTGTTGAAGTTGGGCCGCCAGTACTTAATGTCTCCCTTTTGACCGCCGGATATCAGCCAGTCATGGCTGTGGGACCACACAGCGGACGTTACGCCAGCCTGGTATTGATCATAATGAGCCTATTTTTTTTTTCGAACCGGTCAGCGTCATGATGATACACATCCAAGACAAAAAGGGCCGGGTCGGTTAGCTAGGGGATATCTGGATATAACTAACATCCATAACCGTTTCAAAATTGAATGCTGTACCATTCCATAGCATGAACTCGCCAGTGTGGCCTCCTGTCAACAACCGTCGTCCCTCCGGCGTCCATCTGACGACCGTAATAGGCTTCTTCGATTTACCGATTGATTGGTGGAGATGACGAACGGGGATGGTGTCAACAGGTGAATCGATTCGGGCCAAGGGAGGGAGCATCTAAAAGAAATCAGAATATCCTCTGTTAGCATATGCATAAACATAAACCTATATATATATATTATACATATATCTCGTAGAGTCACAGACATCCACAGTGTAGCTGGCGCTTGGTCTTTCCCGTTCCAACCTATGTGATCCTTTGTATCGAGGCTGGCGCACCCGCATCCACTGCACCATTGACGAGCCATAGTCGGTCACCGGTCCTATTATCCATTGCTACCCTTAGCATTTATTATTCTTCCTTTTTTGGAGGGCGAGCGCATTTTGATAATATAATATACTGACTGGGTCTTCGGGGACCTCCCACCCCTCCTTCGTATGACCTCAGCGGGCGTGGGAATGACCCCTCCGCAACATCGTGGTCGTAAGAACTCATGCCAGAAACGGACAAAAAACGGAGGCGCAGGGGGTATCTCAAGTAGGTCGGGCAGTCGAAAAGGTGATCAGGTCGTTAGCTGTAGGGAGCAGATCATGGTCAGAGGTGAGGGTTCTCCGCAAGCAGTTAATTGAAAAAAAAAGTGACCTGGCCGGAAGTACGCAGGAAGAAATAGCCCGCTCTAAGGCCAATTAAATATTTAGATTCGATTCAAATACAGTCATAGCCTAGCGCTCTGCCAGCAGCTTCTCCTACCATGCTGATTGATCTCTCTTGTTCCAAGCTCAGCGAAGTTGAGCATTGATGTTTGATGTTAGTGCAGCCAAGCCCCCAAGGCCCGATCGAGCCAACCACCAACCACAACCACCACAGACCACGACGATGTCCAGACCCAGACCACTCTCGCCTGTCCCGCTTTCCCCTCGTCATGGCGTCCCTCGCTGCCCGGTTCCCGCTCGATGCAGGGAAGGTGGAAAAGGAGGACTGACCAAGTGGCAGCAAGACACCGGCGCCTTTATTTCAATTCCTTCATGTTTGTTAGTTAATGGCAATCCCCCGTTTCTTCTCGTCGTGGCTCCGCCTCTATCACCATTCTCTAACCTCCGAAACGGGCTAAAATCGGCTGCCAGTTCGTTCTCGGGTTTCTTCCGGCTGCCAATTATTCCTATCTTCGTCGTGTACATACACATATATATGCATACATACACAACATCCATTTATATCTACATTTATTCCGGGTCTCCGCTTATCAATTCCCCGTGCTTGTATCTCGAGAGAGCAGCGTGCCATGGCGAGCGTTGCTCAAACCGCGGTTTCTACGAGCCACGATGTCCATCCGCCAGCCTCCGCCTCCGGGATGGCAAAGAACGGGACCCCTGTAGCTCCTCCGCTGGCGGATGGGAATGGAAACGAGTCCGGCAACAGAGCACAGCATACCAATTCCAATCCACGAGCCGCTAAGAGCAAATATCGCCATGTCGCCGCCTTTCACTCCCGGCCCCGCGTATCGTGCCTTTCTCGCGATTCGGAGACCAGCCCCAGCTTTATGGGGTTCCGGAACCTGATGGTTCTAGTGTTGAGTAAGTATATTATTATATTGGATCGTTCCGGTTTGTAATTTCAGCTGCTGATCTGGTGATATCCATTAGTTGTCATGAATCTGCGGTTGATTGTCGAGAATTTTATGAAAGTGTGTTGCCATTCCATTCTCAGCAATTGCATTTGGCCTATAATATTATTACCAATTCTTTGACCTTTTCCTTTTCGTGCTAATAATTGCGAACTGTTCTTTCTAGTATGGTGTCCTCATCTGTATTCGATGCCATGATTACCGAAAACAAGATGTCGTTCTCGGCGCAATACTATTCGCACTTGTCCCCTGCCACCTCTTCGTGGCATATATAATTGAGCGCGCCGCTGCCCATCAGGTCAAGGGAGCCATTGGCCGCATAAAGCGAAAAGAGTCGGAAGAAGAAAATACTCAGGAGCAGCTGGCGTTTCGATCGGCATGGATATATGTCGCTCTTGCACATACACTGAACGCTTGCCTATGTCTCCTAGTCACGAGTTACGCTGTTTACTACTACGTCAATCACCCTGGCATCGGAACACTCTGCGAGGTCCATGTAATCGTCGTCTGGTTGAAGATATGCTCCTATGCATTCACCAACCGAGACCTTCGCCACGCAGCGCTCCACCCATCTTCCACTTCCCCGCTCCCAGAAATCTACCACTCCCTACCATATCCCCGAAACATCACCATCAAGAACTTAACCTATTTCTGGCTGGCGCCAACCCTGGTATACCAACCCGTATACCCGCGTACAGACCGCATCAGATGGTCCTTCGTGGCCAAGCGTGTCATGGAGGTGGTCGGGCTCTCCGTGTTCATCTGGCTCACCTCCGCGCAATACGCAGCCCCTGTCCTCCGCAACTCCCTAGAAAAGATCGCAACTCTCGACCTAACCTCCATCATCGAGCGAGTCATGAAGCTCTCCACGATATCGCTCATAATCTGGCTTGCAGGTTTCTTCGCCCTGTTCCAGTCCTTCCTCAACGCGCTCGCGGAAGTGATGCACTTCGGCGACCGCGAGTTCTACACGGAGTGGTGGAACAGCCCCAGCGTGGGCACCTATTGGCGCACGTGGAATAAGCCCGTGTACCATTTCATGCGGCGACATATCTTCTCGCCGCTGGTGGGCAGGGGATGGAGCCCCTTTGCCGCCAGTGTTGTGGTTTTCACTTTCAGCGGAATCCTTCATGAATTGCTCGTGGGGATTCCGACACACAACATGATAGGTAATTTAACGTCACTCCCAGCATCCCTTAATATGTGTATATAATGTATGCACGATGAAAAAAAAAAAAAAAAAAAAAAAAAAACCAAGCATCAATCTAACATCCAACCCACAGGCGTCGCCTTCGCCGGCATGATCCTCCAACTTCCCCTGATCGCAGTAACGTTTCCATTGGAGAAAATGAACGGCCGCACCGGCAAAATCATCGGAAACTGTGTGTTTTGGGTCAGCTTCTGCCTAGTGGGACAACCACTGGGAGCATTATTGTATTTTTTCGCGTGGCAGGCTAAATACGGCAGCGTGAGCAAGACTGGTGTTGTAGGATAGGAAAAATTTCCCCATGCTCCTCTACTTTAAAAAAGGTGGTTTCTTTTTTTGGTTTTTTTTTTTTTTTTTTTTTTTTTTTTGGGGGGGGGGGGGGGGGGGGTTCAGTTTTGTTTTCGGTGGAAACAACATAAATCAGGGCCCCCCCCTTTTTTTTTATCTTCCGCCGTTTGCTTTTTGTTGCCAAAGTAAGATACGGGGATACGGAGTACATTTTTAACGTTGTTGGTAAAAAATGGCCTTCTGCTTCTTTTCTTTTCCCGCGTCGCGCTTTCTTTCTTTCTGCTTTGCGTACAAGAAGTCCTTGTCCTTGCCCTTGCCCTCTGTATATAACTGGGATTGCTACCCATCGTCATAGCTATCTACACACTGGCACCTTTGAATCCTTCAAAGACTGGGCTTGTGTGTATGTGCGTGTGTGTGGAAAATGCACCAGCATCCACTGCGTACGCCTACCTCGAGATTTTAACATTCGCCCTTCTTGCAATAGGGGCGGGAGGAGGAGGAGGAGGAGACCCATTGCATCTGCTTTTTTTTTTTTTTTTTTTTTTTTTTTTTTTTTGATTCCACTCTTAATTCTGGAAAAGCAGGCCAGTCAGGGTTGTTGAAAACCGGAGCAACTTTGCATACCTACTATGGAGCAAACTGTAGCTACATGGTTTAACTACTGCGTACATAGCTAGCTAGCTAGTAGTACTCGCGCTAATCGAACCAAGCAATGGCCCACGGGGGAAAAAAAAAAGGTCAGGAGGGTAGGGCTGTTATTTTTGGGGGGGATCCCCCGCTTTTTGTCGCTCACGAGCATTCGTCGTCCAAATAAATCCATTCTCCGAGCTAGAGCTAGATTGTTTTGTCTAAAGTCAGTAAAAATACATTGAAATTCCGATACTACTACAGTACATTTATTTTAAACTAAATACTAACTCTACCGTTTTCGAAATGAGGGGGGGAAAAACCCCTGTCGTGAAAACCAGATGGGAAACATGGATGAGAGAACGAAACAGATCGATGCTGATGACTTCAGGAAAGGTATTTTTGTGACGACAGAGGAAACGTTCTTGAGGCAAGGGGAAGTTAAGTGGATAGCGCTAACACTACGGATTTTTTTTTGGCAACTAAGGCCTCGAGACACTTGACAATGAAATGGGCAGGGATCCATGGATTTGTGCGTTTGCACCGATTACTTTACTCTCCGCTGGCGGATTCCTCGCCGTCAGCTATTTGAAAAATCGCGAAAGCACCAGCGATCTCGACTATTTCCTAGAGCCCCAATGGGCAGATGACGAGGATATCAAGAAGCCGCTGCGTAACGCCGTGTCGAGTACCGGGAAGGCCCTGGATTTTGTCGACGGCTGGGCCAATGATGATATGGCCTTTTTCATCTCTTATAGATCTCGGCAACTCTTGTTCGAAGAGGCAAAGAAACAGAACATTGTTCTCTGGGAAGGTCTGAATCTTCGCATCCTTGCTGTTCCGTTGGAATGGGCGCTAGAAAGGAAGCTGCGGCGGATTCATAATGGTATGCAGGATCACAAACGAGATTCGGATACTAGCGATGCTCTGGCACTGCTGAAGACTCTGAGAGTGCGCAATGGCGGTCCGCTCGTGAGGGAGTACATTCGGACGCTGAATATGTGCTCCACAGAAATGCTACCCGATAGTGCAACCATGGATGAAATTGCCGCTGCGTATCGAAGGATGTATAATGAGGAGGCATTTACTTAGGCACACCAAATGTATCTAAATTGTGTAGAAGTACCCCGTGCCGGCTAAAATATTTCTCTTGAGGAATCGAGCATTCTTTGCACCTTTTTCAAGCACGAGTCTGCCTTCCGTATCTATCGCATCGCCCGGCAAGTTTGCAACCCACTGCGCATCAATCGCAGGCACGCAGGCAGCCCAGGCAGGCGCAGTTTCCGGTGGGAACGGCGGAAGAACCTCATCCATTGTCGCACGGTATATATGCTTCCTCCTATCACGCCGCATCCCAAGACCCATCCTCCAGTTAAATGCACACGCGAGCTCCTCAACAATACTAGCAAGAATGGCGTACCGGACGGGGTCCATATCACACGGGTCCGGAATACGGTGAACAGCCCAAGCTTTCCGCGTTTGGTAGAAGAAATACTCCACCTCCGAACCAATCACCACACACTCGCGAGCGGTTATCGCCTCGTAAATCCGGTAGATGGAGCGGAGGGGGGTGTCTCTTGCTCGCCAGAGAGGTATGGATCGCATGCTTGGATAGTTTACCGAACCTAGTCGAGAGTCAAGGAGCTCGACGTTACCCAGCATTGTTCGAAAGGGAATGGGGTCTGGGAGGGGGAAGTACCACGTTGGTATTGGGAGGAGGAGGCGGAGTAGTTCGAGGAAAGGATGTTTGTAATTGTGCCTCAGACGGGTGAGAGTCCCTCGCAATTGGAGCGGTGTCTCGAGGGGGTAGATATACAGGGAGAGGAAGCGCAGAAGCCGCAGCCGCCAAGTCAATCGGTGTCGCGGGACCATCTTGTGAACAAGATGCAGGGAGAGCCGAGGAGTTGAGAGATAGGTCTCCGCAGGTTTTCCCCCGCAGTGCTGCCGTTGAACGGAGCAATGTCGCTCAAATATTTTTGCGTCTCATCCCTGTGGAAGCGAGCGGACGATGGAAGATATCCGGGGGATTACCTAAGCCAGCTAGCCCCGGGACAATTCTGATGAAAAAAACAAATTCCATCATTCCTGCGCAGATGCAAGTAAAGAGAAACATTCGGACAGTTTCTTCCCTTGCCAGTAATGTTCTCTCCTTTAGCAGGACACTTAGTGAAATACAAAGAGTGTTTTACCGTTTCCTCCGATCAGCCCCTTGACTGTCTGACGAACAAAAAGGCAGACAGACTCCTTGAACTCTTTTTTCAACCTAAATCTAGTCAGCCGAGGTTTCCTTAAAACATAGGCTGGGCGGGTCATGGCACAAATTGTGCTCTCCTAGCTGCCTCGCGGGTGTAGACAATCGATCAAAATAGAAGCGTGTGAATGCAATAAGTCTTGCAAGATTTCAACAGAAATTCGATCCCAGGAATATTTTTCTCTTACACGCTCCCTTCCCGCTTTGTATCATATCTCGAACCCAAATCAAGGAGTCCCCGCTAGAAACAAGCGAGATGATGATCCTGCTGTATGCTTCGTATCTGTCAGTAGAAATGCCCACAGAGAGCTAGTGACCCAGCATACGTATCCGCTCTTGATTCGACAAATGGTCCATGATCACAAATAGACGCACGCCTCACCTCCTGTAACGCGCGGCGCAACTGGTCGCGCCGAAGAAAGAAGTGAATCTGATCTGTGAGGTAACTAAGTAGTTAAGTTAGTTAAAGCTCCTGATTTATAATCGAATCAACCCGTCCTCTTAGTTAACTGTTGTAGAGCCCCTGTAGAGCCCCGCGACCAGACAAGAAGCTTGGGGACTGTTTCACAAAACTGGTCAGCGGGAAGATGATGCGCCGGTTTCCCAGATTGTTCCAATACGAGCGGATGTGGGAGGATGTTGCGCCGGTGCCGAGATGGTAGGGTCTTAGCTGACAAGCAGCCGTTTCCTGGCAAAAATTGGTCCATGACGACGAAAGGTTACCTGGACAATGATTTTCCTTTGCATTGGCCAGATACACTTTTCCTCAGTTGTCTCCAGAATCAAACGACCCTCGAACAATATCGCGAAGTGGCGCTCGGATGGAGGATCGAATGTCAGTGGAGAGATCCTGCGTCGTTACCAAGGTAGCCTAGCCGGTGGCGGCACTGACAGAGGGATTTAGGCTTCGATGGCTTCATTGAAATGCTGAAGTCGCTCCGAGGATCTCCCATTCTGTTTGAAGCATTAGAATGAGGGCTTTGCTCCTAGAAAAGCGGCCCCTCGTCTCCTCAAACTTCTCGCGCAGCATCAATAGTATCAAATAATAATAATAATATATTGCACTTCTCCGTCTTGCTTGCTTCGATTCTCCCCTAACAACCCCCATTCTCAAGTCAATTGCAATCATGGTTGCGATCACTCTTCCAGACAACTACGGGTATGCTATTCTTGCCGGCGAGAATTTCCCTTCAATTCATTCCTCCGCCTGGAAAAAGTTGGAAATAAAAGGAAAGAAAGAAAGAAAGAAAGAAAAAATAAAGCTAACACACCTCAAACAGCTATATCCTCGGCCTCACGGTAGGAGCCATCCCTCTCCTCAACTTCATCCATATATACATGGTCGGAAAACACCGCCAGAAGGCTGGTATCAAGTATCCCAACGCCTACGCAACTCCTGAGGAATGCAAGCAGAATGTAAGTTATATATCGCAGCCAACATCTCTCAATCACTCATTCGTCAGTGGCTACCCCAAGTATGGTAGAGACACAAATGAGGAATTGGCCAATCCCTATCACGCAGAAAAAGAGAGAGAGAGAGAGAGAGAGAGAATAGAAGAAAGGAAAGATTTCTTCAAACTTCCAAATTCTAGCTAACCTCCCCTCGCTCCGCAGCCCGCCGCCTACAGATTCAACTGCGCCCAGCGCGCCCACGGTAACTTCCTCGAAAACCTGTCGCTCACGACCCTCTCCATCCTCGTCTCCGGGATCAAATACCCCAACGCCACCATCGCCCTGGCCAGCTCCTGGATCATCATGCGAACCCTGTACATGTACGGCTACGTGTATTCCGACAAGCCAGATGGGAGGGGCCGATATAAGGGCGGGATGCACACACTTGCGCAGCTTGCGCTCTGGGGACTCAGTGCGTTTGGTGTTGCGGTCCCGATGATGATGGCGGGTAAATTTTGGGCGTCGTAGGTGCGGGTTTATTCCCTGCTGCTGCTGCTGCTGCTTCTGCTTCTTCTTCTTCTTCTTCTTCTTCTTCTTCTTTTTCTTCTTGTTCCTTAATTTTTTAACATTTGCTTATTTTGATATCAGAAACGGAAAAGTTGTCTTGTAACGGGGTAAATCGATGAAGGGTTTTTTTGTCTGCGTGCATGCATGTATGTATCTACTGTATATCCTAGTATATAACTAACTAGTTATATAACATTGGCTGGTCGAATTGAGAATATGAACTCCCCGTCCTTATTTCATGTTTTCTATGTTTTCTTCTGTAACTCCACCTTCCTTTTTTTCCCCATCAAATATTGCGCTCATTGGGAATTCAGGCGAGATTTTTATTCATTAATATATATACCTTTCTAGTATTAGCTGGTTAACTTCCCATTTATTATCGTTCTTTACGACAGACGAACGGGGGCGACGAGGGAGAGGAAGAAACGACAATGCAAAGTCTATACAGATAGGATTTTGAGAATCCATCCCTTACCATTCAGGGGTGAAATTAAGCTTCCACGCTTAACAATCCTGTGCATTAGAAACTCTCCGAGTTTTATGCCACAGTGAGTCTCCTCTAGTATGGTCTTGGAACCTGGGTTCTGTTGTCAAAAGAGAAACCGTGAAATAGAAACCACGCCCCCGATACATAATAGTATTTACTATACATACCCACATTGTGATTTTAATTTAATTTTAGTAATTTTATTTAAAAGGCGATTTATCTTTATTCGTACCTAGTAACAGACGACGTTTATACTGATTGAACAAATGGTGAACATATCTATTCAATTGGCCAATCGGAGTCTGGAGAAGAAACCCATGTTGAACTATTCCATCTGACATTCTTCAATCCCCACCATCCATTCTATCTCTCCGCATTGCAGGTCCAAGTTCCCTACAAGAAAGCAGCCAAATAACCAGCCTAAATATAGGAAAAAAGAAGAAACGGGAAAATAGGTTGACCACTTCAGCAGGCGGGCATCGTGCTTCCCCCGCATAACAACCCCTCCGCCAAACGAGATGTCTTCAAAATCCCACATCCCATACTCCGTGCGGGCAAGTCGCCACGGGAACCCGCTAGCCAAACGACTGTTCCAAATAGCGGAAGAAAAGAAATCAAATGTCGTGCTCTCCGCTGATGTGACAACTACGAAAGAATTGCTGGATCTCGCTGATCGTAGGTTCAGAGTTTTGCCAACCCCCGCTCCAGTCGTTACTCGTGGAGGGGTATCGCAAAATTCAACTTCCCTTCCTTTTTTCTATACCAAACAACACCTCCCAAAGGATTTTTTTTGTAAATGATTGCAAAAACGGAAAATAAAAACAGGGAACGAACCAAAAAAAAAAAAAAAAAAAAAAAAAAAAACTAACAACCAAAAATACGAAATACAGGTCTGGGCCCCTACATCACCGTCCTAAAAACCCACATCGACATCCTCACCGACCTCACCCCCTCCACCCTCTCCAGCCTCAAAACCCTCGCCACCAAACACCGCTTCCTCCTCTTCGAGGACCGCAAATTCGTCGACATCGGCAGCACCGTCCAGAAACAATACCACGGCGGCTCCCTGCGCATCTCGGAATGGGCCCACATCGTCAACTGCGCCATGCTCGCCGGACCTGGCATCGTCGACGCGCTCGCGCAGACCGCCTCGTCCCCCGCGTTCCAGACCGCGTATGGCGCTGAGGGCCGCGCGCTGCTAATCCTGGCCGAGATGACCTCCCAGGGCTCGATGGCTACGGGCGCATATACGGAGCTGTCGGTGCGGGCGGCGAGGAAGCATCGGGGTTTCGTGCTGGGGTTTGTGGCGACGAGGGCGCTGGGTGAGGTGTTGCCGGCGGCTGGCTCTGGTTGTGAAAAAGAAGGGGAGGAGGAGGAAGACTTTGTGGTCTTTACGACGGGGGTGAATTTGTCGTCGAGCGGGGATGCGCTGGGGCAACAGTATCAGACTCCCGCGTCGGCGGTGGGGAGGGGGGCGGACTTTATCATCTCGGGCCGGGGGATATATGCCGCGTCGGATCCGGTGGAGGCGGTTCTGAGGTACCGCGAGGAGGGCTGGAGGGCGTATCTCGAGAGAGTTAAGGGGTACCAATCGTGAAAAAGATGAAAGGAAAAAAAAGGAGAAAGCAAGGGATGGGGTTTGTATAGATTTCCGTTTATGTGAATCTCCCGACGTATTTTTTTTTTTATCAAAGCGATGCAACATGGCTGGCATACCCAAGCATGGCCTGAAAACTAGCTACCAGTGTGGGATCAGCCCTTCTTCAATTCTGAATGCTTCAGCTATGGGCGAGCAAGATGTCTCTGGGTTGGAGAACGTAGCACAATGGGGAAACCACACTGATTTGTCGAGCTGCTGGCGTTGGAGCTTTCTAGCAATTAAAGTGCACAACAGCTCCGTAGTTACACGTACAGATCTACAATAAACATTCCCAGTCCATAGACATTCAAAAGCTGCAAACTATTCTATCGCAAACTATTCTATCCTAGTCTGTTTGCTATCACCAGATATCACTGCTCACGTGTAATTTGCATATATACTGATATTTCCCAGCAAGCAGCCACGAAATTCGAGGGGCAGCCAGTAAGCTAAATAACGAATTAGCGAACAGCCAGTCTGCTTGGAAAAATATGGGGAATTACGGGTGGCATTCCTGGAAGATGTCAGAGGATTCAATGGAAATTGTCTTGCTTCCTACTTGTGACCAATGTCGCTTGTTTTATTTACCATCGTGCTTCGTCTGGTGTAGGATCAGCATTCCATTATCCGGAGCTAGAAATCCCTTCATTTGCAAGTTAAATACCCCTCGCTAGTCAAAGATTCTCTGAACCTCGGGCCATTTCAGAAAATGGAATATAGCCCCATCTTGTAAGAGGGGTTGATTTGTCGTTATTGAATAGCCATTTTTGATCATATGCAGCGTATACGATAGTATTTATGGATATCCCGAGGCCCCTGGATTCAACTGTCGGCAGCCCACGTAGTTTTTAACATCTGATGAATGTAAAAAGAAAAGGGGTGGGAAGGATGAATATGCGGCTTGCTTTTTATGGGTTGCTACACCTGCAAGAAGTCTCTGGTACACCGCAATCCCACAAAGGCCATCCACCTTTCTTTTCATGTTCTTTAATGATACCTCCATTATCAATCCGCAGTGTTCGGAACTCAGTTTTTGTGGAACGTGATGTCCACCCCTTGCGAGCTCGAGGGGACATGAATGTGTCTCGATGGAATAAAAAGTCGATTGGATGGTAACCTCATAACATCCTTTGAAAAACGAAAAACGAGACGAGATGAAGTAAATAAAAACAATGCCTGAAGCATCGAAAACAGCTATCTCATAGTGCTAGCCTTCTTTGTGGTATCCGGTACCTTGCTGCTCAATCTGCAAGGCTTTTATCTGAATATCAGGTAGTAGCTAATACTTAACGGATCGGTTGTTGGTGGCTCTTGTATGCTCTGCACGATCCTCATTCCAACTAATACTAAATAAAATATGCGCCGTTTACCAATCAGAAGCGGAAAGATCTTGTCGCATTCCAGGAAGGGCAGTCAGTCTTTAGCAAAGCGAATTTTAACGATGCAGAACTGTGGAACATACTCCGTTGAGCGCGAGAACAGACAGCCACTTCAGCCACCGTGCCGAAGACTAGCCCGAACCCCGCGATCACGCTGCTCGATGTGGGGAAGAATGCTGGTGATTGGGTGCTCTCTTGGACTGGGAGAAACGGAGCAGTTGAGGTTTTCTACACTCGAGTCATGTCTGTGTGGTGCTGCTGGCTTCATTGATTTTTAGTTTTGATGTGGATATTCCACAGAACAATTGTGATAATCGCCAACTGTGGACAACACAGCTTCAAGCATTTTTCTTTTTCTTTTTCTTTTTTGGCAGCCCAGCCCAGTCAACTCCGGGCATCGAATATTGAAGGCGGTGGACAGTGGTAGAGAGAGTGTGATGTTTGCCGATAATCGGCGTAGCATGCCGAATTGAAGCTTTGGGCTCCTAGATTTTGCGTCGAACGTTCGGGTCCCAAGAAACGCTACCACAATCATATGCAGCTTCTCCGTCGACATTTCAACAAATTTGCCGGTAGCGGGGACAAGAGGCTGGTCACCGCTCTCTGGATGCCCAGAACTTCGTCTTGACTGGCGGTGTGGCTGGTTTAAGTCCATCCAACATCCAAGCCAACAAACCCAGAGACATACTAACTAGTACTCGTACTAGTTCTAGCTTGAACTCTCCTCTGTTGCAGAAGAATTTTGGCTGACCCCGTGCGCCGACTTTGCGCCAGCCGGAAATTGTCGTCCCTGCATCGCCTGGTGTAACTTTTCGGGTAGGACCTGGCCTTAGGAACTGGCTTTGTTGGGCAACAATTGGTGCCCCATGTTGAAAAAGGCCGTGGGTCGCAGGGAAGTTTCTATTTTTGATCCCCCTGGCCCTGAAACCGCAACACGAAGCAGAACAGCATGGGTTATCCAATCGGTGCTTGCTTCATTGTTCATGACTGTTTGAAACTGCGCAAGAGAGAGATCGATGTCAACGACGAGAATGGCCACTCCCGCTTCTCGAACAATGCTTAGCGCCGCAACTGGCAAGTTCTGCGTTTTGCAACAAGGGCGCCAGGTGGGGTCGAAGCGGATCGCCGTGATGCAACTTAAAACGGCCCACAGCCAGGCCCCTTGACCAAGCAGAGCGTTGAGAGCAAGCCATGGCCCCGGCGGCAGGATGTTTGGTGCCTCAACCAGGCACATTCTCGCCAGTCATGTGGAGGAATATCGGCAGGCGACTCGTCGATGCCGTCACTGGCGCATAACGTGGCCCCGTCGTTAGAACTGCAGACCCTCGCGGTAACTCGCCACAAAATGCTGTCGAATCAACTGGGTACGGACCGCTGTTGCTGAAGCACAAGGGCGGGGCTACAAACGGATACCCAAGCGTGAATTTTGGATGTCTTCACTGTTTTAGTTGACCTTTTTTGGTCTCTTTGTGGGACTAAGTTCTGGATGTGGTTTGGCATGTAGAACTAGCCATTGTTGGCGGGCTCTTTATATATGTGCTTGGATTGCCCGGATGTTTCTTTCATGGCTGTTGTTTGATATCACCAGACTCAGCCTGCTTGTTTGTCTTTCGCAGGTGTCTGCCGCCCTGCTGCAAGAAGCCTTTCTTTTTGTGATCATACTCAGAATGTTGATCATTCTGCTACAATAGTGAACTTTCTTTTCTTGTTTTTTTGCATATGCTAGCTAGAGCTTCCGAGCTGTATTTTTCCCTTTTCTCCCCTTCAGTTATCCGCTTTAATACACCACAACACCGCAGAAACCCATGTGAACTGCATATGAAAGTTTGGACTTCTGCACATATAAGTTACACAGTTACCCTGAGCCTCCTGCTTCTTATGCACTCAGTTATATTCTACTTCAACACACGCTCTCTATTTTCCTTCTGCTGCCCCTTGTCCACATAGCTGGCATCCCCCAAGAAAGAGAATCGATATTTTTAACATCGCTCCTGCATAAACGGCGCGGGGCAACGGTGCCTAGGCAGCTCGGTACCTCATCCTGGCTAATTATCAGGGTTGAAACCTTATCAACCTGAAACTGCGCATGCGCGGCCCGTTGGTACGTTTTGATGGACTACCTTGCAACATGTGACGGTCTACGGATCAAATGCCTCCAGGCAACGTTCCACTAACCTTTGCTGCTCAGCTCATTGGGCTCTATCTAAAACGAATATCATATCGGATACAGCCCTGGCAAGGCTCTGACTAAGCATGGGTACCTTCACATGCGAGCCCAGTGACGATGCTCCCATCCACAGTATGCGCGAGGACAGCATCACCTCACCCTTTTTATATATCCCTTCCTGTCCACAACACGATGGCAAGCTCCATCCCTTTGTCGATGTCTTCGTGCCCCCGCAATATACTGGCGTTCCAGACGCAACACAGGCGACTTTTAGGATTAGTTCCGATGACAAAGGCTACTACCCAGCTCTCGAGGCTACCGACGTAACCATGCACCAGAGTCGTTCTCCAGCAATATCAGAACTAGGGGCTTTGACGCCAGGAACCACATTTTCCGCAACGAGCGATGAAACGGGCCTTGGCGAGTCGCAGTGTTTGATCAAGTCGTCCACAGACTCGTCAGCCGGATCGAACACGTCCTACCTTTCCAGAAAGCGTATCCACAGAGAATCGAAAGAGAGTTCCAGTAAATCGAGGACATCTTCTTGCTCCACAAGTAGACGCTACTCATCATCGCAGGACATAACGTCAAGGTCATCCTCCAGGAGCCGTCGCAAGTCTCCAAAGCACCACATCCATAAGGCTGGAACTTATGCCCAAATCCACTCTCCAACGTTACGAAAGGGGGATTCTGCTCTCTTCCACCAAAAAGAGTATCTTGTATCCCTCCACAGGAATAGTTGTCGCATTTTTGAAACTGGTACGAGCAGGCCAGACCAAGAAACCGGCGGAGGGTGCCACGATTCGCAACATGCACCGCAAATGCCAAACACACTTGAGAGATCATATACCCCTCCCACCAGAACCAGCACGTTCGCCAATAGAATCATGTCTCTCGAAAGCAACAAACCAAGTTTCACCGCATCTCCATCTCTAGCTCCTCTTCTAACTTCAACAACCGCGCTATCCTCACCCAACCCGCCTTCCATCTCAGACGGACATAATACCCCTGAAACCCAACGACATCGGCCTTGGGACCCAGTGGTAATCCGCCGCAACTCCTCCACTGCCAGTGATGACGACCTGCAGCAGGACGAGTCCAGGGTGTACAGGCCCATCCCCGCGACCGTCATAGACTGGACATCCCCATCAACCCGCAGACGCGAATACGCAGAAATCGACCGCTCGACCCGCGGCGTGAGGGGCATGTGGCGGAAAATCGCTCCCAGCTGGTGCCAGCCGGGCGGAAACAGGATGATGACCTTCTTCGAAGAGGGGAAAGGGGGCAAGGGCATGTATGAGGGTAGCGTCCGGCGGTTTCGAATGGATGTCCCTTCCCGGGATAGTAATAATAATGACGATGACGGTGGCGATGGCGGCGATGAGACAAACGACGGTCATATCAATGGAGGCCCTGGTGGTAACGGCGATGATGAGAAAGGTCGGTCTCGAAGGTCTAGTTTTAAAGTGAAATGGAAGTGGATTGAGAGCAGCATATCTCCTCCTGAGAGCGTTCGTGGTGGTGGCGGTGGTGGTGGTGGTGGTGGTAAGGACGTGAAGGAGAGAGGGAGCATTATTCATGGGAAATGGCGTTGTTTGAGCATCATACGGAAAGCGGCCTGATGAATCATAGACAACTTTATATGTTTGCATATTCTTTTGTTTTTTTTTCGTCCTCTTTTAATTTTCCTCAGAAATACCCAGTCTGCTATGTTATATAGAGTGCAATGCTGGCGTTTAGTCATGTCACATCTGACTGTTGATGGTTTTTCATATGATCTGCTAGAGCATGGTACGACCCATGAAGTCTCATCTATCCAACTATGTACAGTACATAGTTAACTGCACCATGGAATGATTTCTTATTTCGAAATCCACATCCCAGCCTCTCATAGCAATCTTTCGCAGTTTATACTACATACGCAGTTGTGTTCTCAATACCAACTCTCACAGGGAACAGTAAGGTACAGCACTAATGAAGCTCTTCGGGCGGAGTCCATACTTAATCCATGAGGTACTGTACGAAAATGCAAATACTTACATACTCAGTAGCCAATTGTGAACACTCCTGTTGTGCAAACGCTTCTGGGCTCGCGCGTGAAAAAGTAACATCTGATTGCTATTCATCACACTACTGGAGCTGCTGAAGCAAAGATGTAGCTTATCTTTGTGCTCCCCAGCAACGAGGGCACAAGGATATTTCGGGAGATCAAAATACTGCTGCGATAGGTCCAATTGCAAAAGTTGAAGTTTGATGATGCAGGTTATGGAAAGAAAGTGCTGCTCAAAATGGATATTTCAACACCTCCGTTCAAAACTCACAGCACCTCCATTCCCCCCCCCCGCCTAGAGTTCTCCTCTCATTGAGTGACCGAAGAAATCGTTCTCTCTCCCGAGCTGCGTGGAAAATGCCCTCTATATTCCAACCAATGGTTCATGGCTTGAGGCGTATTTTTGTTCCTTCACTCTGACATTGAGCCGAAATCTATAATTCCAGGATTTTGCTTCCCACGCATCATGATGCTGTTGGATTAAGATCAATATGTATGGGTCCCGAGTATGCGCATGTCTAATGACATTCTCAGTTCCCAGTACAACGATTCCTGATGAAAGGGATTGTTGCTTCCTGTAGCCGCTGTGACAAGTCCCAGGGATATTTGACAAATCAGAGACCCATTACCCTGCTGTTCTTGATAGCAGCCAAGATACTGAGCAATGTTGGTTATGGAGGAGCAAGGGTGTGACCGTAATATAGAAGGATCAGTTGCTTAATGCACAAATCCAATGATGTGTTGTTGAAGGTGGTGAGGGTGATGGGCCAGTTGGCTCTGGCATTCAAATTCTAGTATTCGTCAACACTCTGTCGGTAGATAAGTTTTGTGTGATGAAAACAAGATCGCGATTTTGTTCCACAAAGTATTCGCTATGGTCGCATATCTCCACAGTAAAATATTTGTAAATCCACAAGACGGATTAGCTGGACAGTGATGTGATACTATCATAATGAGTAAGGCTGCTCAGCTGGCTGTGACATACTGGATTTGTTTGTTCCCCCGCGAATGACGCACAGCAATGCGGAATAGATAGCAGTGCTTTAACTGTCTTGGACAGTGTTGACTGAAGCGCAGAAATGGCCGCAAGCCAGAGCTGTATACATAGAACTGTTGGTAGTGCTGTGTAACGGGATCTACCCGACGAGAAGAGCTCTCGTTACAGGTTGAATCGGTGGAGAAGGGGCTTTGGCGCTAGTCCAGGGGCTTGATCTCAAAAATAAAGGCCGGAATTATTGAGCTCCGGTATTGAGATTTCCAAGCGGGCTCGGGCCCAGCCAAAACCCAGCCAGAACCCAGCCAGAACCCAGCCCCAGCAGGAATAATAAATAGGGGATGGAGTGGATCTTGACAACCTTCGTGGTACCCACAAGAGAACAGAGCGTTCTCGACTTCCCTCGAACAAATTGGTTTTGTCTGCAAAGAGAGAGGAGTACAAATCGAGAGAAGCCCCAGAGAGCTCCTTGAACTCCTCATGAGAGTTGGCGCGCTGCTAATATTCTGCGATCGACATACGGGAGAAGGAAAGTCCATCTTCCATTCTTTATAGTTGCGTACTTTGTTCTTTTCAAGTGTACTCGTCACTTGATTGTTGTTCCCAGAGGATGGATCTTATTACGGAGCACAGAGTGAAGAAGGAAGTAGAAAGCTTTATCGCGTCCATTGACCAGTCTGCCATTTGTGATCTGGCATCCTCCTTCCATCCGGCGAAGAAGCAATGCCGTATCTTCAGCGATGTGAAGAAAGGCGGCTTCAATGTTTGTTTTCCTGTTGAGTTTGCCCAGGATACAGTTGACGACGGCAAACCCGAGCGATGGATGGTGCGCATTCCTGTCCTGCCGCGCTTGGCTTTCGCAGAGGAAAAGATTCGAGGTGAAATTGCAACAATGAAGTTAGTGGATTTTCTGTTCATTGATGTGTTGTGTATCTTTAACTACGTGTCTGTTCGTTAACATGAGTTAAAATTCCATTTAGGTTCATTGCCGAGAAGACGACAATACCTATCCCGAAGCTGCACGGATATTCAGTAAATTCAAACAATCAGCTTGGTCTCCCATTTCTGTTGCTCGAGTTTATTGAGGGCAAACCTCTATTTACTGTGAAGTTCCGCGAGCTCCCGCGAGCACAGAGATGTGAGCTTTTTTCGAAATTGGGTGACATTTATATCCAGCTGTTCCAGCATAAGTTTGACCGAATCGGTGCTCTTACTCTGGATTCAAAGGATGAAAATTGGGTTTTTGCTCATAATCGACCACTTTCAGTATTGATGAATGACCAGGCCCTTGCCGGAATTGACCCTCCCTTTGTAGGGCCTAATCACACGTTCCAGTCAACCATCGACTATGTTTACACCATTCACCAGGCTTTACTCAATGACTTCCACCAGGGCAGGGACAGCATTATGGGCGAGGCGGATGCTCGAGGCTATCTCTACAGCTTGCACATGTCCCGCCGGTTTCTGATGGAGTGGGTGCAGCCTGAGCATAATCATGGGCCATTTATACTGAATCATGGTGATCTGCGGTCTGCTAATATCCTTGTTGACGATGACCTGAATATCCTGTCTGTTTTGGATTGGGAGTGGAGTCACACCATCCCCGTTCAAATGTTTGTGCCTCCATCCTGGCTCGATGGACTTGAACTGGTTGGAACTGCAAAGATGCCTGGGCGACTCATATATGAAAGCGAGCTCTTCAACTTCCGCATGGAAACACGAGAGCGGGAAATAAAATATCATCCCGGATGCCGAATTTTTGATAACCTTCCACTTGAAAAGATATGGGCTAAATCACTTAAATCTCCTGCCGTTTTCATTGCGCTCGGATTGTTACAGCCACTTTATTTTGGCAATATATACTGGTCCGTGATCGAATACGACTATTATGGGAAAGAAAGGGATAATGACAAAAAAAGATTGGAAGAGTTCTACAGCCTGGAGGAAAATGAAAAGGAGCGAGAAGCCATACAGCGGAAACTTCAAGAACTTGATCTTTTCGAAAAAGAATGTGATAAGCTCGGAATCCAAAGAGAACAAAAAACCACCCAGCAAACGAACCCCCCTCTAGCTGAGCCTCCTGTGACTACCAACGTTGATTCTTACGCTCGCTCATCATTGAACCGTCTGAGAACTAGCATCGAAAATCTTGTTCTAGCGACTTCCCTTCAGGGGCAAACAATTAGCCGTTTGCGCTGGGTATTTATCGGGGGTACGCTTACTGCAGCTTGCTATCTCTTCACAAGGCGTAAGCGAAATTAATTGTGCTCCCCAACAAACTGGCGTATTTCGAGGCGTTTACGATGGCGAGAGGAGACGAATGGATGCCCTAATAATAGCAATTCTCTGCACGGTGCTTTGGAGTTCTTGCTGGTACTGGACTATCTCTTGGTCGATTGAGGCAGTCGTTCCTTTCAAACGGTTTTCACGAGCTTGGCGAGCGCTCGTCGAAAGATTTTGCAATTCTTCACGCCTGCTTTGGAGATCAACTATGAAGCTTCCCAATTGTTCTTGTTGTTTTTGGAGTCGTTCGAGTTCTGTTTTCTTTGCTTCTAGTTCAGCCACTATATCTTGGTTTAGGGTTTGCTTTGTTGACATATTTAGAGACTGAACAGCAAGGGTGATTGGCGGACGGTATTAGATTGGTTACAGACTTGGATCATAAAGGGAGATGATTGTAATTTCGAGTTGAATTGAATCGGCGTTTATAGGAAACTAGATCTGGTGGAATGGCCAGCATTTTTGATCCCAAACACGGAGCAATCCGAATCAATCCTCTTCATCTACCCCGCTCTCAAATCAAATTACGAAATTTAGGCAACAGTTACGTTAGGATAGTGGTTATTGATTGGATCCATGAAGGAATATGCAGCAGCACAAGTGCCAATGCACATGGTCGCGCGATTGGGCTCTCAGGCCACCACTCCGCGTCGCATCTCGCCATTGTTGGTTTTTACCAGGAACACCTTGGCCTGTCTGACTGGGTTCTTCCTGGCTTCATGACGCCGCCGCCGACCGGGTTCTAGCTGAAACTAAGGCGGAAAAGTTAGATGGTATTTCTTTGATGCTTCCTCATTTTTTGCCGTCCCCTGTTTCTTATGCATCATGTATGGTGTTAACACGCCCAGTACGTACGCCCGCATGAAGGAGCCCAGACAATCACTGTTGCTGTAGATTGCGGCAGCATTCAAGCTTATTCGACACAGAACGGCAGAAAAATCACCGATATTGTCTTCTGACAACTAACATACTAGCCATCAGCACGATTTTCTATTGTCAGATGAATTGGATGGTGTGGCTTCCAGGAGAAAACTAATAAAGAGGGAGGTTTCTTAACATGGTTGCATTTGTTTTCTTTGATCCTTCTATTTCATTGTTCATATCCACAGGATGGTGGAGATGCTAACAGCGCCCCCAATGCCACAGTTGTGACGTTCGCCTGCAGACTGCAAGGAAAATGCACGTATCGTCCCAGCAACCTGCACTACACGGAAACCATTCCCAGCTCTCACCTTAGCACCGGGGGCTTTATATACATCCCCAGCAAGGACATATATATGTCTAAAAGGCAGCCATTTGATATTCTCCCCAGCCTTGCTGGGTCAGCTAAGGAGATGGCTGTGAGAGGAAGGCAACCGCCAATTCTGTTACAAGTTACAACCAAACAGGGGGTCTTGTTTACGTTTCCCCAAATTTTGCTGGTACATGTAGAGTACATATACTGTGCAGGCGACGTCCTCAGACTTAAAGAGGATAATTTTGTTTTGTTTTATCCGCCTTTGGCCTGTTCTGTCAACCGATTACCCCGTCTTGCTGTAGCTGATGGTGGGTGGTGGAAGAAGTCGAGTCACAATCGATCCTGGAATGGCCAAGGAACGCCAATATGCGGGCGAGGACACGAACGCCAATTCAATTGTTTCTTTGTTTCCGTTAACCAGCCCAGATCATCACCACAAATCAGCATTAATCCTCTTCTCCAGGACGTTCGTGGTTCGCAAGCGGAGATCGATGATCTGAAAGTCCGGCTTCGCAAAGCCGAAGGCGATGATTATAAAACTACGACATCAACAGGGGCCACCCCCCCGTCTCATGGAACTGCCACTCGAACTGCGGATGCTCAATTGGGAAGACGCATTACCCAAGTAGCGTGACTTTCACACATGAGTGAATTAGCTCGAAGTCCTGGAGAGTGTTGCCTTCAATGAAATCCATGTCGAAGTACCATTGGCATCCAAAGAATGGTGTCTTGGGCCTTGTGTCTTGATATTGAGAGCTTGATGAACTCAGGCCTTTTAAAGACCCAGGATTGATTGATAGCTTTTTGTGGGCTAGATTCATGATGTCTGCTTTACATGGCTGTCAAGCTTTCACCCAGCCCCTTTACACACGAATGTGTGGGAGAGAGGCGCACGATGCGTGTTGCCTACTAGTCGTGGATGAACATGCTACGATCAAATGAGGTTAACCGGCGGGAGCGCGCTAAATTTAACATCTTAACTAACGCTAGTGGGAAAATCGACATAAGGTACTACTACAATTAGTGCTAGCTGAAGCAAAGAGTTCAGACCACTTTCTAATCTCCATACCTGTGATGCTAAAAAGGCCTAGTTAGGACAACAAGCTATGTACAGGAGGGAGAGGGAACGCCTCTATCTACCATTCAGCTGGAGTGTAGTAGTAGGCGTATGGGCAGTCTTATCTAAATCATCTTCGTTTGTAGCCTGAATATCTGAATTGTCAACCGTTTAAATTTTTTCCTTTCAGAACGACACTGTCCTTTTTTCCATATCTGAATAGCACAGCATGAATAAAAAACATTGTTATGAAATATTGGTACTGTAAATGTATGTACATGAACATTGACTCACAAACAATGCATCAAACCAGTGAGGGGTATATGAAAGCTCCCAACCAACTGAAAAACGAAAAAAAGAAAGGCGCAAAACTCCGCCAGCTTCTCGAATCCAAAGAAAACCAGCTTGGGTTAATAATTAAAATAATGAAAAAAAAAGTTTCTATTTATCCCATTCCCGACACCGCAAGAAAAACGTGCAACAATAGATAGTGAAACTGAAACCCGTTATACCAGCGCAAATTCCAATGCTGCTATAGAAGGTCAAAATCATCCAGTTTCTCACGGTACCGCAGGATGTTCCGCTTGATCTTGCTCGAATCGACCCAGGTGACGAAGTCTTCGAGGTTCCTGTTCACGAGGAAGGCAGGGTCAGTGACGACCTCCGTGCCGACACGGACATGGCCCTGTTCGATAAATCTTACGGCCTGGAAAAGGGTACGCGAGTCAGCTCGATTTTCCGACCCCTCTCTCTCTCCCTCTCTCTCTCCCTCTCTCTCTTTTTTTTTAATGATTTAATAAAATCCCCTCTATCCGATGGAATCCTTTTTCCCGCCCGCCCGGAACGGCGACCCCAAATAGAAAAAAACTCCCCTCCCTCAAAATAAATAAATAAACAAATAAAGAGACGGAAAAAGGAAGAGACGTAAAAGACGCACCGTAGGAACATTCTCCACCATCCCCATCCGCGCCATGACAACGCCCAACCTCCTCCTCGCAAACGCACTAACCGTGACCTCCCGCTCAACCTTACTTAGCCCCGCCCCTTGCTCGCGGCTCTGCTTCAGGATGCCCATCGCCCACAACTTCTCCAGAACCTGGCTTTCGATATCCGTACGAAATGGGTCCTCCGGGTCCAGCGCGGAGAGTTTATGTGCGAGCTGCCGCAGGGAGCCGCAGAGGGCGTTGTATTTTTTGTAGTCAAGCGGATGCTGGAGGTGGTAGCGTCGGCGGATGGCGGCTTCGCGGTGTCCGGCGTCGGATTTGTAGGTGTGCAGATCGACTTTGCGGAGGAGTCTGGTAGGGAGGGATTTTTTTGAGGATTAGAAAAAAAAAATCTTTTATTATTTCTTGTTCTGCTTCCTTTGGTCTCTTGAATGGGGTATATTCTGGGATTCTGTCCGGGGGAAATTCTGTTGTAAAAACGGAATAAAATGGAATATTCATTGCCGCTACATACTTCTGTTCATGATGCTTGAGTTTTCGAACCATATTGACGGATTGCCCGAGCGGGATATATTACCGGGAGGATGAGATTGCTCCCTGGAGAAATATTGCACTTTATTCTGTGGAGGATTAACATCAACGACTTTGTTCGCTTTCAAAAAAGTACGGATTAAATGGCTTTGCATGGTTTGTACGGTTTGCACTGTTTGCAATAATCTTCAGTAGCGTCAAGAAAGAAACGCTGCGGCCCGTTATTTTTCCCGGCCATTGACTTCCTCCCCATTCTGCGAAGTCGAACTCCGTGCTCAGACCCAGCAAGTTCATTGTTAGTGGGCGGCATCATTGTCTATTTGAAGAGTGTGATCGTGTTCACCTCCTATAGCAGTGTTTGTGATGGATGCGACCCAGGTCTAACTAGGATGTCACTGGATTCATATTATGATCGTGTTGTACGGGCAGTATAGTAACCATCGACCGATTTTACTGTGCCAGGACAAAGAAAGGAAACGAAGCCTCTCGGAGTCAGGCTAAGGTGCTGTATGACCCATGATTAACAAGTGTTTTCGAAACCATTGTTATTTGTAGTAGTAATTTAATAGGAGTGTAAGCTGGGGAGGATATCGATCCTAAAATAATGGCGAACGAATGCTGGTATGTACAGTAACTTTTACAAACATGACGAACTGTATGCCTAATTAGTGCTTTTTCTATCTTATATTTTTTCATTATCCAGAGCAATGTACGACTATAAAAACCAGGGCTAAGTACAAACAAAAAGCAAAAAGTGATGATTAAATATCTCAGATTAGTAACTATGATACGGGCATTCAGCTGTTACAATTGTAGTTCAAAGTTGGAAATATTAAAAAACACTCTGTTAGCAAAATGTGTGAAATATGTTTGAGGCTGAGTGACCTTGGGAGCTTTGACAGTTGAATAAATAGTATGTTTGGTATGGCCTAAATATGAAAAGGAAGCACGGCTTCCAAATCTGGATCAGATAATGCATAAAACAGCAATGAGAATAAAGGGAAGACGGACGGACAGACAGGCCCAGACAGGGCTCTAGACCCTAAAGCTCTTCAGCCAGTGCAATGATTCCATGTTCGTTGCTGTCGTGGCTGCCGGGTTGTCGTCAGCTTTTCTCTTCTTTTCGGCCTTTTCAGTCCTGTTCTTGTTTTTAAATAGTACGCAGCGGTTAGTTGACTCCGAGTGACTGACTAACTCACTACCAACCCAGGTTTGAGATCGACGTGTACGAGTATTCCATTCAAAAAGTGCCGTCTCTCAAGTTGGTTCTATACTATGAAAAATACCCGCGGAATGCCTCCCAGGGTAAATATGACCTCTTCGGGCCAGTTTCCCTTCTCGCCACGCCTACCAGTACTACCCCAAGGAGACACGACGAACCCTCGATTCATTATCGTTCGAGAAACGCAGAAAGGAAGATCGCAGATATCCCCCATGGATTTGGCTCCTCGAACCAACGGTTTCCCATGGCGTCTCCGTCATCTCCGTCGTCTCCGTCGTCTCCAGCGTCTCCAGCGTCTCCGGTATCCAGAGGACCGCGGGTTCTCCAACGCTGCCGATGCCCGGCTGCATGATGCTTTTCCGGAACTCATCAACTGCCTTCTATACTATCAATATAGTAATTTCGTCTTGATCAACTAGAAGTCCAACCAGCTGCTGACTCAGAAACCCGCCAAGGAAACTCGAGTCGAACCCGAACCGAGGCTCGTTCCAGAAAGAGCGTGCCAAGGCCGACGCGCCAAGTCACTAGCGGCTCACCAAAGCTTGTCTGGCCGGGTCCGACCTGGCCCGTGCACTCGGAGAGTGGTGAGTCAGCGCCAAGCATGCCCGTCATGACTAATCGAGCAAAAGAACTCTATCAAACTTTCTGAAGTCACCAAAGCAAAGTCGCCACCAGGAGCTACCTACGGAGCAGAGGTGGTATCTGAACAACGATTGCTGCCGATGCCGATGCCGGGTTCTAGTTGAACGTTGAACGTTGAACATGGCTGGAAACGGAAAATCCAAAATTTGCTAACCATGGCAAATGATGATCGTCAACAAGGCACAGATAGAGTTTAGCTCCTTCTCTATCTTCTTCGAGATCTTGCTTGCAACCGATATGTTCCCCGATATGTTCCCGGCAGATGCAGCACAGGAGCTTCCAAGGTTCTGCCCTCGGCGTCTCCCACGAGCACACTATCCTCCGCTGTTGACAAGTTGTTGTTGAGCTTGGCCAAACCCTCTGCTGCCGAGGTGGGCGAGTGGAATTGAGAACCATGCGGGCGACCGCGCACCCTAATCTGTACGCAAACTTGGAAATGCGAAGGGCCAACCAGAAAATCCTCGCGAGGTTGCCTCGCAAAAATATACATATAAAAAGGATTGAAAAAAATTTAAAACCTTGTCCACAAAGGTTAAGGTTTTAGTTTCTTCTCTCTCCCGAGTGTCGAGTGTCGATGACGCCAGCCACGTGAACTCTCGTTGGTGCCGTGGGCCTTGATTGCCGCATTCCAGCGAATTGGGCGTGGATCGTGGTTAGTTGGCCACACAGCAACGAACAACGGAGCTTATTCTGGCTCCAGACCTGTTCAGACGAACTCAGTCTGCGCTTCATTGCATCATAGCCGAGTCGGCCATTATCATTCATCATGAATATAATGGAGCATCCACGCACCACAACGCCCAAAGGTCCATGCTTCCTCCGTGGGCTTGTCTGTCGAAGAAAGCCAAGTGCCATTGAGGACGAGCACATTCAGCGCGGAATAATAATCCCATCCCTACCAGCAGCCAGAGCTTTTCAATCTTGAATGACAATCTACTCCATGGTCTCCTTGTGAGCTCTGCAGCCATCTTATAACACGTCGGTGCAAGGGCTTCTTCACTCGTTTACCACGGCCACGTCGAAACCCATCCACGCCAAACATATAACACCGATATATAAAATAAAGCAGAAAAAAGAAAAAAAGAAAAAACCTGCCCCGAAAGAAAGGGGGAAAAACCCCATATCGAACACCCAAGACAAAGACATGCATACGGCCCTCCCTTCACAACACAAACTCAACGCCCTTCCCACCTCCACCCGCTCCATCACCCAACCACAAAGCCGATACGCGTCGCCCTGTAGCCCCTCCCTCTCCTCCTATCCCGCCCAAACATCTTCACCACCTCCACCATCATCATCGTCATCATCATCATCAGCACCATCACCATCAACATCACCACCGTCAGCATCACCACCATCAACGTCATCAGTCCGCTACTCCTCCACGCCCCCGCCATCGCACCCGTCCCGCCTCGCCAATGATCCGCTTCTCGACGCGTGGAATGGCGCCAAGTCCAACGACGCTGACCAGCAGGTCAAGCTGGCGCTGACCGAGCTGCTCAACTCGGCCCCGATCAAGACGGACCACGAGGGCCGCATGTGGGTGCAGAAGAGGCTCATGGATACCGAGCATCGGCTGAAGGCCAGGCGGCGGAGTCGTATCTCTGGTCTCGGTTTGCAGAAGGACGGCGCACCGGTGTCCGGCTCGTCGGATAGATGATTTCCGCTTCTTCTTTTGTTTTTTGGTTTGGGGTTGGTTCTTGGGGAATTATTCTTTCCCTTGCGGGATTTCTTTGTTTACTTACTTCACTGCCCGTTGGATTTTTTTTCTCTTCGGGTCTGTATTGGTCTAGTATGGACCGTCCAGAGCGTTTTATTTTTCTTTCTTCTCATTTCCTCTTTTTTTTCTGTGTGGATTTCTTCCCTTGGGTCTCTAGAGGTGGGCAGAATTGGCGTGCGGCGGATTGAATTTGACATACTGATGAACTGCTGCACTTATAATCTTAAACCCCTCTGGTTCACCGGGGGACCCCCCGATGTTTTCAAATGGGAGACGTTTACAGTGTAAATAAATAATGTTCACGGGTCTCATCGGGATGTATATCTCACAGGGTAGGGAGATATTGACACCACTCGATATTGTAGACTATTTGTCCAAATAGACATAAGGAAATCTAATGCGAATTGAGGGAAGAGAACAAAAAACAAATCAAATCAAATCAAAACTGATGCAACATTCATATGCTTTTTTTCAATGAAGTGGATTAGTTTCTCCTATTTGCTGATAAGATTTATGATTCAGATTATATAGGGGGGACCCTGCTGGGAATATGGGATGCAGCAAATCTCAGGGCAAGAGTCAGGCCTCTTGTAAATAGAATGGACATTTCACAGTGATTTCTCACGAGCAGTCTCTCCTAACTTGCTGATGGCATTCATTCATTCATTCATTCATTCATTCATTCATTCATTCGTGCATAATAAAATAAATAATGAGAAAGAGATTTACCAAAAAAAAAAAAAAAAAAAGGAAAAAAAAAGGAGGCGAGGACGCAAAGGAAAGGAGAGATCATACTATCATCTAAAAGTTTGCCAAGAGATAGGAGACCTCGGAGTGATCCGTTTATACGAGTTAACCAGCAGCGTTTACTATGGTATAATTTATTCCATTTTTCAACCTTGATTCATAGTTTGCCCCGGAATGGAGCCGGAACCAGAGAGCCTGGCCATCCACCAAACCACCACCCAACCAACCAACCAACCAACCAACCCAACCGGCCCCCGCTTGATTTGCTTCCCAAGGCCCGCAACAGAACGGGGGGGGACCATGAAAGTGACAAAAAAAAAGCACAAGCGCAGAAACACCACCCGACGAATCACCGCTCCCTCTCCATCGCCGAGCCTTGTTCATGATGCATTATCATCAACTACGAGTAGTCCATTTCTGTGCTCAGGAGGCGAGAACGCTTGCGCCAAGATACAACTTGCTGGGATTCTCTCCCCCCCCTTTCCCCTTACGCTGTACATGTCATGCAACAGGCGGGATGCGTACAGGTCAGGTCCCGGACACATTCAACAGGTTTTTGCCCTGTTCCGTGTATTTGAAATCGAGGGAGGCTGGCGAGGCCGTTAAAGGGGCCAGGTTTGGAGGGTGTAGTATTGTGGCGGACGTAAAGCTTGCGAAAACAGAATTTTCTGCCACCCCCTGAAAAGTAGTAGCAAAACACCACAAAAATAACCAAAATATCCATGTATCTCTAGAATCATTCAAATATCATCCAATTCATTCAAATATGCATCTTTATCATCAAATACACATCTTTATCATCAAATCTGCCAATATGCTCTGCAACACTCACTGTTCTACTGTCTTGCAAGCTTGTAAAAGAACTTCAACTACTCTGTGTCTTTGTCTGCTCAAACTGCCTGTTCTGAATGTTCTGGATAATGACAAGAATTCAACTGATGATGAGAAGGAGGAGGAGAAGAAGAAGAAGAAGAAGATACAGTCAGAAGATTCTCAATTTCTATGAACATCTATCTCTGAGTCTGAGATCTCATTCAGACTGTATGAACAGATGATTATCAATGGAATAAAGAAGTCTATAAAGATCAAGTTATGGAATGTCACAACAAATGATATGACTGTCAGCTTCTATTATATTCAATATACTGCAAAAAGAATAGCTGAAGAGTATGTTATGAAGCAGAACTGCAAGAAAATAGAAGTTGCAAATTGTATAACAGTCATCTCATCAAATAAATATAAATCTTCAATTAAAATCATTCTTGAGAAGAAGACAGATTGGAGAGAGATTATTACTCTTTTGAAGAAGTTATATAAGAAGAAGATGAGCAGATTTAGCATTGAGATTATCATCTCTTTTAATCTTCTTAATATCTCAACTCTATTTTCAAACATCTCTGTAATATGTGATTCTGCAGCTTTCATTGAAGTGTTGGATTCATAATTAACAACTCAGACATTGGCATCAAAAAGAGTATTAGATGTCAAAGAAGAAGTAATCTCATCATCTATCAAATCCCCTCTCTATTATCCTGCCAAATCCTCTTGAATTCATGAAATATTCAATGATGAAAAGCTGTCATCTATATATACAAGATTCATGGCCACTAGTCAGCAGCTGAAGAAGGCTTGAAATTGACAGTTAAATAAGTGTGATTCTTTGCAGATTGGACATGAGATAACTGCTTACTGATATTGTCAAAAGATGAATTATTATAACTTTGAGCAGAGCACTTGTTGAATGACTTTTGATGATACTTATATTCAACTTCTGAGTAGTGAGATTGTCAGTTGGATAGATGATGTTGAATGTGGACATACAACAGTTAAAAATTCATCAAGAAAGATGATAAAAAGATTAATGAATAGAAAGAAGAAGAAGAAATGAAAAAGTGAATCTATCTTTACTTCTAACTCTTCTATACAGACATCTCAGATGTCAGCAGTTATCTTCTCTCTCTCAACTTCTTCTTCATCTAATATTGTGTCTTCAAGTGAGATAATCAATGTAATGGTGATGAAATATATGATGAAAGAAATGGGAGGCATGAAAGAACTGAATTCAAACTTGTCATCAAATTCAAATCTGCTGTTGAATTCAAATCTGCTGTTGAATTCAAATCTGCTGTTGAATTCAAATCTGCTATCAAATCCAAATCTGTCTTCTATTCAAAGTAGTTCAATTTCTCAGTTTGATGAATATGTGAATCTGTTTATTGATAAGTTTTTCAACTGATTGATGACAGAGAGATCTTGAAGAGTAGAAGCTCTTTTAACTGTAAAGAGTATTATTCAGAATGAAGGATTTGAACTGAATTATATATGAACAATGATAAATGAGCAGATGGTTCAGTTGAATATTGAAATGAGTATATTCTTGATAATAAGAGATGAATTAAAGAGTTCTATCTGACAGTCACAGTTGAAGAAGATTAAATTGTCTTTATCTGCTGTTTGTAGTAATAATAGCAGATTTTATACTGCTTCTGCTTCTGAATTTGAAACTTAGATATTATATATCATTATAATTGAATTGCAATCTGAATCTTTCTAGATTTTATAATACTATTCTATATAAGCAGATCTGAAATATTCTCTTACATCTTCTTCTCTCATGAAGTTCTCAACTGCATGATGCAAGAAGGCTTCAAAATCTTCATCAAACTGATTCTCTAACTGACATCTGTATCTTCTAATTCATTCTTTCAATGTGTGAAATGACTCCTCTATAGAATTATAATCAGAAGAATATGAGAGTAAGAATAAAAGTTCAATACCAGCTTCTCTGCAGAGATCTTGCAGTGCTTGTGAATGATGAGAAGAGCAATTATTCATCACTAGATAGTGATAATCTCATTGACATTTGAGTAGTATCTGGACACATACAAACTCATTGAATCTCTCTGTATTATAGAATCCCTGATATATATCATAATCAAGATATCCATTGACACTTATTGCAGGTAAGATTGATTATCTGTGAGATTGTTTACAGAGTCTTTTAATGCAACAAGAGAATTCTCTGCTTGATCATTCATATCATCAATCTGCAGTATGTTCATTCACAGCACTCTCATCTAAAAATATAAGTTGATCAGATTGATACTGAGTAATTTGAATACATCATTCAGCTTGAAGTTCTTTGTTGTGTTGAGTGATCATGGGTTTAATCTATATCAAATAGAACTGATGAATTAGCAGGTTCTATAAGTGACAATTGCAATAATTAATCATCTTTTTTCATGTCAAATTCAGTTTCTTCAACAATCTAGATATTGATCAAGAATGAATATCAACATCAAATTCATTCTTCACAAAGCAGACAGCCTCATTGTGATATGCAGTTGGATATATCTCAAAAAAATCCTTCAAATCTGACAAGATATCTGATGTGATCTTTGACTTTACACCCCATGTTGAACAAGAACTTCTAGCAGTTCCAAAGCAGTGAATATTTTGTTGGATTTGATATACAGTGATCAGATGACACTCAATGATCTGTGCAATCTGAGCAGATATATAATCATCATTTAGAAGGCATATGATCTCATTGGTGGTAAATTCACTGAGCTGGGGGGGCATATTGGCAGATTTGATGATAAAGGTGTGTATTTGATGATAAAGGTGTGTATTTGAATGAATTGGATGATATTTGAATGATTCTAGAGATATGTGGATATTTTGGTTATTTTTGCGGTGTTTTGCTACTACTTTTCAGGGGGTGGCAGAAAATTCTGTTTTCGCAAGCTTTACGTCCGCCACAATAGGCTACTAACTTAGTTTGTATGGACTGGATGTTCAAAAAGTAAAATAATAATACTCATACTAATACAAGGACAACGTTCAGAGTTCATTATTATATTGAGTATAAAAACAATCATGCCTTGCAGTCCCAGACCAGAAAATGAGTTACATGCCTGATAACCTGATAAATAAATAAAACGACTGATTTTATATCGCCCTGCGTAAATCAAGTAACCAGTTTAAATGATAATAATAATAACAATAATAATAAACGCCTGGAAAAATGTAAAAGGAAAGGGGGAAAAAAAAGAAAAGAAAAGAAAAGAAACTACCCCCTCAAACTCCGACACCTTTCGCTCTCAACACAGTCCCTAGGGCGCTCTTGCGTTCTCTTCGCAAACTCCGCTGCGCCCCTCGCTGCCGCGAATACAAGATCTGGAGTATGCTCCGGCGCCTGCAGAACGGCGGATGGCTCTACGAGCCCGCGCAGAGCATCCAGAGCAACCTCAAGAAATCTAGAGCCACTGAAGATTGCGTCGCCAGTCATAATGACCCCGGTGAGTTTTCTCTCGGATTTCTCGGTCTCGGTTCGAATGCGACGCCAGAGGAGATCCCAGTACGCCTCCTCCTCAATGAATCGGGGTCGCTTCGATAGGCCTAAGTTCCAGTCGGCGAACACGCCATCGGTGCGGCGACGCGGAATCGTATCTTGCGGGGTGCTGCTGCTGGTTGATCCGCTGAGAGCGGCTTCTGTGTAGTCAAGGTGCAAAACGGTTTCGGGCTCCGTTTGTTGCCTTGGAGTCTGTTCGCAAGGATCCACGGTCGTAGGGATGGTGAATATGCCGAATGAGTAGCCTGCGTATTCCGAGGAGGTTACTGCCAGGTCGTAATCGCTGGCGATGTTTTTCAGTCCCAGGTGCTCGATTGCCTGGGCGATCTCCGCCTCCGATAATTGGATGTAGCCTGGAGATGAGATGGCCACGGAATGGATAGAGTGGCCTAACAGTCTCTCGGTTTCAGCTTTCAGTTGAGAAATGAGCGAGGAGAGGGCGCTAATATCGAGGTCGGGCAACGCTGCTTGGAGCCGCCGCTGCGATGAGTCCCCGAGATGGCCTGGTTCGTCCCATCCAGAGTCAGAGCGGCCAGGGAGTGCTCTCTGCCGGCCGTTCTCTGAAAGTTGTTCCATCAGAGATCGGTACTCCATGGAAGCGTCAATCTTGGCCACATTGACAGAGGAGCCATTGTGGTATCGAATAACGGCCGTTCTGGAGAGGGGTAAGACGTTATTCAACTAAATTTCTGCGTAGTGCGTATCGAAGAGCCCATGGGGGAAACATACCCGTAAGATGCGGATAGGTCAAATCCTATACCTACAGCATGCACCTCTTCTGGAGCCATGCACCATGAACACATGGGCCGAGGGCAAGTGTGTGTTGCCGCAACGAGGGCATCTGCAGCGCATGTTGTAAACGCAATAATAACTCTGATGATAGACCACGATGGCCTCATAGTGGCGAAGTGGGTATATGGATATGGTGTCCTTTCCGTTGTTCGTTCAGGGTGCGGCGGAAGCAAAGACAGATGGAAAACGAGGCTCTACGAACCTTCCAGACATTCACCTGGTTCGTAGCAAGTTGCACGACAGTTGAAAGTAACAAGAGCCACCGAAGGGTTTTGACTGCTCCCACCAACTGGGGACATCTCCTTCAACATATGTGAAACAAGGTGTGCCAAAAAAGAAAAGAAAATGGCATGACGGGCCCAAATATCGGCGGAGATCTGACAACATGGGACGCCGGCTTGATGAGGCGATCCCGCAACAAAAGTAGAAAATAAAACGGCTGTGGATGACGTGAGATCCCCGAATTTCACACCCTTGATCTCGGTATCCTTGATCCCTCAGACCATACAGACTGCGAACCTGCACGAAAGCTCTGGATGCCTGGTTGTTGTCGTCCAGCAAACAAGCTGGCGCACAGGTTGGTGTCTGGACACTCAACATTCTTCCCGCATCCCTCCCCAATCCGATATCTGTAGACGCCCAGGATACTATTTCACGACAAATTTCTCACGCGTTGTGAGAAATCTCCATTTTGATCTATCCAGCATGCCGCACACGATCCCGCCGATTGCGTCCGGCCGGCGTTCAAAAAAGAAAAACACACGGCCAGGGATATTTGTCCCTGGCCACTTGAATCCGCCGAAACCAAGATCCCGCCTCACCCGTCTCCTTCATTCAAATCAACGGCTTCGAGGGGTGTAGAAGAACAATCCTTTCAATATCTGTCCAGTCTTGATCGATTGAGCTGACATCTCTCACTCTTGTTCATGTGTGGGAGGCTCGCTGGTACGAGTATTTGAATAATCAACCGCCTTTCGCTTCAGCACCTTGATTGATGTGATGGCAGGAAAGTGTGTTATCAAAAAATAGCTACATTTGAAGTGGTGATGAATTTTATCATTCTTTCTTTCAGAAAAGAGCTATTTGATAAGAATATTTTTATCTTAGGAGATTTACGCTTTTGCTCTGTCATAGTTAACTTTTGACCATCTATAACTCTTAGATTATACTGGTTACAGAATCCAGTAAATTTTATCCTTCTTCTTTTCTTTAAACTATTCTAGATTACCGCTGGCATTTAAAAATAGCAAAAATAGCCTAATCAACTTATTTTACGAATAATTAGTTCCTATATCTCCATTTATAATAATTTTCAAGAGCTATTTTACTTTTGCCTTTCTTTCCAATTAACAAACTTCGCTAAATCTTCAGGTCACTAGTTAAATTCAAGGTTGTTTGTTTTAGAGTTATCTGTAAGGCAAAGCTGAACCAACTCGACCCACTCTAACTCTCTGCTGCGGTTCTTGGAGTCCGTACCCTATATATAGTAGTCAAGATCCCCAGGGTATGCTAAGGAAGGCGATTGTGAGGACTGAATTATATTTACTTCCATTTTAAACCAGCGATTAGAATTTAAAGACTTCCTTTGAATGACGAAGCTAACTTAGGGGTGATATGTAGAATTACGGAGCAGTTGAAATGAATGGTTGTTTTGCATGAAGCGCCATTAACCACTTAGTTGACGATCTGGCCTGGCTGTGTGGTATCCTGCAGGGTTCTCCTGCTAACAGTGTCAAGTCCGTGGGGATATAAAGATAACTCCCCCGAAATAAGTCGCCGATATTGGCCTTGAGTGGAGAAATGAACGAGCCCTTGTTGAAAAATGTTTTTTCTTGCCAAGAAACGGCTATAAGACGTCAACAATCCCTCGGTACGAGGCATTATGACGGGTAAGTTAGTCGGACACGTTAGCTTTGTTGATTGAGCATGTTGCCGCTGGTAAAGAAAGATAGGGCTTTGTTTGGCTATAGACCTCTCGAACAGCTGTCAGAGAAGTCGATGTGATTTAAGAATTGAGGCCAGGGAGCATTCCTAGTAGTCAAGTAATCTGTAGTTAGTTAACCAGTCAGTTGCTAGTAAGAAGTAAGAAGGTTATATCATCAAGCTTGATTTAGTCTGTTGCATCCATCGCTGTCAAGTCGGGGTTTTAAAATGGCCGCATTTAACTCCGTGTCTTTTTTTATCGAGGCCTGAGACTTTCAATGTGACGTCGAAGTCTCAATGGCAAAGTACGGCGATCAAAACAAGGAAAGATAAAACATGCGCGCAATTCTGTTAGTTATTTGTCTTTTTGGACAGCGAGGACTACCTTGCGGACTATTTCCTCAACCAAAGCCATCAGTTTCCGGGGAACAGAGGCCAGCCTAGAACTATACGAGCACCTGGTGACCAGCAGAATCCTAGATCCTAGCATCTGCCTCTCATCAGAAAAGAGTGTAAAGAAACTGAATGAAGAAGACTTTCTCAGAATTTTCCGGAGAGAATTCAAGGAAACTCTCCCTGATAAAGTGGCCCCCAAATGCTTGGAGAAACCTGGTCAAACAACAAAGCAGATAGCAAATGGCCAACATGCAAGAAACGAGGAGACATGAGATTGTTCTAGAGTCATACCGCTGGAGCAGCTCCCTGAAATACTGCAACAGAAGTAAAAGACCGATATACTAAAGAGGGCAGAGTGATGCAGTAGGGTGTTTGATTCCCCTACTCGCATATCTGGAAGGCTAAAACAAAAACGACAACGCGCTGGACTACCTTGCGGACCAATATAGATGGACTGGACTGGGAAAATTTTTGCCACTGGAATGCAGCCACCCAGTCATCCAGGAGGAGTTGAAGCTCAGGGAACTTTGTGAAATGAGAAATGGTCCACTGTAACAAACTCGTTAAACATTTCTTCAACATAGCACCACTCCCAGATGCTGATAACGTTGTTCAAGGATACTAAATACAAATCACCAACATCTGACGAACCAGATTCGCGACATCCGCAAGCACGAAGGAACAAGAAAGACATAAAAATGGAACTTTCTCGCCACAGTCATTTCTAGCGATATTTCTTACCCTTACTCGGTTCATTCCCCCTTTTCACCAGCGTAATATGCCCAATATCCATCTGCAGCTCAGAATCACCTACCAAACCCGGTAGTTTCCACAGTGCCTGGCACTCCTGGAACTCCGAAGCGCACGCAAAATCGGGCTCGTCTTTGATCTCTTGCGCAAAATCCGCTCCGAATCGGAACATACTATACCCATCCAACGTATCAGACCATCGGCAACGAAAGCCATACACGCAGCCAAATATCACAGAGCCTACGGTCCAGATGGCGAACAAGACCCCCACATAGATGGGCGGGATGACACCAGGACCCATAACGGTGCTGGCTCGCGAGCTGGTTGTATTGGGTAATATATACGCAGATTCAAAGGAGTAGCCGCTGTCGTACATTAATTCCAGGGCGTCCCAGGCATGCGCGAGCATGATTGACCGGTAAAGGGTCTCTGCCTGGATGTAACTTGGGAAGTATAACCCGTGGGTGAGACTTAGGGTTGTAGGCGAGTTTGTGGATGTCAGGATCTCGGTAAATTTGCCAGCAATTGCGTCGCCGATTTGGCCAAATGCCCATTGATCCCCGCTCTCGTGGCTGTCAACCCACTGGGGGGCACTCTCTGTGAATGAGCGGAATGAGCCTTGCCAGTCGACATCAGCATATCCAAGCTTAGAGTCGCGAATACAACGAACACCTATGGGAGGGGCAATGTGGGTTAAAGCCGTAGCTTGGTACACTGGATCTGAAGAGACCGTTCCATTTTCGTCGGGCTGGTTGCCGTAGAAGGTTTGGTTGAAGTAGAAGGTACCGTTTTCTGCCTGAAAGTATGGACCGTTAACATCGGCCATGGGAAAATCAATCGTCTTGCTGAAATTGAGTTGTTCTCCCAAAAGGCTAAATCCCATATCTCTATGTGCCTGCCAGAGCGCGTATTCAAAAATGGCTGGCATAGGCTTAGGAGCAGCCCAGCTGGCGTGCCCGTACACTCCTGAAAGGTTGAAGCCGATCTGAGCATGAGCTACCAGGTTCGCATTATGATTAGCAGCAACAAGTATCCTGTCGCTCAAAATGGAAGAATTGAGATTTAGCGTTACCAGAGAACTACTTTCATTAAAGTTGGCAGGTGGCCTTTGGCTAAGGATTTTGAATTCAGAGAACGACTTGACAATGGAGCAGTTGCACCCTATGAGTAAACCCCACACTGTCCCATTTATTGGTACGTTTGCCTGCGGTGCAAGGAAAAACTCTGGGTTGCTTTCAGATACATTTGAAGGCAAGATATTCGGCACTTCTCGGAGGTACGGGAAGGACTCCCGTTGAACATGAGGTGCGATATAGGCTATACCTAATCCCGGAAGTTTAGGAGGAAAGCCAGTTCTCCAGAACAAGTTTTCGTTTGCTTCTTGACTTCTGCGATGGAAATCATCTAACTTGTGTCCAATGGCCAGGGGAGGATCACGCAATTTGACATAACCACGAACAGGTTCCATGGTCAAACCCGACAGTGGTAGAGCTACAAAGGGAACCAAGCTAAGGGCCGCCAGCGTGTACCACAGCCGCCCTGCAGCAATCCTCCTCCGTTGCAAGAACGCGCTGCAGCATTTGAACCAACCCCCTGGTCCATTCCAGGAGCTGTCGCAATGCATCAACAAAGTCATGGTATTTTCAACCTGCCAGGTGCGATCGTGGAGCATGCTAGCTTCGATACCAAGTAGGCCATACTTTGAAAAGTTCAGGCCAAATACGCCGACAAGGAACCAGGAGTAGTATATCCAAAGCTCATTGGAGAAGCCAAATTTGAGTGTATGTCCTTCTCTCGTCTGGATCAATTTCCAGATAAAAGCGAAGTAGGCCAGGACTATTATTGGGCCAAAAATCACTGCCACAGCTCGAAGGGGGAACCTGCGTAACTTATAGCTCTTGCGTTTGTCATGGCTGATTGCCTTGGCTGTGTTTGTCGTGACGGAGTCACCGTTTGTGACATTCAGTGGCCTAGTGCAGAGGTTAATGAACAAGTTATCTTGAAACCTGCTGACTCCCGCCGCACATTCCCAGGGCTCACGATATTTCTCTTTTCTCCTTTCTCCCAGGAAAAGCACTTACTCGAGCTCTGGTTCTGGTAGATGATCGTGACGAGGTGTTGTGGTCATGTTTCATAGATTACTGAGGTTGAATGGGGTTGAATCGGTCCCCAGGAGCACACAATGGTCATCAGGAAATGGCCCTCCTCCAGCCCTGGAGGTGTTGCTTTGGAAGACATTGCTCAGGAGATTTAATCCTTTTCCTGCACAGATTTTTTGTCGCTCGCAACGTTGCAAGTCAAATCTTTAAATAGTTGCATCCCATTCCTGCAACAATTGAAGATTGCCAGTTTACCAATCACAGAGCCGCTGGCGGGCTATATTGCCTAATATGGCGAAGTCCAGCTCCACTCGGGGTATCAGCATCAAAACGGCTCAGGGCTATTTTCGATCCAAACCAGGCTGCTATTCTTCTTTGGTATGATGAGAGGAGAAGGAGATGGGGCCAAAGATGTCTTGGGCTTCTCAAGATTCCAAAAATAGAGTCAGTTCGTTCTCGCGCCAACTTCGCCAAGCACACTGACATCGGGCGTATTTGTTGCATGGAGAGCGCAATTTCATGCAGGCATGGCTTGAGTAGCTGCAGGACAGGCGCAGACACTCGAATACGAGTGGCCAGACTAAGCACGGAGGCCAATCAAATGAATCTGCTTGGATGCAGGAGAACTCCTCCGAGAGGATTGGCGGGGATGATGTATATTGAAATCATTTTATCTGAATTGAATCAGAAGGATGATAATGACTGGAAAGGATATCGAAGTCCTGTACACTATTTGGATCGTGAACTCATCTCCAATTTTGAAGGGGATTTGAATTCTCGACCTTAATAATTACATTCACAATATTTCGGATGCAGAAGGACAACAAGGGTATGTTTTCTGAAGCCTGCTCGAGGAACGTATGATTGCAAATGTTTCCATGTCAAATCCACTCAAAAAATTCATGATGGTTGTTACTAATATCTCTATAACTTTGTTTAGCCCGTGAACGTAACAGATGCCAGCACAGTAAAAGAAATTCAAACAAGACGCATACAAAAAGAACAGAATGAAAAAAAAAAAAAAAAAATGAAAATGAAAATGAAATTAGACCACTCCGGAGCGAGAAAAGGCAAATATGGATATAACCAGAGGGGGAATTAAAAAGATAAACAAATGCTGAATCTTTTATGCATCTAACTATGTTACAATTCATCCTTAAGATGGGCGCGGGTGGGCTTGCCGCTGTCTTTATCAAGATTCACGCCGTTCTTCTTGCGCCATTTTTCGAATAGCGCGAAGAAGTCCTTTTCCATCCCTTTCTCCATTTGGTCTGGGAGGACGACAGTGTATTCGACGTAGAGATTACCATACTCTTCGCCGTGGTCATGAGCATTCATATGACCATCGTGCCAGATGGGCATGCCTTCACCTTTTATAGTTTCGACGGAGAGGGGTTGAACTACCTCACCCCGTTTCCGACGCAACTGGACGACATGGCCGTCCAGGTGTGTGATGTTGCGCGTCCAGTCTCCCATCCATGCTTCTCGGAGACTGAGAACTTCTCTCCAAAACAAGTCGTTATCCTTCCGTCGGAAGAACGTACCATCAGTTCGGTCGTTCTCGGCTTCGGAAATCGCTGGTTCCCTCTCCTCAAGATTAATAACCAGATCGCCGGCTATCCAGTCGGGGCTTTCGTCTGCCTCGTTTTCAAACGTTATCTTGGTTCCTTTGGGCATCCCCCTCTCTATCGTCACTGATATTGGGACGGCTTTCTTCACAACGCGCTGACCATGGCATACGGGACAGGGACGCCGTATTGTCTTCCCTTGTCCGCCACACTTATCGCAATGCATTTGAACCTGCTGGAAAATCCCCGGGGCCAGCATATGCTTTTTAATCACCGCTCCCCTACCTCCACACTGATGGCAAGTCTCGACCTCCCCATCAGCAGACCCAGTCCCCTCGCAAGCTTCGCAGATCTGTTGTTTTTCCACTTCAAAAGTCGCCTCTCTGCCGTTATAGAAATCCCTGAGAGGCACTGAGAGGCGAACTTCCATAGCAGGCCCATGGCGTTGGCCGGGGGAATGGCCAAAATGTCCACCTCCTCCGAAGAAGCGCGAGAAAATATCGAATGGGTCATGTGTTCGTCCTCCGCCTTGCTTATGCTGCTCTAGCCCTTCATGTCCATACTGGTCGTAAATTTTCCTTGTCGAGGGAGTGGATAGGACATCGTATGCCTCGGCAATATCGACAAATTTCTGATGCGCCGAATCGTTTCCGCTAGAAGGGGAGAGCAAAATGTGCGAAATTAGCAAATGGTCATGAACGGGAGTTCTGAGCGGAGAATTTAGGGAAAAAGGGGAACAAGCGCATACGGATTTTTGTCAGGATGGAACTTTTTACTTAGCGTCCGATAAGCTTTTTTTATGTCACGATCAGACGCGGACCTGTCCAGTCCCAAAATTCTGTAGTAGTCCTCCGCGCACAGCACGACGGGGAGGAGCACGAGTACGGAAAACCCCAGAAGAAAGGGGAACGCGAGCATGGCTGAACCAGCCTGGTGTCTCCAAGCCGCGAATTTTTATCTCCCCCAATGTCTCAATGAGGTGTACCGTGTATAGGAACCCGGTTTGTGCTACCGTGGCAATTCTAGGATTTGGTCAACGATCGGAGGTATAAATCCGCCCATTCGAATGGCCCATGTAAAGAAACATAAATGAGAAGGGTATCCACGAGTGACAAAATAGTGCCGAAACTAAAAGGGCAGCGTATAGTGTTTATTCTAACATTGAGAACCCCACGTTAAGAAAAACATTAGGAGCTGGAGGAGTGAAGGAGTGTGTAAGTAAATTAGATGACATCTGGCAGCTTTCAGGTGATTCTGTCCTGTGATAGGCTACAATAAATTGGTTTGTCGCAAAACTGGCAAATAAGCCGGATTATCAAAATTCCGCGAAATACTACACTTGGTCACGTGTACACGTCCCTTTTAGGTAATTTGCCCCTTAAGAGTCCACAACAATGACAACCTGGTATTCTCGGAGAGGTTCCAGTGGTTAGCCCTGTAATTCTTGTTTACGGTATTTGCCCGTTGGCTTGGTAAACCGAACGGTTGATTAATTCTCTTGCGGGTTGGCAGAGTTCGCGTCCACTCATCGTCAAATACCGCTGGCGCAAGCGTCGACTGAACCATGTCCACAGGGTTCGGGAGTAGTACGGCACAAATGATAAGCTTGATCTACTTAGTTTGCACTTTATGTATCTACAACATCCCATATACCATAGTAGAGCCAGAGCACTGAGCTTGTTGCAGGCAGCATGGACACAGTTACAGTATGCCTTTGATGATCTGCGCGCAGCTAATTGTTCCTTGTGTGGGCAATCTACTGACTTGGATAGAGAATGTCAAGAAGAGAAGAGCATCCAATGCATGTAAAGTATTAATCGTCAAATGGGAAGCATGCGCGATCCTACTTCCTCCTCATTTCCTTCGTCTCCTTAATTATGTAACGTGGGCTATGGTCATCCTCTTTGGAAACACCTTCATACATTGGTATTAGAAAGCATATCAGCTTTCCCCCCTCTTTTATTCTCCTTAGAGCTTGTCAAATGGTAAATGGCGTTAGACCATTAAAAAAAAGAAAGAAGGAAAGAAAGAAACAGGATGAAGGGCTGCGCCAAAAACTTACTTTGGCGTTTGACTCCCGCTTCGCGCGATGAGATGTACCACAAGCTTGAGCGCTTAAAACACCCTCCACCGCGTGTAGTGACTTCGCGGGAACAGTGTCCGTGTGCCTGGAGCAATTAGTGAGAGGTCCAGAATCTCAGAAGTTGTTTGCATCAGAACAGAGAAGATTTCTCCTAGCCCATTTACGTCATGGCTTGGGCCGAATGGCAAAGTTATCTTAGAGGTACATATTTTCCAAGTTTTGAACACCGATGATAACGAAGGATGTTGATTTTGGGATGGGTGTGTGTTTGGCGTTATAGGTAGGTGGGTAGATAGAGGCATTATAGTTTCGAATTGGTACTATTCAGTAGGCTTTGGTTATAAGATTGATCATTCTGTTATTATTTTAAGCGATATTGGCTAGAAAGGACACGGCGTGTCTATATGCTGGTGTCGTTGGTGTCGTTGGTGTGACATTTACCAGGGATATGCGATTGATTACTCGCTAGAGAATGTCATGCTTGCATCGCCGCCTACTACCGCGTTGACGGGTAAATGAACATGAAACCGTGGATAGGAAAATGTGTCACATGTCCATTAGATTTCTTTTCGCAACGAAACTCAGGAAGACCGCCCCAGAGACGGGTGTAAAAGTAGGAGCCGTAAGCAAGAAGATCATCGATCATTAGAGGATGGAGCGGGTACCAAACATGAATGTGTAGACGTCAAATTAAACATACAAAGAGGGGAAAGATGGGAGAAGCAAGGGCTGCAGGGTGTTGGGCCATAGTACAACCCGGGAGAAAAAAGCGTATCAAACAAAGGAACTCCATCTCCGAGATGAACGAGATACAACGTCAAATATATCATTCCTCCACGTCATCTGAACGCCACCACTCTGGTCTCCATTTTGGACCGCCTCTCCAACCCTCCTCCCTTCAACATTCCATATCTTCATCACGCTCGCAGGCGTATACACATCCTTGAAAACCCCTTCGCATCGGGCATCAAATCCGACCCGGGTATAAACATCCGGGTCCATTTTCGGAGTCACGCGTGTTAAAATAGCTCGGACAAAGGTAGCCAGACTCTGTGGATTCGCAATCCTTGTAGCACGTAGGCGCTCGCGCGCAAAAACAAGTTCTCGATTCAGGACATGTACCACGGTAACAATCTGCTCGGCGATCTTCTTCTCTAGAACGCGGCGGACCATGTGTTTGAGGAAAGGCTTGAGGATCCACCACATGAACGACCGTGGGCCTTTGTGCACCGTGTAGTCGAGCTTGTGGATATGGACACGAACAGCTAGCAGGGAAACCAATTTTTCGATACGACCAGGTCCAATCTCGATGTCAAGGGAGATATCTATCCCCCGTTCATCAAGGGAGAAGCTGGCAATACCTTCATCGCTGAAGGAAGATATATACAGAGGTGAGTGGACGCGGATCCAATATCCAAACTCGCTTGCACTCATACTCAGGCCGTTCATTGTTATAGTAACGACGTTTTTTATGGTCGTGTTGGCTGCCTTGGAATGCGCTTTTCGGACCTCCAGCTCATTACGGGTCGTTACGAGAAGTCTCCATGGAAAGAAGGAGGAAGAGCGGAAAGTGCGGCCTGGTTCCACCACAACATTCTCAAGTAGCAAGTCTAGTTCTGGTACAGAGACTTCGAATCTCGGAATTGGTATATGTTGGATCGAACGGATCAATGTCGGGAGGAAAACGTTGAGAGCGTCTTCAGAGACTGCGTGAGCTTTTCCGTTGAAGGCTCGGGATAAATCACCCGTAAGTTTCTTTGCGGCGCCTATCAGCTTGGCTACAGCTTTATCTCCAGGGACTGAAGAAAGCGCACGGCTCAATTGCTGTAAAAATACATCCACATCCTGACGAAGAGTAGAATCCGAGCCAATACCGCGGCTTTTCTGCTTCAAGAGTTCAACCATTTCATCCGCTGAGTCGAAAAAGCCAGGGTCCGTCAAGAGATCCTGGAGAGAATTTCCGATGTCTTTCAGCAGTGATTCAAATTCTGTGTCTTTCTTAGAGTGCTTGACCACCACACGTAATTTCTGTTCAACAAGCTGCCATTCTTGGCGGTCACCAAAGGATCCGATTAAGTTCCATAGGGTTAGAACTGCCTGCTTAAGCTCTGAGCTTGCTTCAGCCTCTTCCTTAGCAACATTGACCGTTTCCCCTACAGCACGAGAGTAAATAATTCCATACTGCTTAATCAATTGAGTGATGGTCGATACAGAGGTGGTATAGTCGTCTCGCTGGCGTAGGTTCTGAACAGTTCTCTTCAGTCTATCGAGTAATGGGTTTTTGTAGTGCCCAAACACGTTATCCTCCGTGCTTTGAGCTGCAGCTTTACCCGTTTGACCCACTACATCCAGTGTGCTTCCGGAAACTTGCTGCAGGTCGTGGCCTAAATTCTCTGTTGATGGGCCTCCATTGCCTTCTGAGCCGCTTGGTCCTAGGTTAGCTCTCTCTTCACCTGAAGGTTCCACTTCTTCCGCAACTCCGGCAGCTGCGGAAGACAGTGCGGACGCGGTATCGGCAAACACCATCCGCCCAATTGTAACCAAATCGTCGACTAACCGCCGGAAGTCGGAATTTGTTAGCAAGAGGCTGGTAACAGTACGAATGCTTTCGCGAGCTAGAATTGAGGTATCAGAAGAATTTGCCTAAAGGTTGTAGTAGTAGAAAAAAAACCCCTGAGAAGTATCATTAAATACCGGCAGCAGTATCCGCCTGAGCCTTTGCAAGTGTGCCCCTGGAAGCAAGACTTGCGGTATCAATCTCCACATTCAACTTGGACAGCTGCCATATGGCAGTTTGTAGCTGATCTTCGCCGTTCTTCTCCTGTAGAAGATCTATGAGCAGACGAATGCAAAGCTTGAGATCCGTAATCAATTCTCGACTAGTGTTTCCAACAGCAAGAGGTTCCGGGTTGAGAAGACTTGATACGAGGATGGCGCGTAGGTTGGAGACGATTTGGTATGTGGACGGCATGTAGCCACTACAAATGGCCTTGAGCATCTGGTAAGTGCGCAGTTTCTCATGCAGCTGATGCTGTAGGGCTGTATCTTCATCGTAATCATGATGTTGGGGGAGAAGTGGTTGTGTTTCACCACTGGTAGCTCTTCGCGGTTTGCAGCAGGATGACCACATAGCCACTGGTGTGAATAAAACTTCCAAAAGATTGAATATTTAGCTGGTAAGGAAGAAATCCTCAACCCAAACAACTGCTCTGGTGGCCCGCCTCTCAGCATAAAAGAATGGGCATGAAGAGGAGGAATGCTATGATGGATGAAGTGGAAGTGTCAGCAACAGGATTCTTGAAACGTGACGATGAGCTCACCACAGCCTTGGCACGCTGGCATGGTGCAAGTGCCAAGAACTTCCAGAACATGGACTGTGTGGATTCCATTGACAAACTGAGTGAGAACAGTCTTTTGCTGATGGTGAGTGAGCTTCAAAATCTAAAGGAGTCTATAAATAATAGCATCGGCTATGGCATTGTCTCGTAGAATTACGTCAAATACCACTCACTATATGTTGCAAGAACTCCCGCCGCTTCCGTCATTCTGCAGAGCATTAGTTAGTTGTGCTGATCCACATCGTACCAATCTAAGCTCACCATTTGGCTCTTGTTAGCAGCGCCCTGTATTCAATTCATGCCAAGCGAGCCGCTGAGGTCCCATGGGTTGAAGGACTTAAGCGCCAGCTGCTCCTCCAGGTACGAAAAAAAAAATTTTTTTTTAAGGCCCCTATTGTAGGAGGGCCTTAATCAGTGCAAGTGAGCAGCATTGCACTCCGTAGGGGAGCTATAATAATGCTTTGCAGTCGATAAAGAGGTTGGTCAGGCTGACAGCTCACACATTAAAACAGAGTTAGCAATTGGCTGAGAGCGTGGAAAGTGGAGAGTAGGTCGGTGCTCTCTTGCTAGAAGTCTATCAATATCCATACATATGTGCTCAGGAAGGTGCTTTATGAGCAGGCCAATGATGATATCATCACTTTATGACGGTCGGACTCATTGCATCAGTGCTCCCCCGGCTTCAATGAAGAAGGATACCCAGCGTATACTAGCAATATCTCAACCCCATCATGGATGCAGCTCACCGTAGGAATCGATTTAGCCAATCAACCATGCGTCACAACGGGCATGATTGTGCCTGCTGGAGGAGGACATTGAAGAATGGATTGTACCATATTGGCAGGGCTTTAAGCCCATAATTTCATGCCGTGAAATGTCACAATAGTGTTATAAAGCCAGCTCATGTAAATCAGTTTTTCCGCCTCATTTGATGGTGCACTTCTGGCATGGCGCTATCGAGGGTTTGGCTGTTATACTGTGTAAGTGACATTTGAGTAGACCCTGAGCATAACAGCATTCTCAGCAAGGGAAAAAACCATTGATCAAGAATTCAATTGAACTTACTGGTTCAGTCAGGTACAATACATGCAACTTTCACGCAATATCGCAGGCCCCAGATTTTTTTCCTACTCGAAAAAATCTCAGACATCTAGGGAGTGTTTCCCCTCCTACCATCTACTTGCTGTAATTTGTCTCAGCAGCAGGTATCCGACGGTGCTGGGTGGTTAATCAATGTCTTGGGCTGCATAAACTGTTGGGAAATGGGCGGCGTGGAGGCTCGACCTAAATATGCAGCTAAAAAAGCGCTGGTTAGAATTTAGCCCCGTCATTTTGTCTGGCCGAGTTCCCAGCCTTGTGGCATCGGACATGTCGAAGGAATTCGCTGGTGCTCTGAAATGGTTTGAAATCCTCAAATTTTTCCTTCTTGACATCGTATAATTTCTACTGGTGCTGGCTGCACATGCAGTGGTTTCTAATTTTTGTTCGAAATATGATATAATCCTGGTTGACAAACTAGTTAACTACAGAATGGATCTGTTAAACGGAGAATGCCTTTCTTGAACCGTGAGGACATGAAACTGGAACGAGGAGAGCCTTGTATTTTTCATACGGAGTCCGTAAACTCTAATACCGTATTTTTAGGCAAACCCAGGAGGCTGATGTTGGTCAGGACTGCTGACGAGAGGTTTCAATATCAACATCATCTTCTAATTCTCTTTTCTCTTCCTTGTCCTTCTTTTCAAAGAATAATCGCCGTCTTCCCCGTTTGCACTTTTGTATCGAAGAAAAAGAAAAAACACGAAAAAAGTCAATTCGCATGCCCTCGTGCCGCGTTGTCCGATCGGGGAGAATGAAAATCTGGGGATGAGCTTGGCTAGATGTTATTTTTGTCACCCATGCATGCCCTTCGTCCCAGGAGCTATTGAGCTTTCCCGCCCGTTCAGTGCTCCCTGGACGACGGCCTACCCGAGCTTGCTAGACAAGCCCTAGTGATAGGACTTGGCAGGGTGCAAGCCAGCGACAAGCTCCACAACCAGCCCCAAGTGGTTTGATGAGTACTACCGATGTCGCTGGGGGAACGTTAGCCCCGTTTTGCGGCGGAAAAAGGAGAGAAGTGATGTTTGAGAATCTCTCTTACACCAATTACAGTCTAGAGCAGCCTTGCTTTGACACTAGAATATCGGGTGATACCGCGATCCTACAGCCAAATCCCCGCCTCGGAAAAAGAAAAGAAGCAAAAGAAGTAGGGAAGAAGAAAAAGAAAAAGAAAACAAGAAGGCAGGGAGCTGTACGGAGTATTTGCTCCTGGAACTTGAAAGGGCAGGTTCCATGTGGGATGGATGTATCAGAATCAGGGGAGGCTTCCTGGTTGTTGTGACCTGACAAGCTCATTGGCAGAGCCCACTGGGTTTCCAGCAGCGACTTATAGGACATGCGACTGCTGAGAAGGATGGTGGTTGCAGGGATCTAACTCGAACCCATCAAGGCTGTTGTTTTCGTTCTGCGAATTCATCTTAGCAGCAAGCGCAACAATAGCAACAATAAGGGGAACTCTGCGTAAGCGCATGTGCTGCCCCGAGTTTGAGAGAATCCTGGAATTTCGAATCCCAGCCTGGCTCCCGTTAGTTGAATGTATGGATGAGCTTTCCTAACCCAGGATTTTGTCACTAAAATCCCCAGCTCTCCCGAAGCTGCCAGTTAGTTTATCGAGCTAGAGTAGCAAACCGAGAGGACAGGGATTATTATTAAAAAAAAAAATAAAAAGCTCAGGGGCATAACCAAACTCAATTCTTTCTGTTGGGAAAACCAGACACGAGGTATATATATCCTGTATTTGAAGAGCGTAAATATTCAAAACATGCTCTAGAACGTCAGAACAGATTCATGACATACTACAATAAGAGAGCAAACCAATGTGCTCTCCATCACGGAGTCACCCTGGTGCGTTAGAAAAAGAACGCGGAAGCGAATGTTAGACTTCTCGCATCAGCCATTGACCTGTTCTTTCACCGTTTCGTAGTTCTGATCTACTGCTACTGCGTAGTTTTCCCAGGCGCCCCAACCCGACATCGCCCGAGTCCGGCTTGCCCTGAGCGTGTTCCAGCGCAATCGATCCCCAGAACTGCTGGGCTAGTGTCCGCGGTAGAGAAGCAAATGGACATGGTGATGGGTTCTTCGGGACGTTGTGGTGGCGCTATGTGGTCGTCAGCGGAAATTTACCTAGGTGTATGTCTGCCCTGTTCTGCTCTGTATACCTTCGCCTGTGCCAATTCACCCCATCGCTGCTCAGTACTAGTAATCAAAAATAATTAAATGTCTTGGGTGGTGGCAGCGACACGAAACCGACCTTTGCCCCAGACAGCCAGATGTTGTCTGGCCACATAAATAAGCTCTCTGGTTACAACTTCGGCGGCGCTCTCCTCTCCCCTCCAAAATCATCTATCTCTGTGCTTCTTCTAAAGAACTTGACTCAATCTCTACTGCTTCCATCCCATTCCTCCTGCTGGCCCATCATCATGAGTCACAGCGTACCCCGTTTCCAGCAGCGCAGCTGTGTGCATTCCTCCGCGCTGGTCAATGTTCCTGCGTAAGCTTCTATCTTGTTCACCCCACTGATGATTTCGCCTGTATGGGCTCAAAGACCGACTTTCTATGGCATCTTGGTTTCGCGGATGGCTTTTATCTTCCCATAAAACAAATCTTCTTTTGCTAACCTGGGATACAAAACTAGAGACGGCTCCTATGACACCGCAAACCCTGGCTACATCCGCAAATACCTTCGATCGTACGGTCTGACGCCTCCGCGCGTGGAAAGCTATGAGACACAAAAGACAAGATGTATGGATGTGTTGCGCTGCCTCTGCTGCTTGCTGGGGTATTTAGGGGATATATTTTGTTGTGTTGGATTGGGGCCCTTTTGCTGACTGGTTCAATCAGGCTTGAGGCAGCTTGCTGTGAAAGCAACCGCCATCGACAAGTTCCTCTACCTCAGCACTCTACGCCGGAATAACGTCCATCTTTTCTACCGTTTGGTTGTAGACCATTTAAAGGTGGGAGGGAAATAATGCTGCCGATAGATTTACCGGTGTTCGCGCAGTTCTTGGGGCTAATCCCTCCTCTAGGAACTCACCCCGCTGATATACACGCCCGTTGTGGGTGAAGCTTGTCAGAGATGGTCCGAAATATACCAACAGCCTGAAGGTGGGAAATAAAATTTTGTCTATAGCTTTATTTAACTTGTTTTCCCCCCTTTTCCTTTGTTTACCCTACGGTTATGACTCACTAGGTTGTTTAGGAATGTATATCAGTTACGAGGATAGAGGCAATATTGCAGCTGTCATCCAAAATTGGCCCCAGCCACATGTCGATATTACCGTTATCACGGATGGCTCTAGAATCCTTGGCTTGGGAGACCTTGGCATCAACGGAATGGGTATTCCCATTGGAAAGCTTGCCCTATACACCGCCTGCGCTGGTATCAGGCCGGAAGCCACTCTGCCTCTAACCCTAGATCTGGGAACGAGCAATAAGGCGTTGAGAGAAGATCCTCTTTATCTAGGTAGTCGTCGAAACAAGGTGAGCCCAGAGCAAGAATTGGAATTTATGGACGAACTGATGACCGCTCTGACCGAGAAATGGCCTGGGTAAGTTAAAATTTCTCGGTTCTTTTTGCAAAATCCATTTACCGGTAGGCACTCTCTTTTACTTTGTCTTGCTAATAAGATACTCAGCGTTGTCATTCAATTTGAAGATTTCAAGAACCCATTCCCAGCTCTTGAACGGTACCGCCATAGATTTACCTGCTTCAATGACGACATCCAGGGAACCGGTGCGGTTATCCTTGCTGGAGTCATAAATGCCGTAAAACAATCTGGCATTCCGGCTAAGGAGCACAAAGCCGTCTTCCTTGGAGCAGGAAGTGCTGGTGTTGGTGTCGCCAAGCAAATTGTCGATTTCTTCGTTCGCGAAGGAATGACGGAAGACGAGGCCAAGGCCTGTTTCTACCTCGTTGACACTAAGGGTCTCGTGACGGCGGATCGAGGGGATCAACTTGCCTCGCATAAGGTTTACTTTGCACGAACTGATAATCAGGGCCTACAGTTAAAGACATTGAGTGAGGTTGTTGATCACGTCAAGCCCACCATGCTCATGGGCCTGTCGACCCTGGGAGGTGTATTTACCCCAGAGATCCTCAGAAGTATGGCCTCCTTCAGCAAGCGACCCATAATCTTCCCCCTCTCGAACCCGTCCGCGAACTCGGAATGCGACTTCGAATCTGCCATCATACACACCGATGGCCAGGCATTATTCGCCTCCGGCTCTCCCTTCCAGCCATTTTCCTATAAGAACTCCGCTGGACAGATAAAGACTTACTACCCAGGTCAGGGCAACAACATGTACGTCTTCCCCGGTATCGGTCTGGGGACCATCCTTAGCAAGGCCGTCGAAGTCACCGACAGCATGATCTACGCATCCGGCGAAGCTCTCTCCAAAACCCTTACCTCAGAGGAACTCGAACACGGCCTCCTCTACCCAGACCTCACCCGGATCAGAGATGTGAGCGTCATCGTAGCACGCGGAGTCATCCGCGCAGCGCAGGAGGCAAAGGTCGATCGGGAAACGGGCATTCGCGATCTGAGCAATGCAGACATGGATGCCTGGATCCGGTCGAAGATGTACGCGCCACATTCCGAGGTTGCGTCGTTGGAGCGCGAGGTGGGTATCCTGCTCTCGTCGATTGGCCGGCCGAGCTATAATAATAATAATGGCTGGGAGATGGTGTCAGATGAAGATGCGAATGATAAGGGGGCTAAGTTGTGAAACACAAATATAATTTCCTCTCCACCAACCACCAGGCGTCACCCTCCCTGCCTCCCGCCCCGCTCCCTCCGCCCCACCTCTTTTATTCCTTTGACCGACATGCTTTTGTTTTCGACCTGTTTGAGTCGTTTAGCGCTTTCCGTTTCCTGACCCCCTTTCCCTTTTGTTCTGTGATTTATTTATTATTTTTTTTCACATGCTGCATATCAATTAGCACGTGGTTGCAATTTTGTGCCATTCCATTTTCATGTGCTTCCCCCTTTTTGATTGCCTTCTCTTTTTATTCCCTGTTTTTTGGTATCGTGAGCTCATTTTGTCTTTTCTTTCGCGTTGGAATACATGGTGCGAAAACAGATTGGGCATATGCGTTGGGAAATGTTTTTTTTCTATTATCCCCACTGTTTTTATACACTGGTAAAGGGGGTTTTTTCCCCCTCCACTTGGTATTTGATCCTACGAAAAGCCCTATCTTAGATAGGGATGAATAGATGGATATACTCATACAGCAAGCAATATACAGGGGAAGGGTAAAGGGGGTGGAGGAGGATGGATTCCATGAAGTGAAATGATAATAAACATTGAATGGAGAGCTGGTTTTATTTACTTGTTTGTTTGTTTGTTTGTTTGTTTGTTTCCGTTTTGTCCTTTCTTTACTTTTCTGTTCTTTTCTTTGCTAGATTAAGGACACCTCTTATTCTCTTTGTGTTCAAACGTGGTTTGAATAATGAAAGATAAATTCAACAGCTATACGGTACGGGGATTCAAGTTGAAATTGAAGCTCAAGTTGCTCTTGTTAGCACCACCACCACCACCACCACCACCACCACATGCCAAAACCCCATTGCCCGAACCGAGAACACAGACATTATCCATGGATGCAACGAGAGAGTTACCTAGACTGGCACTAGTATAGCATCAGGCTTCCCATAGCTTCTTCCCCCTGCCTCCTCCGATGTTCGCAGCGGTTATCTATCGTATCTCCTTAGCATGATTTATTCTCCGAGCATGTGAATTTGCACAGGCCTGGCTGAATGAGCTTGTTAGCTTCTTAGCCCACTCGCTAGTTGCTTGGAGCTTGTACTGCGTAATGTATCCCGCCATGGGGAGATTCGGAAGAACATGGGCGTATCCTGCAGCATTGATGCAAGCCCAACAAGACTAGGTAACAGCTCCCCCCCCCCGGCGCAACGGCTGTGTGTCTTAGCTTGTCTGTCCCCGCAAGCTGGGGCTACCCAAGTATTTTTTTGAGTTCATCCGATCTTCCCATGGGTTTGGCTTGGCATGCAGCATCGCTCAGCTTGGGTGGAGTTGAAGTTTTTGCATGTATTTTTCGTCCTGTGGTTTGATTTATTCTCTACAGTGGATCATCACATGCATCACATGTTGCAGCGACCACCACCATGTTCTTGACCCCTGGAGATCTTGAAACTACACTTCTGTAATCTTGTAATTGCGGTAAAAAAGGTAAATTAAAAAATAAGAATAATATAAACTCGTCCCCCGCGACAGGCTGGTACTTGTGGGAAAAGGGGAGAGATACGTATTATTAGTAGGGTTTGCCGGGGGAAAAGAAGCGGAAAGGGGGAACCTCCAGAAAGAAGAGATAAAGCCAGTGAACGTCTGGAAAGCGTCAAGGATCAGTTATATATATATATATATATATATACATGCTTGACTTGATCAGGAAACGTGCACAGCTTCTGGATCCTTCTCATGTGCACGTGCCGAAATTGGCAATGTACCCGTCAACCACACATGGAAGAAGCTCCTCAGACTAGTAGCGCCTGCCTAACGGAAACCCTTAATGATTACCAGTTAACGCAACCTTAGAGACCCAAGATAGGAGTGGAAAGAGAAGAGCATATTTAAAGCTCGAGGAATCGCTGGAACCTGGAAAGCTTATGGATATAATTCTATAAGACCCACAAAATCTAGTCGACATCCATTGCTTTTTTTCCTCATTACTCCTCCGGGAATCAGATCCTAGGAAAAACGAAAAGAGAACAAATTGCATGCCTGAAAAACTGGCCGCTGGAGCCGTAATATGTGAATCGCTCGCATAGCCCAACAACAGCGACAAAGAAGGCAGCACACAAGATATTATCGGGGCATTTTGGGCAACAGTGCCTTGCAGTTCCTCAGTTGACGCATCCGACACAAGCAAGTCCTCATTGGATTTTGATTCAGTTATCGGCCTGTCATCAGTTGAAGAAGGCATGGAATTGGTATGTACGAGGGCTGGTCGAGTTCATTCATACGTAACTCGGGGTTGAGGAGATGGGTAGCCAGTCCGCAGAAAGAAAAGGTAGTTCAGAATCCTCACGGTTCCTGCGCAGCTTGTCATCAGTGATCCAACGTAAGCAACAGAATAGATTTGCCTATCCCCGTAACAGGATTCGGGAGAGGAAAAATGTAATATACAATTGAGCAACGCAGACGAGCCATTGACATACCAAGCTAGTGCCACAGTGTTAAAAATTTATGATCATTATTCCAAGTATATGCTAGTTCTGAATGGTGGCTTCTTGGACTCAAGAGTTCAACTAATGATTTTGAATGATAGCTGTATGCACCGATCCAACAATTGCCCTCGGGACTGCCCCCGTTAAATAGGCTTAACTTAACAGAATCGGCCACACATAGGGACTTAATTTGTTGGCATTGAGACACGTTAGAGCGAGAGATATTCTTTTTAAATATGCTTTCCCATAATCAATCCGACCCCATGCAGTATGGCAGTATGATAGGCGGGTGGAGAGACATATTAAGGGGAGACGGGAGACGGTACACGATTTGGCTGGTCCTAATCTTTCTCACTTGAGAAGTAGGCCGAGTAAATTATCTGCCTATATGAATGTAGGCACATTTTAGGATATATGCGGTGCTCTAGTAAGAATAGCCGTAAAAGTAATTCATTTATATATGTTAACGGTTGGAGTTGGTCAAGGGCGGTCTCCGCATTTGTCAAGGGTCATGATCCTGCTCCTGACTGGTGCGTACCCAAATCGAAGTTAACAGGGTCTCCGTTCCCCATGAACTGATTGCCAACTACCGGTCTTGCAACTTGCCCTCGGCCCGGGAAGAATGCTTGGTTAATCACCCCGCAAGCTGCACACGAAAACTCAACCTTCACATCTGCCGAGACTTTGGGACGACGCTGGACGCTGCGCGGCTGGCTACGAACTTGTGGGGTATGTTGCCTATTATTACAAAGGCCTGAGCCCTGGTCTTCCTGTGGCGCGCCAGAATTAAGTGCAGTAGGGACATGATGGGATCGAGCGAGAGCGTCTGGGCTTGGTTGTGGCATGCTAGGTTGAGGAATAATGTGGCTGCTTTCTGGAACGTCGAAGTCATCATCATCATCGTCATCAGTCCCTATATCCATCGGCAACAAGGGTTGGTTTTGTGACCACTCGCTAGCATGTTCGTCGTGTTGTTGTTGATGTTGCTGTTGCTGTTGTTGCTGTTGTTGTGGAAAGGAGCTACTAGTGGCTTCAATGGGGATCTGACCAGTCACTGGCCGTGTCTGACTGGGATTAGGGGGACGACCTCGGCGTTTACCCTTGAGCATATCTAGTTTCCGTAAAGCCCGATGTGCTTGTCTAGGAGCCACTTCGATGCCGTAATATCTTCTGATAGCTGCCACGGCCTCATCTGCTGTGACTTTGGTATTCGTATCAAAAAACTTGGGGATCTCTTTCTTCAGAAAGGCCATACGGGAGGCTTGGGCTCGCTGAATCGGAACCGCAGGAGCATCAAGGGTAGCGCGACAGGTATGAGTATCGGTGACAGAGGTTACATATGTGTAGTTCTGATTTGAACGGCATATGGCGCGAAAGGTACAATCGGTGGATGACCGGCAACCCAGGGCGACACTTTCTCTATTGCTTCTGATAACACAGAGATCCCAACGCTGTCTTATTGATGCCGCACGTACAAATGATTTAAAGGAATCCAGCGACTCGAATAATTGCCTCTTTTGAAGCCCAGTATACATCCCGTCCATTTTGGACGAGGAGGAACAGTCAATTTCTATGCAGGAAGGTCAGATCTCGCATGAAGATAGGAATCTACATACATTAATTAGTTCAATCCTTTGGAGAAGAGGGCTTACATACCTAGGGAGACGCTAAAAGAGGCGTTAGAAAGGGTGCTTTTAGGAATACTAGAATTCGCATCTGCGAGAGTTTCAAGTGATTCAATGGCTCGGATGCCACAAGAAGGGACGTAAAGCAGAAAGAAGGGTAGTAAATATTCATGCAGAATTGATTATTTGCGTTGTTTCAAACACTCTATGTGTGATCTAAGGGGGCTTGAACCTTGAAGAACTTCGCATTGACCAGGCGATATCGACGTCAATGAAGGTTCGAGTCAGGTTGTTGGACAAGACTTGCCTAGCCTGTCTCGGAAATCAGCGGATTGCTTAGCTCATCCTGCAGTCTTAGCGTTGATTAGTTATAACCATCCCCTTGCAATGAACACTGCTGCTACCATTCCAGGACCAAAAGCCTCAGCAGCCGCCCGACTATCCTCCCTTCTGTTTAGGAACTACTTAATTTGCTCTTACGGGGTATTATGGAAGCTTATACTTTGCTCGATCAAGCCCACGAAGGTGCGTGTTCCTGCTGCTATGCTTCTCTGCAACAACTTCCTTTGCTAATTGTCAACAATTTTATGGTCTAGATGCGCTTCATAAGACGCGGCTTCTGAACGTCGAAGAAAAGCCATTTAAACGAATTACGAAACGCCTTCTCACTCCCAACTCGCTGGTAGCCGCGCCATCTACATTGTTTCCAACTCCGCCACCCGAAAGCACTGATGAAGAAGCCGCGGCAGCACAGGCCGACGCTCACAAGCAGAAGCAACTTGAGGAATGGCGCCAGTTTCGCGAAGATATAACACTCGACTTTGCTGCTTTTGAGAGTAGCATTGCCAGAATTCAATTCCTACTTGCAAGCAATGAGAAAGAACGGAAACGTTATGCAGCCGAGAAGTTGAGAATTCAGTCAACAGCGCAAGCTGTGAGGGACAATACGGCTGAGTTGAGGATACAACTGGAAGAAGCACAGAAGACCCTTGCGTTACGTAAAACATACGATGACCTAGCGGATAAGATTACTTCGAATCGATTGCTACGACCCAGGGAGGACCAAGAGGCTAACCTTCAAAAGCTACATGCGGAAATCGCCCAGTTGGAGCAGGAAAGCAGAGAATATGCGCAAACGTGGGGTGAACGCAGAGAGCAATTTGGTAGAATTATGGAGGAAGGAATGAATCTTCGGCGATTAATTAGGGATGAGAAAGAGGAAGTTGAGAGGAGAGAAGGCATGGAGGAAGGCGAGGAGGGCGATGAGGGAGATGCCGGTTCGAAAGGGAGAGGAAGTGCCGTTGGGACTCCGAAGCCAGATCAAGATAGTGTAACCCCTTCGCACGTTGGGAATGAAGACTCGGGTCCTACCTCAGCACCATCCCAAATAGAGAAACACCGTCCTCATGTCACCGGTGGTGCGACTCCCCTGCGGCAAGCGATGAGTGCGGCGTCAACTGATGGGAAAGCCGCTACACAGGAGCCGGAAGATGAGACTATGATAGATGAAGGGGAAGTTACCGGAGATGAATCAGGGCCAGTAGGAACAGTAGACAGCGAGACAAGGCCTGATTCAAGAGCCACCGCAGAGCCCCAGGACGAGAAAGGTTCTGTTGAAGATAGGTTTGGAGACAAGATGGACACTAGCTAGAGCAGTAGCGACATGTGCCGGGATATTGCTACTCTACCCTACGTAGAACTCTGACTGAATAGGAGTTTGATTCCTAACCACAAATTATCGGTGATGAGATATGGTTTGCTCAGTAAACCCTCGCTCAAAAATAATCATTCACGCCTTAGGATTCACCCAGACCCTGATTTCCTTATAACCTGTAGCTATCGATACCCCCATGCTCCTAACAATGGCCCATATCTGCTTCGGGATATAAGTCACTAGGAAAAGTAGTGCAAAGCCAATATACCACAATACTTTCCCAGTTAAACCAAAGAGTGCGCCCATTGCTTTATAGGTTAACTCTCCGAAATCAAGCACTATATCATATACCTTAAGGGGGAATGAAATGAATACAACTCGCAGAACGTCGCAGAATCCATTCCAGATGTCACTGAGAGTAAGGGTGCGGAAGAAGGAGGCTATAGCGGTGAGTATGGTATGGACGAGTGAAGCGATCCTTTGAAAAAGGTTCGCTATCGTTGTCGCGATGGATGATAGTATAGACCATACCCACTTGGACACACTCTTGACAATTTTCGGCATCTCCACCGTGATGACTCTCCAAATATGTTTGGGCAAGGTACGGGTGCAAAATTTCCACAGATCCTTCGACACATCTGCGATGTCTTTGGGCATGCGTTTGGCCACTTTCCACAGCGATTGTAAGCACTTCTTGATTCTGGCTGGTGTCTGCTGGGCTTGATATTTTATCCATGGGAGCAACCCCGCTTTATTCACCCAACACCATTTGCAACCGCTCATCAGCGGCTCGACGATCCCTTTTTTAGGGATGGTCCAGAGGAAGAATTTCGGAATTTTGTAAACAAAAAAAGTGATGAACTCGAAAATGGACTTAAGGGCGTCTCTGGCTTTCGCCATGGACACTTCATGCGCAGTTCGCCATCGTTTCCATCCGCCACCTCGACGTGCGGGGAGATAATCGACGACATGCCTGTGCCCGTTCTTCGATGCCAAGCGAAGAGCAAGCTCTCCGTCTGGTGCGATCTTGGAGTCATCGCATTGATAGGTCTCGATGAACATCTTGACTAGTGGAAGATTCCCAAGCTCAGCAGCAAGCTGTAACGGAGTTCTCCTGATGGCAGCGCGTCCAACTGGTAATAAACGGAATCCCTGAATCCGAGTTAGAATAATCACTAAGTGTTATACTATAACCCAAAAGTGTTCTCCTTTAAGAAATTATGCAATTCTCCTTGCTGCGAATGATGTTTTAAACAAGAAAAGGGGATATTCCCACCGAAATCGCATACGCGTCAGGTTCCGCACCAAGATCAACCAATTCTTGAATCGTCCTTGTTCTTCCTGCCTTAACAGCAGCCAGCAACGGAGACATACCATCCGTGTCGATGACATTCGGGGAAACCAGGTTTTGTGATATAAGCCATGAAATGGTTTCGCTCTTCCCAGCAGAGATGGATCTAAAAAGAAGACGGGTGATAGCGAGTGCGATGAATGACAATTCATCCGTTGCAAGTTCGCCTCTGTAAATTTCAAATTGGGCGCGAGATGATACGATATCCGATAATCGTCGATGTTCATCCTGTAACAGGTCTTTGACAATGTGCGGATCAAGTTGAGATTCATCAGTGGATGACAAAAGCCCATTCAGAAATATCTGGATTCTATCTTGGCCATCTTCTCGCTCAGGGTGTTCTTGGTTTTCGTCATCTTCCGTGTACCGCGGAAGACCCTCCTCATTCTCCGTATATAGCGGAAGTTGCTCAACCGCAGGGGTGTAGATTGCACCTAGGTGTTTTACGAACGTACTCATGTTGAATTAAGAACAGCAGACTGCTACTTCATGTGGGTGCTGGAAGTCGGAAGCGAATGTAAGGCACAAAATACCGAGAAGAAACGTAAAACATCAGGATCAGAAGCATGGCAGTCCTCCTCCCTTTCAACAACTAGGCTGACGTGAATTCCTACTCCGCCATTGACGCCAAGTGAGCTGGTTAGTTGCACTTGTTTGTCCACTCGCTAGCAGGGCCACTTATTTGGTCTAGGAGTTTAGCCACATTAACCTAAAGTGAACTCTCCGAAAAATTATACTTAAAAATAGTTTTCTAGGCAGCGTGTTTTACCTTTGAAGACCGCTTAGACTCCGAGTGGACGATCAGTGATCGCATATGGTTTCACTATGAGATAGATAGAAAGGAAAGGTGACCAAAATTTATACCGCTATGAAATATTGTGCGGACACCCTCATAAGAAAAGTTGTAAGTTATCCATTGTCAATTGTGTATGTCATCCATGGAATCCAAGGTTGTGAAAGACCATAAAGACCATCATCATCTATGCCTTTCGGTTTCAGAGGAATTATTACTATTCGGTGGAGGTGTCATGTGGCCAATGCAAATAGCAGTCCATGGACTAATATCTGCACTCTGGTGGGCTGGTTAACTGCAACCCGCCAGAACGAATAGAGCAGATATTGGAAAGCTTTCAGATTTATATCAATGATGGAAATAGTAAATACAAACGGGGTAGCAGATCACGACACCTCCCTGATGGATGTCTTAGCCTGTGAAATAGCCTCCTTCGCTGCATTGATATCGGCCACGTTGCTTCCCATTCCTTTCTGTCCTTCTTCAACCTGGATATCAAGCAATGGTTAATATACCGGGGCAGAATCACAAATAGTGCATATTAAAGCATTTAAATATTTCGCGAAGCGAGAAGCAGGTCCAGAGATATTCGAGAGTCCGAGACAAACAATATAACAAGATGTAGGGGATTTTGATAGGAATAGAAACTTACGAGCAAATGGTCAACTTTAGCGATACTTTCTAATATTTTCTGTTTCATATTTGGAAGGACTTTTCTCGTCTCTTCCAGTGCTTGGCGCTGTTTATGCAAGTTAGAATGTCAACCTAACAAAGTAGAGGAATCAGCGCTGTAGTAGGCGACACCTCTTGTTTAAGCATATATTCCCGGTTGCCATCCACATCTTCACCAGGTTGCTCGGCCTCAAGACGTTTGATGCGATCCTCCTGCTGCTTTAGTTCGTGGTGATATGAGGCTTCCTCCTTTACTAGCCGCTGGACCGCTGCGGTTGCAATTGAGAGGGGGGACAGAGGAGGCATTTTTCTGATCGTACGTTGTTTCCTCTCGTCGCACTTGCGTAATCGCACTTCTTGACTGTCGATATCTGTACAGAGTCAGGGAGTTAGAGTATACAGACATTGGCTAGTCATCCTATGTGTGTGATTGAAAGAGCCTTGGTAAACTGTGATTGTATGACCTGGAAGACAACAGTGAAATGAATGAGAGGCAAAAAGGTAGGTCGAACACTTGAGCAAAACTCAATCGTTTCGTGCTACGGCCTTCAGGCTCAAACACAGCAACAAATGAAATGGCTCAGAAAGGAGAAGAACGACAAAAAGAAAATTCCACAAACATCGAAGCACGCAAAACTGCAATAATTCGTTTATGATATTGAAGCAAGGATGGTCATGGTTACAGAATGAAAATATCCTGAATAGTATTTGTGTAAAGTTTGGAGTAACAGAAAGCGCATAGTGCATTTTCACACGGGGTATTGGATTGCGGCAATTCTAATGGTTAAGGGTTTATATAGGTTAATGAAAATATACTTACTTAAATGTCTTCTTCTAGATTCGTGGCCGACGGTATAATGAGCCCGTGAGAATCAACAGAGTTGTGCAGCTGCTTCTGTCGTGTTTTGGTGTTTTTCTGATGAGGTCATCCAGGCACCGGTTGGTTTTGGCGGGGTTGGATAATCACGTAATCTTGACCATCGGCATATTGTAGGCAGACCAAATCGGGACATCGACGCCACGAACATACATACATTGTCCACGATTCCAGGCCATGATCTTCCACACGCAGCCTGCAGAATATGTCGTATTAATGAATGCATATCAGAAAATATACCCATTGAGCCACGAACAAGCCGTCAATGTATGGTTTTCGAGATGCTTCTAGAGATCACCTACTTAACCCATCCTCGTTCCTCCACTTGTTCTACCTGCTCAAGCAGGATATTCAGCCAATGGAGACACCTCAAATGTCTCTAGCATAGTACGGAAGATATCATTGACCCTTTATAGAAGGAGCAACGCGCGTCAAATGCATGTCTTGCGTGTTTGAGCGTCGATATGCGACATGTCTCAAGGCCTGATGTCTCTGGGTAAGGGTTGGAACACCTTGCATAACAGCCGTCATAACTGGCTCAGCGGAAGGGAAAAACTAGGAGAAGGAAAGGGGCAACTGAGAGAACAAATGGCCACATCTCCATTGAAATCTTGCGGCGAGAGCGTGCTGTTCTTTAGCCATTTTTCATAGTTTTCCCTTGGCCAGTTACGTGTTTGTGGGGACAGCATCAACTATGTCGTCTCTACAAAATACCAATTGGTGTGACAAGCACACAACCCTGGAATCGATCATTCAAATCCTAAAATCAACTTGTTGGACATTGGGGAAAGTCGATCGAGCGCCAAATGGTCCATTGTCGATTAGATCTTGTGCCTTACTGATTGGCATACAATGGCCCGGCAAAGAAAGCTCCAATTTTAGATCAGATGCAACCTGCGGAATGGTTCTTCGCCGTATCGCACAGCACCACAGCTCGTCTGACACCCAAGGCTCAAAAACATCCCCCCGCAACGCAAATACTTTCCGCCTAGACCATCTAGAAAACCTGAGGGAGCCTGGCCTGAGGGCGCATACCACCGTTACACCTTTATTATTCGTCCTTTTGCCACTGCCAGTTGTGCAAATCCATTAGGGGTGGTTAGGCCATCCGTTCAGGAAGTTAATATCAATATACTAGAATTGGAAACATCAAAATATAGTTCGGTATTTTCGGCTCTAGTTCTTTGATAATATCGTCTTTTACGTTTACTTGATATCTCATCACTGGTGGGTGCAGAATCTACTTACTCTTTATATATTTTGTTCTACGCCTTTCTTCGTGCCATCATTCATTCATTTTATTTATTTAAATATTTTCTTGGTTGAGTCTACATTGCTTTACCATTCGAACGTGTTACGGAAAGGGAGCAGAACAGGAATATAAAAGAAGTTAAGATGGCATTGGGGGTATTAGACGACAATAAGCTTGCAGAAGTTCCAGGAACATCTCTCTTGGATAAAGGGAGAAGTGATGGTTAGTACCGCTCCCAAAACAGTGAAAGAATACTGAAACTGTGATTAGAACTTGATACACGAAACTTGAATTTGAAGACAAAGCACGGGGTGGTTCTTGTGCCTCAGCCGAGTGACAATGTGAATGATCCATACAACTGGTAACATCGACGCTTCTATCTTGCAGCCGGTGCCGTAGGCTTAATTGTCTGTTAGGCCGGATATTAAGAAGAACATTGCTATTTGGGCGTTGGCCCTGACTTCTGGGGTTGCGGTCTCGTGAGAACCTTCTTTGTCACTCTCAATATAACGTTGTTGTCTTGAATCTACTGATTTGTTGGCAATGATATTTTAGGCTTGGGCCGATAATCAGCCCCGGTTTGCTCGTTGCTTCTAAGAGATATCATGTATCACTGGATCAAGTTTCAACATTTCTAATTGGCGTCCTGATCCTGTCCATCGGATCAGGTACTTTCTTCACCGCAGCAGCAGCAACTATCTGGGGCAAACGCCCGGTATTCATTATATCAACAGCGATTTTATTAATAACATGTGTATGGGGTTACTTTGCGACGGTGAGTTTTAGGACGATGTCGCCAATTTTGTGGAGCTAATATCATATTACTTCAAGTCCTTCGAATCGCTGTGGATCATGCGAATTGTGCAAGGGATATCAGCTGCCCCTTTGGAAACCCTTGTGACATCCACTGTATCCGATATATTCTTTGTTCACGAGCGAGGGCAGAAACTCGCCATATGGGGTATAGCAATTACGTCTGGTGTCATACTTAGGTAAGGTCCCAGCCAAGTAGTTGTTCACATTTCCATACAGCCTAGGGCAATACTAAGCAACAAGTTCAGTCAAGTTGTGTCTGGTTATATCATTCAGAATCTCGGCCTGTTGACCCCCTTTGGCATCACAGCATTAGTACTATGCTTACTGCTTCCCGCAATCTTTTTCCTTGTTCCCGAAACTGCGGATGTGCTACATAAATCTGGACAAACCAATGAGAAACTAACCACTGCACACGGTGGTAAAAATGCGCCCAAGAGGACATATGGCGAGGAATTGAAGATATTCAATGGTCGGATATCGGATAAAAGTTTCTGGGCGCTAGCAGCGAAACCTTTACCCCTGATTACATTCCCAGCTGTCATCTTTAGCACGTTTATCCATGGTAGCTTTCTGACATGGCTCGTGGTATTCGCCATTCTGTCCACAAATGTATTCACAGGCCCTCAATATGGACTCACACCCTCCCAAATTGGCCTGACAAACCTTCCCTTGCTTGGTGTCTGTCTTCTTGGGACTCCACTTTCCGGGGCCATTGCTGACTGGCTCGTGTGCCTCATGGCACGGCGAAATAACGGTATCTATGAACCCGAGTTCCGCCTCCTCCTAATGATTCCCGCAACGATATTTTCGACTGCCGGATTTATAGGATATGGGCTTAGCATCGATCGCGGCGCAGCTGTCGCAGTCCCAGTCACCTTTATGGCACTACACTCGCTATCTATCCCCTTTGCCACCTCAGCCAGCTTCACATACGTGATTGACTGCCACCCGAAAGACGCCAACCAGGCCTTTGTAACAATCAATTTTGCCAAGGCTGTGTTTATATTTATTGCCAGCATGTTTGTCAATGGGTGGTACTCGGCACGGGGGCCAAGGGTGGTTTTCACGTGGATTACCGGGCTTAATTTGGCGTTTAGCATGATGACGATTCCGATGTATGTTTATGGGAAGAGGTTTAGGAGTATTGTATGTATTTTCTAACCCCCCTGTAGCCTACCCAATTGCTTTCCACTGTTCTTGCCAAAAATTCTTCCTTCGAGCATTTGGGATTTTTTTTGCTGACTTTGATTCGTCCCATGCCACACCCAGATTGCGCGGAGTTCCACTCTCAACAAACTTTGAGGTAAATACGTATATATCCACGATTACCACATCTCCCCGCACGGCTGTACGCAAAATTGGTGGCGAATAGTGGAAATATATGTGTTTCGGGTCTCATACCCCTTTCAGGCGGCTAAAATGAGTAGGAAGTTTCCTCCGGCATGATGTTGATAATCTAGATCTATGGCGAGTTGAGTTTTATGACTGAATGTGTTTCCTTAAAAAAATATTTTACATTTTCCATAAAGATCTTAATTTGGCCTAAGAGCGGCGTAGCTATATATACATAACTATGTAGCAGTTTGAGAAGAATTATCAGGTTTTATCCCAACAAGGGTAGGGGTGAATACATCCTTGATTTTATTCAATTTGTTCCAAAACCACCACAACAACAACAACTAAGATCCAACTTCAACTGTCATGCAAAGTGCGGGGCCTTTTTTGCTTTCGTACAGCCCCATCTCATTCGCGATTCGCAAACACACCTCCTTCCACACAATAGATACATCAACCAAGCCCGTAGGTATCTTCCCAGCCACCTTGTCATTTTGATCCCCAGGCGCCCGCCAACCGAGCTTCCTATCAATGATGACAACGTCTCTCGAATCCTGACCCTTGGAGGAATACAAGTCCTTCGTCCTCCCCCAAAAGGATTTCTTCGTTGGGGCCGACGTTGTGCGTACCGAGGGTTCTGGAGACGGTGCGGGAGCACTTGCCGCGTCAACAGCATCGCTGGATGTTTCGCCGTTAACGGGGAGATGTAGTCGATGGCCACTAGCTACAAGCTTTGCCTTGATAGCCGAGTCCAGCTCGGCAACAACCGCGGGCTGCCGCCAGAATTCCATAGCGTTCTCCTCGCCTTGGAGGCGGATCAACTTGACGACTTCGCTGGACGGGAAGCCGACGATTTGGGGTTCTACGGGCGTTGTGTAGGCGTTGCTGACTGCATCTTGTAGGCTGGAGACGGATGAGGGGACAAGGACAAAGGTTGTTTTGTAGAGCCCTGAGGCGCCTTGGGAGAGTAGGAGGGGGTCAACGTATCTTGTTAGGATGGAGTTGATTCGTTGGGTTCGGGCATCAGCAAGCTGAGTTGGAAGAGGCAGTGGAGAATGTAGCGAGCTGGGGATTTCTTTGGATGTGGCTTTGTGGTAAGATGCTGAAGAGAGCGACTCCTCATACGAAGGTGCCGGGTCGTCCAGGCGATTTTCATAAGGGTTCGAATCCATGAAGGCGGACTCGAATTAGCTGTGTTTTTACTTTCGGTTCCTTTCTTTTTACCAGCAAAGACATTTGATTGCTCTACAGCGGGTGACTTTACTGCGGCGACACAGGTTCTAAATTTAAAAAAGGATGAGTGAGTGAATGAAAGAAAAAACCCAGAGACGATACTTCAGGATGCGGGGTGAGTATGGCAAGGGTGATTCGCCAATGACATGATCCCTACCTATCGTTAGTCTGCTCTAGTCCTGGTTCGCGAACGGCATAAGTCTCGTCTCCCGATCAAATCACAAGCAGACGGAAAATCGGTGATTCGCAGTCCTACATAACATGTAGTGAGCCTGCTGAGGCTGTGCGGTGTTGGAATCAAAGCAGACAAGTAAGCGCTGCGGTCTAAGGAAAATACGAAACAGGATGTATCCGTTTCCCTTTTCCTGCCTTGCGAATCTCCGAATCTCCCGCGGAAGACAGTTCCAGAAGGTCGGATGCGCGTAGCAGACCCGGAGACAGTCGCCAGCAACAAGGCCGTCTGTCAACAGTGTCGGGTTTTGTCTCAAATACTAAGTTAGCACAGATTACCAAGTTGCTTGGCCCGTTGATCATGTGGATGATGTCGCTGTGAGTGTAGCACGGCCAGTTTGCATGGCCAGAACCATCTGCGGCATAAATCGCAAGAGTTCTCCTAGTATCGCATGGATCTATCCCAGGAGCAAATATCCTTTCGATCACGGGAGGCGGAGTCGAGTCAGCCCCGGAGCCGCCCTAGTCGCCTTCGGGTTTAGACTCCGCCATATCAGCCTCCGCCCTACGTCACGGGACTCTCCTCCTGCCAAGCTTGGCGGCTCCGCCTCACTGGGCCCAGGCTTGGCAACAACCTCCGTCCATCCCCGGCCAGTTCGGACTGCAAAACGGCCCATCGCGTCCCTTTGCATGCCCAATATGCCCAAAGATCCGCGGCAGAGTTGGCAAAACGCCATGCACAGCTTCGGAAAACACGGGATGTGGCCGTTTGGGCCTCTCCCCTCTGCGTGCCGGGGTTAATGGCGCTAGCATTTGAGAAGCAACCGTCGAACAAAATGGCATGGTCCATTGGCTGCATTTACCCTGGCCCCCAAATCTATCCCGTCAAGATCCCTTCGATGTCAGTTCCTGGAAACTGGTGATCGTAGAAAGAGATTCGGCTCTGGCATCCCTCGTTCCTGGACGCTAAAAGGCTAAATTAGCGTAAGCCTAAAACAGGCCTCCTTGGATCAACCAGCGGCATCATGTTGATATCATAGGTACCGCACATAGAGCCTCGATGGGGGTGAAAGAGACACACGAAGTCGCTTCTTGGGGCTAGGATTATGCGGCTTGAAAGCCTTTCTCCGAGAGACCGCACTCGGCCCATTTTCGATGTTTGTCAGGGTAGAACCTTGCTTGGCCTTGGTGTCAATGGCGCCAACAGAGATCGCTAACACGGTGCTAGCAATGCCGTGCATGCGACTGCGGGACTTACCTGATTGGCCAAAGCCTGGCGACAAGGCTGCCGCGGAGCTCCTTGTGGCTGCTCCCAATCCGGATGCTTCTCGGCTGGCCGTTCCTGCCATTTCGTCATGGTGAGTGGTGGCCTTGCGTGGTGAATTTCATCTCGTATTTGTGTTATATACATATATATATGTCGGCCTCGTCCCCGTTTTCAAAGCTGCAATTCGCTTCAAACCGCTTTCACTCACTCTCTTCTCTCATTGAGAACCACATACTAACTATTTGATACTGCAATACCCATCAAGGGGAAAAAAACACATAGCTCAAGATTGACGATGTGGTATGCTTGTATTCTCGTTCTTGTTTTCATTGCTATTTCTATTCATCATTCATGGCTATTAACTCCAACTTTTCCCTCAGGTACAACGTTTCAGAGCCGAACGAGTACCTCGTTCTCACGGGAGGTGGCATCAATGACGTGCTTATAAAGAAAACGGCGTTTGTGATGCCATGGCAAAAAGTAGGTTGCTAGAGCGCATCGATCACTCTGCCTTCATAGAAAAGTCTTCAGGGCAGGGTGCTTTCCAAATGAAAGTTGAGAGTCTAACAGAGGTCAACCACAGTGCACCCGAATTTCAATTTCGCCGTTCGATTTCTCAATGAATCTCCAGGCCATGACCATCGAAAAGCTTCAGTTTTCTCTCCCAGCCGTCTTCACAATCGGTCCTGATAACAATATCGATTCCCTCAAGAAGTATGCTCTCCTCCTTTCCGGAGAGGCTGATGGGGTAAAAGCTGCCAAATCGGCAACCACAGGGAATCATGTTCAAGATATCGTGAAGGGCATCATCGAGGGCGAGACTCGCGTGATTGTGTCTGGCATGACAATGGAAGAAATCTTCAAGGAACGACACGTCTTCAAGCAGCATGTCATCGAGAATGTCCAAAATGAGCTGGATCAATTTGGTCTGAGGATGTAAGTACTGGTGTGCTTCAATACAGCATTGTCTGTGATGCTTACTCCGAAATCATAGCTACAACGCCAACGTTAAAGAGCTTCAAGATACTCCAGGAAGCGAATATTTCACATTGGTAAGTTCCTTATTCTGCTTAGGATGCGCGGAGATATGTGCTGACCATTCGGCAATTTAGCTCAGTCGAAAAGCGCATGAAGGTGCGCTGAATCAAGCCAAAATTGACGTCGCAGAGGCTCGAATGAGAGGTGAAATTGGAGAGGCCGAAAAGCGAGGCAAAACAAAGCAAGAGATATCCAAAATCGATGCAGAAACAGCCGTTCTAGAAACCAAGCGCCGAAGCGAGAAAGCGCAGGCAGATGCTCAGCTTACAAATCGCCAAACAGAGCTCGATATGGGCATTCGACTTGGGAAGATATCCGCCCAGCGCCAAGCAGAGATGAAAGATGCCGAGTTGCAGAAACAGGTCGAGACCAAACGAGCAGAAACGGAATTGGAACGCCTCCGGGCAATCGATGTGACCAAGAGCAAGATCGCAAGGGAGGCTGCTGAACAGAACGCTGATGCAGACCTCTACACCAAAATGAAAACCGCTGACGCTGTGATGTATAAACAAAAGATGGACGCTGATGCACACTGTGAGTATTTGACCGCTCTCCGCTCACTTCATCTGACTTTGGAATCATCTAAAACGCCCCACTAACCCGTGGAATGCCTCTAGACTATCGCGTCTCCAAGGATGCAGAGGCGGCATTTTTGGCCAAAACGAAAGAGGCGGAAGCTGCCTACATCGCGAAGAAAAAAGAAGCTCAAGGTATCGCCGAGACGGCCAAGGCTTACGCTGCGATGGCAGATGTATTTGGCGGACCGCAGGGCTTCCTACAATACCTTATGATTCAGAATAAAACGTACGAGGCACTCGCCAGAGCAAATGGAGAAGCTATCAAAGGCCTTGAACCCAAGATTACGGTCTGGAACACCGGTTAGTTTATCCACTCCCTCACGCAAAATGTATTTTCCTGTTAGTTCAGCAACTAAAGATAGCGCGAATTCAGGTTCATCTGGCGATGCGTCACAGGATACCACTGCCCCAATCCGGAACCTCATGCAAAGCCTTCCACCGCTTTTCTCCACTATCCATGAGCAAACTGGGATCTCTCCCCCGACGTGGATGGCTCAGCTTCCGCACACCCAGAATCAGCCAAACTCTACCGGACAGGCTAATGACATTAAGGCGAAGCTCAAGTAGCCCTCTATAGATGAAGAACCATAAATTTTGTGGTTTGATCTATCCTTATGAAATATCATGTTGGAGGAGGCATCTATCTGGTTGGTTTTATGGGACTCCTACTTCCGCTTGCTTGTCGGTCTTTTGGTTATTTCGTTGCATTGTACAGTACAATAATTTCTCGTTTTATCTTCAATTCCTTCTTTCTCTCCTTTACCACTCCCGGATTTCAACCCGGAATCTGATACCCACAAACTGCCGCTCAACAAGAGCAGGACAGATCTTCTCATTTTCCAAAGTTTCTTTTCTTTTCCTATCTTTCCTCTCTTTCTTTTAGTTTGTTACGCTCTTTTCCTTTTTTTCTCTTTTGTATATACTGCTTATAATACCCCTGTGACATGGAATAGAAATTACATTTTTCATAACTATATGTGCATGTACCTGCATCCTTTCGAATTCAAAAGTGAAAATGAAGTGGGGTGTAAACCATGCTGGGAGCTACAACAGCAACTATTATATTAATCCGCGAGTGGCAATCGCCATTCCTCCCTGGCAAGAAGCCCCACGCCTTGGAAGGGGTTGTGGCATAGTTTAACAAAGGAGTAAATCCTGTGCCGAGGCAACTTCCAACATGCGGCGTTTCGGAATTCCACAAGCTCATAATCAGCACCAGGAGGAACATCAGGAAGTGGTTTGGATAAATTAGCGTGTGTATCTCTACTTGATTTGATCTCTTCCTTTCAGCCAGGACAAGCTCCATCACCACATGGATATTTTTATGAACAAAGCAATTCCCTCTGTGTGCTCTACTTCTTTGTCCTACATACCGGTGCTCAAAGCAATAAAGGAGACAGGGTAATTTGGTAAAACTGAAGAGGGATACTTTTTTCTTTTTTTTCTTGTAAGTAATCAGCAGTCGAGGTGGACGATGTGATGAAGAGGAGAGGTGAGTCGTGGGCTATTATTATCAACCAAAGGGAGGTTATCAATTACATACAAAATGTAATGCGACTAATCTTGAAATAGCAAAACTGACGAGATTCACCGATCCCGGGATGCCGCGAGCCGACACCAGAATCTAGATATATATATCATCGTTTCAAGTAGCGAGGATGGGAGTTTGGAACCGGAGACATCCTAGCCTCACCAGGGCAATGTTTCCAACGGCAAATGTTTTTACTCGGTGTCGTTTTTGTAGTGTACGTCTCATATCGTTATATACATTATATATATCTCAATTCAATAGGCTGATACAACGTTTTCTCATTGTATGCAGATGGCGCGGAGACTGGAGCCGGAGACTTTCAGTCTGCCAAGGACCGTTTTTTCAGCTCGGAGATAGCTTTTCGGATTTGCTACCTTCACGTATATCGTTGGATCTCTACCTATGACCAACACAGAAGGATTCCAGGGGTAACGTGCTACCTCTATTTCCAGAGCAAGAAAGTGGAGGGGAGTCGAAGAACTTTACATGTGCAATCATGAAAAGTAGGAGAGACGAAAAACATATGGCTTTTGGCAGTCCTGTGGTGGGGTGATAGAGATGGTACACAGTGCTCCGCACAGCGAACATTGAGCTAAGAATCTCGTCCAAGCTTGTTCGACGTTGGATCTAACCATCCAGCGTTTCTTCTGCTAATGATAATACTCTGTCTCTGGTTGGCCCACTAGTGAAGCAGCACTGGCGTTAGTTCGATCGACCAGGTTGCAATGCGATACCAATGATACAACATCGACAAGCTATGGCTTGGGTCATGCCGGGATTATGCTCTTCAGGCGGGGTGGCCCGCAACTTCCCTGAGAAGAAAGCAAAGACGACAGATTGGGCCAAAGAGCCATCACGAAGACTTCGGGTTGGACAAAGGGTTGCCATTATTATTTAATGAAACATATCGATTGCTGTGGCTGATGGGATACGCTAATAACGGAGTATATAAGGCGGGCGGGGGCCCATTTTTGAGCGAGCCATAAAGCGTGAATAGTTCAATCAGATATCCAAATATTCCTTTTATGCATAGAGAGGATTGCTTCGGGAGATTCCAACAAGCGAGTGCCAAATTGAATATCGCAGACGAAACAACATCGTAATAATGAGCGAAGTTCAAAATACTCCCGTTGCTCAACCGGCAGCTTCTGCTGACCCCCTGCCCGAATTATCCGCCGAAGACTTCGAAGTTTTCAACTTCTTTGCAGAGAAAATGGACTTCCATGTCAGTAGATCAAAGAGGAAGATATTCCAAATTCCACTTATCCTTTCACTATACAACGATGCTGACATCTTATGCAGCATAACGAGTTTCGAGTTTCATGGACGAAATTATACGATGCTTGCGTTGCCAACGAGCTGCCCAAGGACATGTCTTTGGAGCAGTTCATCCAACTCGGAACGGAATTCTGCAATAACCTGGAGATCCACCACTCCTTGGAGGAGGCATGGGTCTTTCCAATTTTGGGCCAGCGCATGCCAGCATTCAAAGATGAACATAAGAAAGTCGAACTGCTCGTTCAGCACACACATATCCACACGGGCCTGACGAATCTACTCGAGTATCTTTCCGCGTGCAAGGAAGGCAAGAAGGAGTTCGCCTTGGAAGACCTGAAGGCGGTTATGGATGGGTTTAGGGAGATATTGTGGGTGCACATGGATAACGAGGTAGATGAACTTCGGCCTGACAAATTGCGGAAGTACTGGTCGCTCGAGGAAATAATGGCCATGCCTTTCTACGATCCCGTCAAATAGACAATATGTTTTAAGGAGATTGTGCAGCTCTGCAAAGTGAGTTAGCTATGCCCATGTATAGTACATGTACGGTACATGCACATATGTGAAATACGTCTTGCTCGACTCCTAGGTATTCCATGGAACTCACTTTTCCCCCCTTCTTTCCTTATTTGTTGCGATTCAATAAAAGCATCCATACACAAGGTCTTTATTGTTCCCGAGGTAGGATTGGACCACAAATGGCGGATTGCACATAAAGCAAGGAAGATTTCGACTCTACATAGCTAAATTCTCTATATCATGCTGGGAGCCTGAATCGAACGTTCCCTCTTCGTTTTCAGAAGATTATTTAAAGAATCGAGCCAAGATTCCATGGCTGCCTTTGCTCAACACGTTCCGCACGACTTTCCTTTTGGATTCGTTGGACAACGTCTCCCATGGAGACACCTGCATTTATATATAGATTGTCTACTTCCTTTTTCGTAAACTTTGCTATTTCTGGCTAGCAGAAGTAAACGAGAGGATTGGATTCGAATTGGTACACATAATTATTAACTATGTTTTCCAATGTGGCCTGTTGATAACTGGCATGATGGTGACCATATCAAAATTCTGTTTCTCCAATGTTAGTAAAATCCCACAAAATCCCAGGAAAGTGTGAGAAAGCACAAACCAAAGCCAGTTAAATGAGATGCCAATTCCCTCTAGCGTGGAGGGGTAAGATCGCAGGAACAGGGACACATAGGTCGCAATTTAGTGGGGCTTCGAATATAAGTATATTATCTGAGTCAGAGATGTCGCGAAGAGCAAGAACTGTAGGTAGAGGATTCACAACACTTGGCTCTGCAGCTGTCTCTTTGGAACTCAGCGATATCAACGTCAGCATGGACAGCGGAAGTGCCGGATGACCATGACCCCCAAATCTTTGGGCGAACTTGATTGACAAGAAAACAGATGACAAATGATCCAATGAGGGACACCATTTAGATCCTTTTATAGTGTAAGCCTCACATGTTCACGAGGAGCTGGTATTCATGGACGAAGCGAGATAGACACCGCAAAGGAGCAAAACAAAGATTGATGCTCAGCCGAACGCTTAATTCCTATCATAAACACACTTACCTCTTAAAAGGCGAACCATACCAATACCCACGCCAAAGCCATCTACATAGCCCACTGTCATTCAAAGTATTCCTCAACAAGGACGTTCAGGATACACCCGGCAAAACGGCCCAGGTTGCATACGCCGACGAGAACTCCCATTCGACTATCGCTAGGATGGTGTGTTGCATCCAGGAAGTGTTGGTTGCCAACAACGCCGCTAAAAACACTTTGATCGTAGCCTGCGAAATAAACCATGCATTAAAAGAAATGTCTCTCCCGAAATATATGGACATGATATTGCTTTCACATATTCTTACCGAAGGGTATACGCGCTATTTCGTAGGTGATGGTGATAGCCGATTGAAGGGAAAGCCCCCCCCAAACATCTCATTCCTCCAAAGGTGGCGAACGAGCACAGTTGCCGTGATGAACTCTTCAGGGATAGAATCGGCTTTTTGACACACTGCGGGTGCCATCATATCTCTCGTTATACGCGTGCATGAGCCCAGTTAATTGCGCGGTGCCATCAAATGCTTCAAGGAAGGCGCAACTAAGTACTCTCATTGTTGCCAAAGGGGAGAAATCCCAATAATAACGAAACATTCGTTCCCATGTCACACAAACCTGCCCGCATATGGTGATACAGAGACTCGCCATTGGATAAAATAGCACGGAATATGTCGTACGCGTGCGTCAGTCCAACTTCAGCAATCATAACGCTACGTACGGTCGATCATAGGAAACTATAGCGAATTTTTATTGCTGCAGAATACAGATGGATTCGTAGTTCAGTCGTCTGGGTCGAGCGCAGGGGAGCGGAAGACTGACTCCTGGCGGAAATAACAATCCAAAGAAAAATTGCCTCCTTTCCTCTATTGATATGTTCCTCTTGTTTCTATAGAATACTGTAGTCTGTAAACTCTCTAGTAGGCACTTTTCTTTCAAACATGATATCGAGCTCCTCGTAAGTTCGTCCTTTAGTTTCAGGAACGTAAAAATAAGTCCATACAAAACTCATGGAAGCAAGACCCTATGGTCTGAGTCAACAGAAAAATTTTCAAGCAAGAGTTGGTGAGGTGCCTAATTACTTACGCCAAAAATGAATCCTATTTTCCCTCTCATATTCCCGGCATCTGGATTAATCATGTAAGGAATCATGACAGTGATGACTATGCCCAGAATAGCTTGTATAGCTGTTGAAATAGCAATAGTCTTGCCACGAAGCTTGGTCGCCGAACATTCACATAGAATAACGAAACACACTGGTCCGACGGAGAGGTTGTAAATCAAATTCCACACCAGCATCATGGAAGTCTGAACCCAGGCTATCGAAGGACGTTGCATATAGTTGGGCACGCAATCCAGAATGCCAATGATAAAGAGAATTGTCGCGAGTCCAAGAAGCCCGCTACTATAGATCGCTCGGCGGCCGAAGTATGCAAGGAGAATCCAGGATAAAATGCATCCCAGAAATCCCACCCCTAGTAAGCTGATCTATGAAGACATTTAAGCTCATTTGCCGTGCATTGGTGAAATAGATACAACTTACACCCATATTATATGCATCGTCAGTAGAAAGACCAATCACTAAACAAAATTTAGTTAAAATCAATTTCCAGGGGCAGCAGGCATCACTAACGAGTGAAAAAGTAGTTGGAAAACCCAATGAGATAAACCCCGCTAAGAATCTGAATGCTATACACTCCGATAGCAATATGGGTGCGACGAAGGTTGGATTTCTTGAAACAATCACGGAAGGTAGTCCCTGCTTCCATCTGCTGTTCAAGACGATCGGTTTCAATTATCATTGACTAAACAAACTCACCATTCAGCATGCTGGCATACCCATGAACTTTGTGATTTCTGGCTTACCAGTGTCGGCTTGACGTCAACGCTAGATGCTGCGAGCCTCCGAAGCGAATTTTCGGCATCTTGCAATCTCCCCCTCCTGACGAGCCACCATGGACTCTCGGGGGCAAAGGAAATCCCGGCAAGGATCACGGTAGGCCAGAACCACTGGGTCGCAAAGGGAGCACTGTAAGCCCAGTGGTTATCTAGCCCGTGAGTTGCAGCGGAGACTCCGTTGGCGATGAACTGACCGATAACAAAACAAAGATTCACATAAGCAGTCAAAATACCACGCAGAACAACGGGACACACTTCCGAAGCGTAGGCGGGAGCAATGACTGCATACGTGCCTAGTATGAGGCCACCAAGGAGTTCGCCAACGACCAGTACCTTTAGCGATCGTGCGAAGAATTGGATGAAGACACAACCGGCAGTTAGGACGACGCATATCTGAAAGTAGAGCAGAAGCGATTCAGCATACACTCGCATACACACAACTTAGGTTGGGTCCACGCAGAACATACCGAAAAGGTTTTCTTCCTGCCAAAAATTTCCATCGGATATGTAGCTGCTAGAGCGCCAACAACTTGGCCTATAGGGCTTCCCATGCTATTATTTTTTGGGGAAATAAAGTATCTAATAAGAACTTGTTTTCCCAAAAACACAAAGGCATGGACATGGGAGCAAAATATATGTTTTACCTAAGGCCTGACTGCCATGCAGCAGAGATGATCCACTTCCCGTTGAAAAGGTAGCCAAAATCCTGCTGGAACCTGGGAACACCGTATAAATTCCCTATGATCTGGGGGCCATAGCCGGTCATGATAACGCCGAGAGAAAAGAAGAAGGACCATGCAGCTGCTTTGGGATAAAGCTTAAGTGCGATGCGAATGTCTAATTCACGTTCTAGCGTGGTAGCCTCTTGTGCTTCAGCACCGATCTCAGTCTCGGAGTTGCCGGCATTGATAGTATTCTCTTGATTCTCGGCGTCATCCTTATTGATAAATGTCATGTTGTTTTGGCTTGCTAGCCCCCTGTGATGTCTGATTGTAGAGAAAGACTCCGGAGGGGAGCCAAAGTAAGTTCCTACAAGGAGAGGTGTGTGGGCAGTTTGACCGATACATCTAATAGCTTCGGAAATCCAAGGAGTCAGAGAAACAGGGACAGCAGCGCGCACCCAAATAACCAATACTATCCTTCTCTATACACTCTCTGGTGGTGGTATCTGAACCTGGCATGTTGAAACTGTGTAACTAGATGTATCTATGGGAATGAGCAGGACATGAGAAGCCCTGGGT